AAAGATGTTTAGTGGCTAGCACTATGGCTAGGACCCTATATGTACTGTTGATGAAGTTAGGTGCTGTTCTGAGCATTATTTGTGGCTATAGAGTGGCATTTTGGTTGAGCACATGGCTCTCTGTATTGCTATCTGTGGTCGTTACTAAAGTTGGTATAACTACAGAAGCAAGTGGTCTGCAACATTCATCTCTCGATGGGGTGTCTAACTCGGTGTTACAACCCTAACTTAATTGTATGTCAGAATATCCCTTTAACTCTGATGAATACTGTTCTTCAATTCTCTCCATTTCAGGCTGGTCCTGTTCAATAAGCCAATAAGTATAATTTTGTACTGTATCGATCAAACCTTGGTTATCAGAATCACTGAATACTAGCATCCACAAAACCAACAACATTACATCCAGAAAAGCACAAGAAGACCCTGAAACAAACACATCATTGTTCACCTCTTTTCAAATATTCAGGTTGGCACACTATCCTAACTGTGTTGTTTGTTTGCAGGTTTATGTAGTCCATTTTTGCTTCCTTCTTATTATCTATAATTTCCGTTAAATATTTTCCTCTTCTGCGCCACAGTGATGAGCCCTATCCTCACACACCTGCTGACCACACACTCACTTTTACAGTAAGCAAAGGTAGATGATATTTTGCTGAGATACATCCATTTTTAATGAATCTGTATCACAGATCAATAGTCTCGTCCTGGGCATCTAACTTGTTACAGTGCCTGTTATTTGACTGGACTGCGGTAGAATAAGGGAAACATGGCTCATTGTGTCCTGAATACACAGAGACTGAACTGTGTGTTTAAAATGAGCCGGCTGCTTCTGTGTGATTGGTTTGTGCACAATGCTCTTGAGAAAGTTGCAGGTGTTGTTTAATCAAATGGCTGTGATCAGAGAAGAACAAAAAAGTACAATATGCTGCTCTCGTATTTATCCAAGTGCACCTCCTCCTCTGTAAATTACATTTCTACTCCTATATAAAAGTAAGAAAATAACTTTTTTGATTGCTTTTAATAAGTAATAACAGTGAGCTGCTCATGCTGTTTATTAAAAATTAAAGCTCCTGTTAGGAAGTTTCAGTTTGTGTCAACTTTGGCACCCCCTGTGAACAAAGAAGTCTTTGCCTATGTTGTCCTACATATGCTAGAGACACAAAAATCTCATTATTCAGTCAATCAGATGTATTATTTCTTGTGAATATCTAACACGAAAACAAAAAAACAGGGCTGTTTCTTCAGCTGCTCAGCTGGCTCCAACCCTTATTTCTCTAACCTTTATGTCTTTTATGACTTTTATTTTTTATGCTTTTGTGTTTTTATTTCACTTATTTTATTTTATTTTAAATGTTTTTACCTGCTTATATTCCTGTTGATGTTTTCTGAAGTGTTTGTTCTTTTAATTTTACTGTAGAGCACTTCAGCAAACTTGAATGTTTTGTAAAATGTGCTATATAAATAAAGCGGATTGGATTTAATTTTAAATGTGGGAGCCATAATGTCGTTTTGCTTATCAGTTATCCTGTGTTCGGTAACTTCTGTCTGGTTTCTATTGGTTTCGCTGGGTTTGGGTCACGTGGGCACTGTGTTTGAAAGCTGGTAAGTTATATAAGGGGCGGTCTTACCTGCACTGGGGTTGAGAGGCGAATATTAAAGCTCTGAAAACTTTGATGAACTGTGTGCTTCTTTGGAACAGCAGCAGCGTGTCACACAAATACACAGGACCTAGTCTCTGTCTAAAGCAACTTTTTAAAGGTACTAGGAAAGCTGCAATATCGAACATTAATAAATACCATATAAAAGTCATCGGTCTTGTTGCTGATAACCTTGTTTGCTTTTAGACATCATAAAAATTCATCAATATGAATCCAGTCTATCACACATGGGAGCTTTAACAGGACTCCACAGTCGTGAAGTTATCTAAAATCCCACTTGAAGTCCATTCATATCAGAATATCAAAATCACACACTGTCCACCAAGTCTCAAAATCCATGCAAAGCAGAAAACAAGTGAATAGTGTTGTATTATCTCACTGGTCCATTGATCAGTGTGTCAGAAAGTTCTCTGTCAGCACTCTGATGGGACGCTATGATAACAGCTAGAGTTTCATTTGGCGGTATAAAAAGACTGTGCTGCTGGTATAAGATGTTTCCAGCCTTTGCGCTGAAATAGAAGCCTCAAGGCCGAATGACGTCCAGCACCATGTGTCTGCTTATTGATCTGAATCGGAGCATAAAGGAGTGAAACACCGAGGTCGCTTTGCTATTAACTCTTTACAGATACAGTTGCAGTTAGATGGATGATTGCTGTCCTATATTAATGAAAAGTTCTAATTTCAGACATCACACTTCCTGTCACATGACCAAGGCAGGCCTTGTTACCCCGCTTGCCGACACAGGCAAATCCAGGCTGGCGTCAGTTCACAGCAAATCGATAAGAGGACCTGAAAGAGGACACCTCTGCTGCATTGATCAGAAAGGAGCCTACAGTCCTCTACAGCCTCACAGAGATGAATGTGTATTTGTGTGCGAATGTGAGGATTGTGTATTCGTGCCTCGGCTGCAGCAGTGTAGGTGGCCATTTTACCAAAATCCAACAGCTTCTACCTTCTCCCGGCGCCTCTTAAATATTTATCATCCTCACCCTCCTTCCGCTGACTCCCCTCCTTCTTCCTGTACTTTTATTTGGCCTCTCCACCCCAATCCACCCTGTGCTCACTCTTATCACAGTCACCCTTCCTCTTGCTCTCTTTATCCCTCCTCTTTCTCCTCTCCCACATCTCCCCTGTCCTCCCCTGCCCCAGACCGGCACCCATAGGATATCATCTGACTTGGCAGTGTGTCCTTGGGTCCTCACTGTGGCAAAGGCATATTGTTCTCCTTTCTTGGTACACTAAAACCCCCACAACCCCCCTTTATTATGTAATTTTCTTGCAGAAGTGTGAGGTTGCGTTATCAAGTCCCATGGGATGCTTTGTCTGCTACAGTTATGATTAATTACCTCCCCTGTTGTAAACTGCTTTTATTCGTTTTTAGCTCTATTACAGTGTTTTCCAGTACAGTTTTGTCCCGAGACAAAGTATCCCAGCAAGTCCAGTGCAGATATTACATTGGAGGAGAGCCCTAGTTACTCTGCAGACACTGCAGTGCAGCCTTCTCTCTGTAAATTCTACCTTCCTCACCTATTTCTGGAGTCACTGGCAAGCATGGGAGAAGAAGTTTGTGGAATTTGTCCAGATGCCAATAGCAACACCGAGGGACATCAATAATGTTCAGCAACTGCCTGAGGCTTCTTTGATATGTGTTTGATTGTCAAGTTTTCTATAAAAATAAATAAAACGATTTCAAGATTATCTATTTAACATGACAGTGCAGTCAATTTCTCTTTATCACTTTCTTGTATTTAAGTCACTAGATTTGTTGCATTTCTCTTATTTTGGAAATCAGTCTGGATTGACTGAGGCAGATCTAGGAAACTTTATAAATTGCAGCAGTGGAAATAACTGAGCAAGTTCAAGTAGCCTATGTGTACCTGTGTGTTTTCTTTTAGTTAAATTTTATCCCATGAAAAATATCATCACGTTTTATAAATGCAGTGCAACAAAATTGAGATGTTTTCCCCAGACATGTTATCCCATATACAGTGGGATACTTTTAAAAGCTTTAAGTTGATTGCAGTAATCTCAAAATTTCGGATAATTTCTTTATTTCGCCATATGTGGGCTGCACTTTCACTTTGCAACACAGGGGAGGGTGGGTAAGTTGAGCCACCCCCTGTTGCTTGGAAATGGTAAAAGAAATTGATCATGTGACCAAATATTTAGGAGATGAACATCAATTCATGGAGTCTGTGCAGGTTAGAAGCACATGGGTGAAGGGGTTAGACATTTATTTCCAAAAAACATTTTTCACTCTTGAAAGTGAATTCAGTCTGTCATAAGTTTGATTAGAATTGTGTTCAGACCAAAAAAGATCATTTTAAATTTGTTTTATACATCAATTGTGGTATCTATGAGCTACAACATGAGGTCAAACACCTAGCATTAAAGTCCACCATTTTAGCTTAGAGGACTAATAAAGTCATAATAGTAGTTCTGGGGTAAGTTGAAAGTAAAGAAGTCTGATGAGAGGATCAGAGTTTCAGTTCAAATTGTTGAAATGCGTTACTTTTTCTTTTCAAAAATACAGCAGGAGAAGGTGAGGGTAAACTTACCCCATGCTCGGGGTAAGTTGACCATATGAGACCACTTTTTCTGGCATGCTATATTATCAAGACAGTTATGTTTACACTCATTCTGTTGGTTTGCAGGGAAACACATCTTCAAATATAAGCAGATACACTAGTTAGAGACAAACTATGATTGCCTTGATGTAGTGATCTGAAATATGAAAAATGGCCCATCTTACCCCACTCTCCCCCACTGTCTATGCTGTGTTTGTGGACCTACCCCATCCGTCAAAGTCGTGTTGATGCGCCACTAGAGGGGAGTGAAGGGCTACAATGACAACAAAAAAAAGTGAAAACGCTTGTGCAACTCAGAGAGGTCTACACTCCTGCTGCATTCAAGGTCCCTCAGCTAAGTAGTAGTAAGTCGTAGGTAGTTCAGCTATGATTTCTGGCCAGTAAAGAGAAATAAAACGATCAAACTGAGGTTCTTTAAACAGATAAATATGTCATTTTTGCATTTGAATATTTAGCGTCATTTCGAAAAACTTTGGGGACTAATGAATTTAAAGACCTATATTTTTTGTAGGTTATGGGTAGCATTTTTTTGGCACATTTGGGTATTTTTAAGGGTCATGTTGTATAGATTTATAGATTAATTTTCTGAGATTAACCCTACAGGCTACTCCTGTAAAAATAAAAACAGGTATCTGTGCTAAGAAAACTGATTTATTTTCCCACTTCAGCCTTCCTCCACCTCTCACGAACGTAGCCCACATAAACTTCTACATACGGAGCTGAGAAATCGGAGCTCACAGACGGGTCCCTGAACGTCCCTCCAGTTCCTCCAGTCTAGCATGGGCGGGGCTTCAAACAGGAGGTCATCACAAACATGGCGTTGAGGGGATGTGTAATGAAATGGGCCAAAACAGAGTTCATAAGAACAACCAACACTTCCTCGCGAAGTTCCAGGTGAGCAAATATTATACAGATTGAATCGGTTGCACGTTTGCATGAGGAAGAACAAGTGAGGTGCACGAAGCGTGTGTGTGCTTGTGTGTTTTACCTCCGACCAGCAGTGTGAGGTTACCTAAGTGTCATTGTACAGAAATACAGAGAGCGAGAGACAGCTGTTTGGTCCTGTTTTAAGTCTGAGTCAGTGAGACAAAGCGGCTCCTATTTAATACATGTTAGTGTTTTGATGAGCTAAGCATTCCTGTGGCCTTACGTGACTCAATGTCACGCCCCTCCTATTTACTATTGTTTGTGCTTAATCCACCTCCTGATGGTTAAGTACATTAAGTGTATAAGTCATCCTGAGGGTTTGTCCGTTTTCAGAGATAGGTGTCAGTCTTATTTGATGCCCACAGCAAATGAAGCTAACTTGATTTATATTTCAACCCCAGTTCTATAAGGGTTGGGATAGGGGAGAGTGGGGTAAGATGAGCCACTTTACATATTTCAGATCACCACATCAAGGCAATCACAGTTTTGTCTGCATATTTGCATATATTTCAAGATGTTGTTCATCCCTGCAAACCAACAATATGAGTGTAAACATAGCAGTCTTGATAATATAGCATGCCAAAAAAACTGGTAGCCGTATACTGGCTAATACTGGCTTCCCGTATCCCTACTACCACCCCAGGGATTCTGGCTTTTGAACTGTGGTCCCTTTCCTCTTCAAAATACGGCATTTGCATCCATGATTTCTAAAAAGAGTAGCAAGTTTTGGTTTAGTTTACACTTTGCCTCAATCCATTTTAGATGTAGTTTAAGTTTTAGCTCCTCAGCTGGATGTCAGGTAAATATTAGGTCTACCTGTAAGTGAGGCACAGGTAAATACTTCCTACTCGATCATTTTTTTCTTTGCAGACTAAGTCCCCACAACCAACAGAGGTGTGGTTTTCGTCGAGAAGCCAAAAGGCCAGAAACGAAGAAAGGAAATGTCAACCAAGAAACAAACCCTTCACCCCCTGAGAGTGGTGCACCCGCTCCTGCTCCCCCTCCTCCTCTTCCTCCTCCCCCTCCCAGAGTCCCCAGGCCAACTCTGTTCAAACCGTTCATGTTCACTGTAGGGGTAGGTCTTTTAATATTTTAAATATAAAAATAAAAACAGATGTATGCACATACCAGTGAGTCTTGGGACATTAGGAAGGTGTTTGTTGGGTGTTTTCTGACTCCATGTTAGTTTACAGGCTGCTCCTTTGGTGCTGCCGCGATTCTGCAGTATGAGACCTTGAAGTCGAGAGTTCAGTCCGCTAAAGAAGAGGAGGAGTCAGAAAAATTAGTTCAGGTAAACATGTTGATATTCAAAACTTCTAGATTTATCAGCTGCCATCAGCTCTCTGGACAACACAGCTTTAAATGTCTCACCAGGGCTCTCAGGATATGGCTTACTGGCATGACTGGTGGAACCAGCTGTCCAGTTTCCAGCGACAACTCATCCTCATGATGTCTATGGTGGATGACTTCTGGAGCAGCCTTTCAGAGGGACAGAGAACAGTCACGGGTAACTTATTTTACTGGAAAAAAAATTAAGGCTTTATAATCTTATGCAAATTAACCCTAACTGTTTCTTTAGAGTTCTGAGCTTTCCTAAATATTTTCCCAGGTATCATTGCTGTCAATGCCATTGTCCTGTGTTGCTGGCGGATTCCATCTATGCAAAGAAGCATGGTTAAGTACTTCACATCCAACCCTGCCTCCAGTAGGTAGACCTATTCTTCCTTTTTTCGTGAAATAGTTAAATAAATAGTACATGACACTTACCCAGGACCAATAAAGGTTATCCTTGTCTTGTCTTCCATTTTTCTCTGTTCCCAGAAACGCGTTGCCTTCCCATGATCTTGTCATCCTTCAGCCACTACTCCATCATCCACATGGTAGCCAACATGTATGTCCTGTGGACATTCTCATCAGGAATTGTCTCTCTTTTAGGAAAAGAGCAGTTTCTTGCAGTCTACATGTCTGCTGGTGAGTTGGCTAAAATATTTGAGAGTGGTCTTTCTATATGCAGCTGAATAAAAGTGAAGTTTATGAATATTTAACACAGTATTAGATAATAGCAGGTTAACTTAGAGTAAACAACAATGTGTGTTTTTAGGTGTGATTTCCACTATGGTTAGCTACATGTGCAAAACAGCCACTGGACGTCTCTATCCATCATTAGGAGCGGTAAAATATTTTCTTAAATCTTTATCACACTGAACAAAAACAGTACAATCACAGTAATTGTTTTAATTGAATCTCTGTGTGGTCAATAGTCAGGTGCTGTCATGGCAGTGCTGGCTGCAGTCTGTGCGAAGGTGCCAGAGGCCAAACTAGGCATCATCTTCCTCCCCATGGTCACTTTTACAGCAGGAAATGTAAGTCATACAGTCTTAATGTATGTGTACTATTTTCTTGTTTTGCATCGCTACTCCTGTTGAGTGTACCTGTACATTACAATAGTTGGGTTATCAATAAACATGTTGTATTTTTGCTGCAGACAGGTAACGTAAATCTGTGCATGAGCAAAACAAACAAAGTCCATTGTGTGTGAGTGAATGTTTAAGTATGCATGTCTGAATGCTTGATAGAGGGACAGTTGTTGTAGATTTACTGCAGGGCATGGGTGCAATCAATGTGTGGTTTGTCATCCGTCATTAGGCACTGAAGACGCTCATTGCCATGGATACAGCGGGGCTCATTCTGGGGTGGCGGCTGTTCGATCACGCAGCTCACCTTGGTGGAGCTCTCTTTGGAGTGTAAGTGATGTAAAAATTATTTAATGTATTGTATTTACTGAATTTTATTTAAGAAAAAATATTATTCTTATACTGTTGATCTAAGTGTTCAAAATATTAGAACAAGAGATGAGCACTTCACACAAATATTCCATAGTATGACTGCTCATGTTTTCTGATGAAGTGTAGAAAACACTTGGAGCAGATTATAAAAATACAGGTTGACCAGCAGAAGACGCTTTGCTTCGTTAGTTTTCAACACACATGCATTTTCTGCAGCTTTCCAAGCAAAGTATCACAGTTGGTCAGTGGTTTGCACTAGAGTTGGTTGACAATTTTAAGATGTGTTGAATAATCAGAGAAATATGAATGAAGTGTCTAGTTTTCAAGCAAGCAGCCATCTGAGTACATGAGCTGGTCATATTGGGGAAATGTGGTGCACACTCCAATTATAAGATTTCTATTTCCTGTCTATATTTAATTTGAGTACGAGCCTCAATCTTTGTGGTTCATATGGGAACACATTTTTATTATTGCATGTAATTCTGACTTTGAACACAGGGTGGAGCCTTGGCCCATTGGTCAGGCATTCAACCAAAGCTCAATTCAGCTCCACTTTTTGACCTGTGTTGGCATGTCTTAAGAGTTGCAGTAGTATGGGTTCATTTATTTAATGACTTATTTTGTATCAAATATATAAATCCTGGTGACGATAGACAAAGGTATCGACATTGGTATCGACGAAGATGATACCAATGATAACATGAAATAAACAGGAAATAAATCAGTCAACAATTCTAAACTAGTAAGACCCAGAAGAAGTTGGTTTTTGCTTTCCCGAGAGTATGTGTTTGAAAAACTTCCCTGTTTCACTTCACAAAAGTCTAAAACAAGTTGGAATAATTGATCTTAAATATATTTTGGTTGGTATTATGAAATTATTGCATTAAAATTAACAACTCACTGTAATGTTGCTTAATGCTGAGTTATAATCTCACTGATCTGTTTGATAAAGTTGTAATTAGATCGTCTTAAATTGGGTGTTCCTGAGCTGTCCCAGACTGCTGTCTTGTCCCACAGTGAGAACATGTTATTACTCTCCATATATCTTTTCCCACAGATGGTATGTGGCGTATGGTCACAAATTGATTTGGAGGAAAAGAGAGCCTCTTGTGAAGCTGTGGCATGACATGCGCTCACCAGTCTCCGGTGGATCCAGGCCAGGAGGTGGACCTGGAGTCAGCGGTGCTGGACCTGGACCACGATGAGACTTTTAGATGGTCTCTCTGATGCTTTACAAAGAACTGGGGTCTAGAGCTATCTCAGGATATACACAAACTCCTTTTTGCACCAGTGAAGACTTGGATTTTATTCTTTAATAATAAATATAGTTTTTCACTGAGGGTATGTAATAAGCATGAGCTGATTTGACAGTGTGCAGGAAATTGACATGTAAAAGAATAGGTTAAAAGGTCACACCTTGTGTTGCAATCCAGATGTTTACTTTGTAGACTGATACTGTAAGATCTCCTGCCCTACAAGGACCTCAATGTCAAGGAACTACAATATCATCTCTCTGCTACCTCTGAAGACACTAAACACATCACACTTGTTGTCCATATGTTGTTTTTTCCTGTTTATATTTGTAAAAGCAGTTGTATTAAGAACTGTATGCTGACACAATTCAGTGATCAAATTATTTGCTGAATTCAGTGCAGTGTACAGTGCTGAGGGCTGGCTTATGTTCTCATTAAACTGGAGTTAAAGCAGTAAGAGTTACATGTCCATTTTTTCGTATTTCTGTTCCAAAGACTTAACAGAGTTATTTTTGACAATACTATTTGGTCAATACTGAGTATTTAAAAAAGTTGTCTCATCTCAATCTGGTCTTAAAATAAACGCTGTTAAAGAGATGTACTGTCAGAAGACATAAATCAATATGTTATAAATTTTGCTGTGTAGCCACACAAACCAAAGGATGCTTTTTAAAGTATTTGGATTAAGACCACTGTCCCTGCTGGGTCCAGCACCATCAACCGATTCTCAAGTCATCCAGTACTTTTAAGATATTGACCTAAGATGTACATAATTATTAGTTTTTAACAAATACTGTAGCAATGAATTCATTCACAAATGATGGTAGAAGAGAAAATTGATGTTTTTATTTGACTGAATCACGATACAGTCCTACAAACTGGACACACGTACACATTTAAAAAAAAAAAAAGATTGTCTCTGCGTGCATAGATCTGCACCTAATCATAAGCTAAGTTTGAGAATAAGCATAACTGATAATTAGTGCTGCACTTTTATTATTTTTGGCACTATGTAAAATAAGAATGGCCCTATTATTCAACTTTAATTTAAACTTTTAGCACAAAAATTCCCTACGAGAGTGACAAACTCTGTAAAAAAAAGTTAGAAATATATCTTTATAAAAACCATATTGGTTGACCTGCATTTTGGTATTTTAATACTGCACATAAATTTACAAGACAATTAATCCAAGCAGCAGATGTCAGACTGAGTTATGTTGGTTATAGGATAGCTGCACTTAAATCCACTGAGAGCTGTAAACAATGAAGGTAAAGGTAGCTTTGGTAACAACAGACAGTTTACCTTTTTAAATGTGGACGTTTAATCAGTCTGGACTGTGTGTAGAAAAGTCTTTGACAGTCCATGCTCTTGGTTTGTGGTGGAATGTTCATGAAACTGCCCAGTACTATGAAATAAAAAAGCAGGAGGGAAATATGTGAGGGAAACGTGGTAAATTCATCCTGTTAATTTGGTGACAGAAGTGGTATTTAGCCAAGATGGGTGAAATAAAACTAACAAGACTCTGACTTACCAGACTGCAACCTGAGAGCATCAACTTCCAACCCGTAGAGGCCTGCAGTGAGGCAGCTCCTTAGCCTCTGGTCTTGTGGTTAGCATAGCTTGGAAAGCCAAACTGAGACACCATCAGGTTGGAGAAGCTGAGTGGCATGGAGCCATAGATCTGTGTCAGCCTGTTCAGGCAGTAAGATCTCTGAAGAAGGTGTTCAGGACGATGCCACATACCCTGGTATCCACTGCTAGCCTCTTTTTCCAAGTTTCTGAGGTCCACGGGTTTAACAAAGACTCCAGATGGTCTGTCAAAGCTGCCTGAAGACTTTGATTCTTTTCGCAAATGTAGTGCGACAGCAAAATTCATGGCAATGTCGTCGCAATTTTGTGTTTCGTCCACTAGTGCATGCACTGCTTGAGGTTGTTCGTGGAAAAGCTGCAAGTAGCGTCTGTTGAAGAAAGCAGCACCAATCAGCACCATGGAGTACCTGTAAAGTGGATTAAAATAAAACAGCAGACAGATATTGTCACATTAATTCATAACTAATCCAAAAAAGCAGCAGATGTAGATTTTTGTGACGAAAATACTCTACTTACATGTCACCTCCAGCCTTTTCTGGGTCCTGCAGTTCAAAACTGCCATAACTGTACACCCCACTTGGTGTTGCTACATGCTTTCGTGGGACAAACCCAACAATCTGGCCTGGAAATTGCTGTAAATAGATAGAAAAAAAGGGTTTTAGCTGCCATTTTTGTATGATCAAGTGCAAAGAATAACCAAGTTAATTATCAAGATAAACAAAACTGTATTTCTTTCATATTATCCCTGGAATTACCTTCCAGACTGAGAAGGCAAAACTGATGTCAGGAACACTGACTAGGGTGTCATCATCCAGCATTAGGACAGCTAAGAAACAAAACAAACCATCAAATTCATGATGGGGGAGAAATATGATAGAATTTGGATGTCTGTATGTTTTTTTACATAAATGATGAGCTGATAGATAAACTGACCGTCAGTATCAATCTCAGAGAATGGTTGTAATCTGTTGCGCATCTTATTGCTAATCTGCTCCTTGAAGACTACAGGAACAGGATGAGGTCCCAAAGAGCTCCACAACTTCATTGGTGTCTCTTCCCCGATGTTATTCCAGACTATGATGATCTGTTGAAGATGAGGCACTGCCTGATAATGGTTAAGGAGTTTGAGCAAAACATCTGTGCGGTTGTAAGTCTGGATAACAATGGTAAATCTCTGCTCCTTCTCTTCACTGGCAGCATTGTGGATCTCTGCAGGTTTTTCTTTACGAGTGGTGGCCCGCCGTAGCACTCCGAGGACACCCAGGCCTCCTGGGTCTTCAGGTGGGGGAAGCAGGGCTGTCAGGGCCGCACCAACCAGGAGTAGCAGTAGGATTGGCCAAAATATATAAATCCGCCTGGGAAACCTGCAGCAACGGAGGGACCTGCATATGAAGAGATTAACACATAGACAGTGAGATTAACACATATATAGGACAAATCCCTTACAATGGACTCTGTGTTTGCCATTATGACACAGGGTATGCTGACATCATTCTTTAACAAACTCCATACAGGCTTTAAAAATGTTATGAAACAGAAAGAGGTCCTTCCTTTGCATTTGTTTGAAAAGGAAATGTGTTTTTACAATTAAATCTGGACTATCATAGGGATATAACCTGAAAAATGAACACTAGGAGTCCATCATTAACTAATACACAAACTGTGTTGCGAGCATGTGGAGGACAACATGCTGTCAAGTGATAAAAATTTCCATATGGTTTGTTGCTACAATTCCAGACTATGATGATCTGTTGAAGATGAGGCACTGCCTGATAATGGTTAAGAAGTTTGAGTAGTTGCCACAAAGTTTTCTCAGACCGCTGCCTGAATCCACAAACACTGAAACTGCAAAGAAAAATACATCGAATTAAATTATCTGACAGCAAATGTGTGTTACAGCCACCAGTAAGAGTTTAGCGAAGGTGGTGGGATATTGTATCTCTTTCCGCAAGTCAAAACTTACCTCATTTTGATGGCACTACAGTTCGGCTGTTTGTTCCAACATTGCCGCCATGTTCGCTGAGTGTGACCAGAGAGCCTTGAGGAGAAGAGCGCTCACTTATCGTCACTTGCCTTGGCGTATCGACAACAAGTATAGACCACAGCCCGATAACTGTGGTTGTAACGTTTGAATGACCAACTTTTTTTTGCCAAACACGATTTTTTAACTCTCATTATTTCCCGTTTTTACGTTAAGATGTCGCATATATTCTTTTAGTTGTTTGTTTCTGTGGGCGTAACGTAGACGCTCTGTAAACGGTCGCCATCTTGGTTGGGCGGTTTAATAAGCTGGTTTCTCGTTGGTTCGCGTGTGTAAACAGGATTTTTCGTCAGAGGAAACTCTCCACCTGTCCCAGAGATGCTATTTAGGTTAAACTGGAGAAATCAAAACACTGGCAGATTTTGTATTAACTGTGAAGTCCAGAGAGGGTGAAGTTAAAACTGCATACAGCGTGGAACAGGTCTGTCTCTTGTCGTTTGTTGCATATATTGTTAAGCGTTATAAATATTAAGTGTTTTAAAAAGTTACGGTTTGGGGCAAACATCTGTAAACAGTTAAGCAAGATAACTTTAAAAGGAAGAAACGTTTTTAAATACGTTTCCCCCCTCACAGCCGTGCAGAGGGGGTCATGTCCTTTGCGAAAGTGCTGCGTTGTCCTACAGTCCCACTCTCCAATGGTCTGCAGATTCCAATACTTGGACTAGGTGCGTTTTTTTTCTTAAAATACTTTTGCAAACATAAAATACGGATAAATCTGTGACTTTGTTAGTAATCTGTACCTTCTTTGGAAGTTCTAAGTGGCTTTGCACACTATATTTCTTTTCTGGATTATTTATTAAGTAATCATAACATACCACAGAGCACCCCAACTCTTGTGACATGCTGACCAAAACAGAATTTGATGGTTTCCAAATGATTTAGAGCCCAAATTGAAAATAGAGTAAGGACAAATCATTCGTTGAAACTGCTTTTTTTTTATTAAGGAAAATATATGTCTCATTTAAAATGTGATTCTAGCAACATGTTTCCAAACAGCAGGGACTGGGTTATGTTTATCCTGGTGTGTCACCTCTTCTTTTAACAATGACTTTGGCAACACACAAGCTTTTCTGGTTCTGAATGTTTACATTTTCTCTCAATACCAGGCACATCCCATGATGGTGGATTCTCCCATGACGCTGTCGTGTATGCACTCACTGAGTGTGGTGTGCGACACATAGACACAGCGAAACGTTATGGTTGTGAGGAGAAACTGGGTAAAGCCTTACGAGAAAGTGGGATACAAAGAAGTGAGCTGTGGCTCACCAATAAACTGTGGCCTGGTGACTACGGGTACACAGCTGCTAAGAGAGCTTGCATCAAGTCCTGCTCACTGATGGGGGTGGAATACTTTGGTAGGAATTTGGATTTAGAGTAAACCAAACCAAACCAAACCAAAAAGCTGTTAAGTTCATAGATATTTACTCAAATCTGCCCTTTTTCCAAGATTTGTATCTGATGCACTGGCCAGAAGCAAAGTGTTCCAGCAGCTCGAACAGAGAGATGAGAGCTGAGACCTGGAAAGCTTTGGAGGAACTTTATAGAGAAGGTACAAATGTGAAAACATCATGTCAGAATACAGGAACACAGCAAATATGATTGTGATACAGCGATCAGTGAAGTTCTCTGTTGTCATCATAGGAGTGTGCCGTGCTATTGGAGTGAGCAACTTTCTGGTCCAGCACTTAGAACAGTTGAAGGAAGACTGTAGCGTGGTGCCGCATGTGAACCAGGTGAAGGTGTTTATGTTTGTTTATGTGTTTTTCCAAGAGGGATTGAAAAAAGAAAAGGCCTGTACTAGAAACAAAAAGAAGTAGTAGAGGCAAGTATTGAATTTATATGAAGTTTTTCAAATATAGAATAAAAGTTTCATAGCTGAAGGGTCAGAAGTGTTTTAATTCCTTTTTCAATAAGGATGGGTACTTTTAGAGTTTAGATTGATACTCTGAACATCTGGGTCCCACTTTATCATGTATCCCAGATATTTTGGGATGAATGAGAAACTTAAATAACTTTATCCTAAATGTATTGTTTAGTCATTGCATCCTTTCCTGACATGAACACATGTTTTCTTTGCTGTCTGGAGTGACTCCTCCATGATTTGTTTTAATGTTTGTCATTAAAATAACCTGCCTTACCAGGTGGAGTACCATCCATTCCAGCAGCCCTACAAGCTGATAGATTACTGTCGTCAGGAGGGAATTGTGTTTGAAGGCTACAGTCCTCTGGCTAAAGGTCAAGTCTTCAGAGACCCCTCTATTCTCCAGATCGCAGAAAAGTACAAACGCACACCCGCCCAGATCTGCATCCGATGGAGTATTCAGGTACACATACAGTAGTTCTGACAAACAAAGTAAATGTTTTCAATACCTAATGCAGCATCTCCATTTTCCTCAGAATGAAGTGGTGACCATACCAAAATCCACCAAAAACAAGAGGATACAAGAAAACTGTCAGGTGAGTCAGAAAACTACATGCATCTGCACTGCAAAAACAGAAAGTATTCACAACATTACAACTTCCATATCACAGCTGTTCATTATTTCTTTTCACTCTTTATTTCTTCTTCCTCCTTTTCTCTGCCTTCTCCTCGCACACATCCTGCAGGTGTTTGATTTCCATCTGGAGGATTCAGACATGGCTGCTATGAGGAAACTGCACGATGGGAGGCACGTGACCTGGGATCCGACAAATATAGTGTAACCATATTAAATCAGAAAATATAAGGCATGTCTGTCTATCTATATCTGTCCGTCAGACAGTTGTTTAGATTTTATACAAGAACTGGACCAAATTTTTCTTTAGGATGTATCCTTAGTTTATCCAGAAGATAATTGTATTTATCAATATGTGTTCAAATATGTTGTTTATTTCCTGTATGATAAATTAAGAGAGATAAGAACTGTAATTAATGTCTCGCTGATCTCTGTGGTACAAGTCGAACAACAAACCACACCAATATCATTCAATGGCATCATGTTTCTCATCATTTCTGTGTTGCTCTGGCTGTAGTGGGACAATTGATTATTCTCCACACCAGTGGCGGATTTAGGGGGTGGCTACTTGGGCTCAAGCCTCGGATGTTTTCCCAAGAGCCCCGGATCTCGGATCTGAGCTGGTCTGAGTTTAATGTGCAGTACTTGAGTTCACCAGAGAGAGGCAGCATGCGCAGAAAAGCAGCCTGTAGCCCTTCTGTTCAGATGAGGAAGTGTTTCCCTCTAATGACTGTTACTACTCCTAAAAAACTACTTAAAGATTGAAGAACAGAGCAGTAAAGGACAGCAGAGGTGTCATCCAGGATCACAGGTATAGCAGTAAGGAAATAAGATGCATTTTATTATACTTCATTTTACATCTTTAGTTTGTGATCAGTCTGAATAACCTTTTGTGACTTCAACAATGCTAGTGGTAGGACATTTTTATCATTAAAAGGTCTGAATTTTTCGTGCTCTCCTCCGTGTCTTTTGCTGGCTTTGAACTGTTGCTAAGTTGAAGTAAAAAAAAAATGTAGTTTTGTGTGCGTGGTAGCAAAAAAAGATGGAAAAAGTAAATCCGCATCTGCCCCTGAGATCACCTAGAATCCTAGATCAGCCCCTGCTCCACATTGATATTAGATTCAATCTGCTCCCAGGTCAAACAGGGTGCATTTTTACCAAAAAATGTGGTCGGACCCTCACAACAAGCCCAGCTTGTTGGAGTTGCCGAATTCGTCTGGTTTGACCATAAACCCCTCCATTCCCCCACCCCTCAGTATCACTCTGCAGCCTACACTGTCACTGGAGGGCATTTGAAGAACAAGGGCAGATTTTGGTTTCTGCTAATAATGGACCAGATCTGCTGATATTGAATTATTAGATGACATTTTTTTTTAATTTGCTTTGACTGAAAACCAAAACTGTTTGATTAACTTAAGCCATTTGTGCAAGAGTTTGAACCATACTGTATACAATGCTGCTGTACAATGCTACTGCGCAAGTGGTGAAGTGCGTACAACTCAACTGCGTAATGTTGGTTTCAGGAAATGGTGAAAAATCACGGAAATCCTGAGAGATTTTCAACTTCAAATCCGTATACTGGGGAGGATGGAACCAAGTTGTCCATAGTATATACAGTCTATGATTTAAACCCATAAAAGGCACGGAAGAGTATTTTTTCTATCCAGTATTAGACAAAATTCAAAAGTGTTCGGTATTAATTTAAGTTACTTTACACATCAAGATGTATTTCTTTGAGATTTGAGAGTTCACTAGATTGTATCGAAAGAAAACTAAATTACAGTTTAAAGCAGAGACTCACCGGACAGACTTTGACGAATAAAGCTCAGACCAAGTAAGTCATCCCCTATTTTGCTTCAGGGGCTGAGCTCTTACTGTACCAGCTGTTCCAGTTTTGGCTCTGAGTCCTGTTATAAAGAAACTCCAGTATGACAGACTGTATAGTGACAGACTGGTTTTAGGTTCTTGTGTGTTTTCAGCTCCCACTTGGACTACACTGCTCCAGTCTTCAGAGGAACCATGTCAACTGCAGACACCTGCACTTTTCCCACTGTAAAACTTTCCAATGGGGTGCAAATGCCAATTTTTGGAATAGGTAAGTATTGCGTTTTCAGTATCTTTAGAACAGTGTTGAGGATGTTTTTAGCTTGATGTGTTTTGTTGGTGTGTTATGAGTTATGGAGACAGTTTTTATAGATGGTTTAAACTCTGTTTGTTCTCTCACTCTAAGGCACATCCCAGGTTGGAGGTTTCTGTCAGGACACGGTCCTTTACGCACTCCGAGACTGCGGTATACGTCTCATCGACACATCCAAGTATAATGGCTTTGAGATCCAGCTGTCTGAAGTTATAAAAGACAGTGAAGTACCGAGAAGAGATCTGTGGGTCACTAATAAACTCTGGCCTGAGGACTATGGATATGAGACCGCCAAGAGGGCCTTCCAGAAATCCTGCTCACAGATGGGGGTGGAATATCTGGGTGAGGAGGAACGGGGTTGCATTCCTCTTTTATGTACACATTTCACGTCTTTTACTCTTGCCTCATTCCTGATTGTCTGTTCATCTCAGACATCTATATGTTACACTGGCCTGGTGGAATGCAGCCTGGTCGCTGCAACAGAGAGCTGAGAGCCGAGGCTTGGAGAGCTTTGGAGGAGCTGTACGAAGAAGGTAAAAACTTGATGAAACACACCAAACTGTTTAACTTTTCTTTACCAAGATTAGTAAAAATATCTGTTTGATTAAGCTTGTGTGAGTTACTTTATTAAAATCAAATTTCTATAACATGAGACTGACTATACTTCACTGTATCGATCTCTCTCTATTAAAACAGGGTTGTGTCGTTCCATCGGGGTTAGCAACTTCATGATTCACCACCTGGAACAGTTAAAGCAGGACTGTACTGTGGTGCCACATGTCAATCAGGTAAGCCTTTACAACATTAACAGCATGTAGTTAAAGTTCAATAAAGAGACGTGACTGTGGTTTCATGTGAGGATTTCTGTTGCGCCATCAGGTGGAATACCACCCATTCCAGCAGCCCACTGAGTTAATGGAGTACTGTTGCAAGAAGGGAATTGCATTTCAGGGGTATTGCCCTCTGGCTAAGGGTCAAGCCCTGACTGACCCCACTATTATCCAGGTGGCACAGAAATATGGACGTACACCTGCTCAGATCTGTATCCGCTGGAGTATCCAGGTAAAACACCCTGTTATGAATAAGATTTATATTTACATAAGGAAAACTGTCACTTAATTCCCTTCCACAAATAATTCACTGTGACAGTTTCACCACGTTTGAATGCATTTATAGGTGCTGTAGATTTTATCTCACAGGAGTCATCAAAAACACACAACACAAGTGAAAACGATCTAAAGCTTCATGTTTTTTTTTTTGAGTTATTCATTCTTGTACTCTTTTTAAGAATGGAGCCATTACCATACCAAAGTCAACCAAAAGGGAGCGTGTGCTAGAAAACTGTCAGGTAAAGTGAACATAAATGACCATCAATGCTTCTCATAATCTATTTAGTGCTGATTATTCGTAGTTCACCAACAGCCTCTTTCTTCTGTTTTCTTCCCTTTTATACTTTTTTTTCAGGTGTTTGGATTCCAGCTTGAGGAAGAAGACATGGAGACCATAAACAAGTTGCATGATGGTAGACATGTGTCCTGGGACCCAACTAATGTGGAGTAGCACACTGACACAATTTGCTGTAAAATATAGTTGAACAGCATTCGTGGCTTCTTTCCTTTGATAAATAATATTGTTCTATGCTTTTATTGTGAAATAAATACATATCAGTACAAATGGTGCATGTGTGTGTTTTATTACACTCTTTATTATGACTTGACAACTGGGACAGTCCAAGATAAAGCAGATTTAATTAAAAAGTTGGCTGATAACTTTAGTGACAATACCGTATATACCCACTGAGCAATAGACGGCTATTAGACATCTAGTTTTAACCATCTCGATTCTGTATATTTTTAGACTGAATGTAGACGTTGCACTTTAACCCATTACTCAACAACTATTTATTTCAAAAAGCAACTGTGAGTTGCATAACTGATGTACTTAACCAAAATAATTATGATAGCCTTTAAACAATATACAGTGTAGTATAGATATAGCCCAGGTTTAGACTCAGTCTAAACTTGGTCTAAATTGAGACTTCTGAAAAACATTCATTTTTGGACCTGTGGTATCCTAATTTTAGACCAGTCATCTAGGCTACATTTAGACCTCTTTTAGACCAAAAAATGCTCAGTGGGTAGACATCTATAAATATTCCCATGAATTCTCACACCTAAACTGTTAGTACCATCCACAATCAAGTGGGTAACTGTTGGCTAGTTTAAGTCTTTAAAAAGTCAAGTAACCACATTTGTAGTATCCCCGCCATCAGCTACAAGTAAAGGCTTCCCATGGTTACTATACTGTATTTATCCGAGGTTGATGTGCAGCAGCTGCGGAGCTTATCAAATGTTAAGAAAAAAAGAAATAAATAATGATGCTGTTGGCCTCCCATATTAAGAGTGCCATTAAAAGCTGCACATCTTCAGTCAGGAGCCTTTGTTATCCAACATCATTGAATCATGTCTAATCTCTTGTAATTGAGCAGAAGATATGAACTGTGGATTTAGTAACAGATAAAACAGCATTGTTGATTCAACTGTTGGTTCTCTGTCATGAAGGAAAGACTTTCAATCGTTGGTCAGTGGCACAGATCAATCCCCTTGTAATCAAGTGACTCTTTATGTTGAACTCATTAAAAATAACGACACTTACATTCTGAGTTAGCAATATCATTTAATCTTTCCCCTCAGCTTAGAATCACTGTTGTACATAAGTTACACTTTGTTTTCTTTTTATCAATTTCACAGGTTCATTTTTTTTCTCTCTTCAAACTTCCAGTTTGACCTCTCTCTCGTATCAAACGAAAAAAAAAGCAGATTGTATTATACAAAAATGCAAACCAATTTTCACACAGTGAATTCTCTTACAAAGTCATAAAATGGCGTAATAATGGCTACATCCACATTGGAGGAAGATAATTCTAGACATTCCTTAATGGAGTATAATATACATATAAAAACTTCTTTTTTCTTGCTGAAATCAAACCTGTACCTTAATTTAAGAGATATTTTACAAGGGAGTAATCATATAAAATAGCCATTTGTGATTTCCCCAGAAAGTCAGGGAATAAAATGTGAGCCTCGAACAGCAGTAACAGAGTTCAGTGGTCAAGGGTGGGAGTGGAGGGGTTATCTGGTTATATAAATGAGGGCTAGAGGCAGCAGTTCCACTCAGAAACAAAAACACGCAAAAGATCGAAATGAACATCTTTGCAATTTGCTGTAAAATAAACCACCCCATCGTACGATGTTGTAAGTCAGTTCAGCTGAGCTAAAGCCGTTTAAAGCCCATTCAGACCTGCAGACTATCTGTAGAATTAGCATTACAAAACTTTTGGTTGACTTTCATTCAGAGAAACTGAACATAGTACTGAATTAACACAATCAAAGGTTGCAAATTCATAGAATCATAACAGCAAAACTCATTTTGGGGCCAAAGCTTCAGTCTGAATATCACTTAAATACTGGACTAGCTGTTGACTCCGCGTCAGGTCAGGTGACGCTTTCAGGACTGCAGGTCAGTTAATTCACTCTACTATTGCAGAAATAAACAAACAAAAAAGAGAAAGGAAAAGAAACTACAAACCCCAGCTAGGTCAACAAAATAGCCTTAAAAATTATATATCAAAAAAAAAAACAAAAAAAAAACAGCCAAATTGATCTTCAATAGTTGAGAGATTTGCATTGTTACTGTTTATATGACATTTTCAAAAAGGGGAGAATCCATTAGAGGTTGTCTGATCACTCCAAACCATGCCAGGTCAGTGTTAATTTAGATTCTTTTTTCAGAGCTCGTCGGTCCGGGAAGAGGAGCATGAAGGGGGGATTTAAGGCCAACCTTTTATCAGAGACTTTCTAAAAATTCTCCCTGGGGGCAGGGGCGGGATAACCCCCACAACACTTTTTCTAATAGCTGAACACTATCACCCAGTACAGCACACTTGAGGAAAAAAAAAAAAAAAAGAAACAAAAAAAACTTAAGGTACATTTTCTACAATATAATCTAGCACACACAAAACGTCTCTGTAAGTTTTCCAAAGGTACAGAATTTTGTCTTCTTCGGAAGCATAGTCTATAAAGAACATCTTTGTTTGAACACAAAAGATTAAGTGAACACACATCAATGCGCACAGAAGTCCTTCGTCTGGGAAAGGATAAAGTCTGTGTTGGCAACCAGTGGACAGAAAAACAAATCAAACGACAAAAATAAAAACAAATATTTTGCTGATTCTAAGTAGAGATCATTTAATATAAATGCTGAGCGAGTAAAATAAGAGGTGGCACATTAATAGTGCTTTAGTATATTAATGTATGTATACATACTCATATGTATAAGTGAGCTGTGTACCTAAATAAATGTAGCGAGGAGCAGCCGAAGGCTTGAAGTCTGGTAGGAAAATCTGAAACAAAGAAAACCCAAAAAATCCATGATCGTGGCGCTGAGAATTTGGAAGAGGTGCCCTTTTAAACACGCCCAGATGAGGATGTCAGACACAAGGAATATTTGCGTCTCCATCTATTTGATTCTATCTGTGTACAAGGATCTGTAAAACTTTTGTCAGTTCTCATTACTCCTCATCTGACTTAAAGGCTCAACATTCAACTAAAAAAAGCAGAGCGCCTCCTCTGGTCTTTAACCGTTTTACTCGCGGGGGGACTCGCTCCCTCCGAGCAGAGCTGTAAATCTGAGCATCATCATGCTAATTGTTTACAAAAGGCAAAAAGCTCTATGCTGAGCGTCAGCGGTAAACAATTTACATGAAAGAGAAAGAGCAGTGTTAGTGGTAATGGTGGTGATGATGATATCTGGGTACTGGGAGAGTGTGTCATATCGTCAGCTGTTAATCGAAGCCTGGAACCGTTAAAGTCTGATAGTGGTGTACAGCGACTTCTAAGAGTGTGTCTCGTCTAGCTCTCAGTTCCCTACATTTGATATCCTCAGCTGTAAACATAATTTATCAACAGCGCTGTGCAGCAACAACCTCTACAAGTTACCTTTCTAATGTCACAAATAAAGTCACCCATTTAACGACAGAGAGAAACATATCAAACTAAACACTATTAAGCCTTCACGAGGTAAGCCGCACCCCCAGAATCGTAACAACGTAAAGCATGAAAAATTAAACAAAATAAACAAATCACAAAGGGAAGGCAACTTCATAGAAGTTAGGAGAACAAATGACAAGATAATCCCAATGGGGAGGCCTTTTGTGTGGCCAGAAAAGAAGTTCTGAGGAGGGAAATCCTTTTTATTTTACCCCTGACGTTAGAAGGTTTATCAAGTTGCTCCTGAGGCAGAAAGACGTACTCTCTCTTGGTTTTAATATGAATCAACCTCACTCCAACAAAACCCAATGTGACTATTTTTGAGCTTTGCGACAAACTCGGACTGAATGCAGCCCGGCGGAATACAGGCGAGCGTCAACCACGTCAGGTCTCACCACAACCAAGAGAAGCACCATTGTAAGTAGATTCCCTTATAGAAAACATGTGGAAAGCTCATTATCAAAAAGACTCTTTGCAATCTTTAAAACAGAATGCTTCAATTAAATATATAATACACTGCTTTCAAGTATGAAACAGACATATGATGAGTTCATAAAATGCACTAATAAAATTAGACTTCTCGTGGCAGGTGAGCACGTGCATATGGTGCAAAAAGTGATTCCTAAAATCGTCTCACATCTTCATACCAGCTGAATACTTACAGATTTTTTTTTTTTTTGCTTTTTCCCTCCTCAGACCATCTAGATCTGGACGACCACTTTTTACAATTCTGGGGGTGAGTACCAAGTGACAACACTTCTGCTATTACCTACAACACCTTTGCCCTAAGTTTATCTGAGTGCATGTGAGTGTGATAGTGCGTCCTCTGTGATTAACCGTTCATCTACATGCATGCTGCGACTACAGAACCAAAATAATTACATAGGGAGGTCAATGAGACACCCTTGAGGTGTGTTCGACTTTATTGAGGATGGAATAGATCTATCCTTTTTTTCTTTTATTGATATGACAGTACCCATGTCACCATCACCACCATTTTCTCTTCCTGCTTTATCTACTGTGAGCCTTGTTAATCAATAATCCCAGTGCAAAAGAAGAAAAAAAATAATAAAACACACACGAGAAATGTTAACATATGCCCTGGTTTCCAGGCAAGGAAAGTCATTAAAAAAGCTCATTCACAGAACAAAAAGAAAGAAAATTCATATCACGGCAGATACTGCTCATTTTCTAAATAGAATGGGTGTATGTGTGCCTTTGCATGCTTTCAAAATGAGCATCTTGAGTGTGTAAGTGTGTGTATGTTTCGTGTGTTTGTGTGTGTGTACTGCCTAGGAACAGGAATGGACGACGCCATTCTTCTGCAGCTCCGAACCAGTGGCACCTGGATCAGAGCACAGGCTCAACGCAGACGTCTTATTGGTCAGTGACAGCATGGACCCGCCTACTGCACTTTCTTGCAGACTGCTGGAGCCGTTGGACACCTCGCTGGATATGGGACAGAGAAATTGAAACCACGTAAGAGACATGTATAAGGAGATTGGTTTATACCGGTTGTGATAATGGTTTCGTAAATGTCCACTCACCCAAGAGCCAGGGAGATTTCCTCCAGATGAGCTTTGTGCTCAGGTTGTCCGTTCTCAGCAGGTTTCATCTTGTACTGCTGAACTTCATGGGCTGCTTGGTTTTCCTGGTTTGAAGATAGACGGAACATTAGCTCTATCCTGTGGACGGCTAAGCTACGCTCACATCAAGACAGCTGTTCAGGTGTTCATATGTGTACTGAGCGTCTACTATAACAGAGCACCTTCCCCAACTTCTGTGAACCCACACTGTGCACTCCTCCTTACCAGAGCCATCTCTCGGGTCCTCTTGCCGATCTCTCTCTCCACCTGGTGGAGCTCTTGGCTTAACTGTTCACTTGAGACAGATGCTGTACTTGTGCCCCCTGCTGGCCACTTGGGCTGTTGCTGCTGTGTTGCTGCTACTGCCTGGCTCTGACCGGGCTGCACCGGCTGGCCTGCCAATGAACTGGCATCCCTCAGCAAAGGGTTATTGGCAGCCTGTAATAGAAGGCAGGAAATGAAAAGGATGAGTGTGCGATTTAGGAATCCATGACAATCATTACGAAAAAATGCAGAATTGAACAGAAAGACTGTTATTTCTCATACTTGACTGAAAATGTCAAACTGATCAAATATGTATCTGCAGTTTCTTGACTTCTGAGGTCAACTCAAGGGAATACTCACCTCTATGCTTCTCATCTGGGTCTGTTGGTTGATCTGCTGGTTGACCTGCTGCAGCTCAAACTTTAACTGTTCTCTGTCTGTGGTTGCCATGGGTAGGCTGTGAGGAAAAATACAGTGAAAAATTAGCTTGTTTTGCAGATGTATACGTTTAAGCATGTTTACTTCTGTCTTATTTTTATTACTATTATAAAAACAATTAAGGGGAAAAAAAGAGGATGTCTCACCGCTCACTAAAATGTCCCTGAGAAGAGGAGGCAGCATGGTGGGAGGGGTATGAAGCTCCACCCCATCCTCCTTGGTTTCCATATGTGTATTCTGCTAAAGGTGAGGTGGTGAAACGGTTATCAGAGGTGCTTTTCAATCACAAGATTTAAGGATTACAAAAAGCAAGCATAAGATACTCAGGCACACTGGTATTTCAAATAGTTGATCAGTTAACAAATGTTCTTACCTGGCATGGTCATGTGTTTAGAATTTGGGTTCTGGGGAGTTGAGGCCATAGCCTGGACAGGGCCAGTGGTCTGGTAGCCTGTCTTTGAGGTGCGGGAGATGGCACCGAAGCGCGACACAGTGGGCTGGGGGCCGAAAGGGATAATGGGGTCGTCATCCTTGACTTCTGCGCCCCTTCGAGGAGCCTCCAGAGATGGTTCCCTTAGACCCTTAGCATCCACATTCTGAAAGAAGGAAGAAAGGCAAAAAAAAAATAAAGATGTATTATAACATGAGACAAGACAAGATTTTCATGATCTTTGATGCATCAATGCTGAATCACAAAAACTCTATTATTCTACCAAATATATGAACACAATGGCAGAGCTCCCGTCAGACTTATCCATCTGAACTCACCATCATCTCCATGGTACCAGGAACCATGATGTCTTTGGGTTTGGGGTCCTTTGTGCCAATGTAGGAGCCAATGGTTTCACAGGACCAGGGAGAGTACTGCCCTGCGTAGTCAGGCTCTCTGCATTTCATCATGGTTTTCGAGCTCTCCTCCCCGTACTGTGGACACAGAAAATGTTCCTCAATCATGAAGTATTACTTTATTTCTTTCATTAACATTCGTGTAAGATTTGTAAAAGTATCATAATAGAATCCCACAGCGCCTACCTCTGGAGGATAGTCACTGGGGAAAGGATGGGAAAGAGTGGGAGAGGCAGCAAAAGGCGGAGGAGAGATGACCTTCCTTTCCTCCAGCTGAGATAACAGCTCTTGTCTACGCCTGTGCAGGTAGTCCAGGCTCGGCTGTGAACCGCTATATGATGGCCCCTGAGACACACAGAGAAATGTCACTTTTTTAGCACATATTTTGGAACGGAGGTACAATCACATAGTGAACAGTTCAGCAGACTCACCCTGGGGTAGGCCCTCATGGGAGGAGGCTGGGTTCCTTGTGGATAGTAGCCATCTGGGGGGTATCGATCTCGAGCGTTGGGCTCCTGGTGGTAAAGGGAGTTGGCCTGTCCTGCTGATGGAGGTGGTACATCCAGAGGAGCAGGACTCATTCTGACCAGGCCGTCCCTCTGAGACGGGTAAGGCTGCGGGGGAGGTGGTGGGCCGGCGTAGGTCCCGTGGCGGCCTCGGTCATGGTGAGGAGGGTGAGGGTAGGAGAAAGGTGGACCAGAGTGAGGGGCCTGGTAGGGGCGATCAGGAGGGCAGTAGCTAGGATAGTCCTGATAAGGGGGTCCTGACTCACTGGGAGGTTGAGGGTTACGAATGTAATCCCGGGGGACATACTGTTGGTAGGGATATCCTGCAAAGCAAATGGGAGACATTCATTAATACCACTTAAGACTGTAACTAAACCAGTGGTTCTCAAGTTCAGTCCTCGAGGCCCACTGTCCTGCATGTTTCGGATCCAACACACCTGATTCAAATGATTAGCTCGTTATTAAGCCAGTACAGAGCTTGATAACGAGCTGATCATTTGAATCAGGTGTGTTGGAGCAGGAAAACATCCAAAACATGCAGGACAAAAAAGCTGTTTTATTACAACATTGACTGAACGCTTACCTGTGGCATACTGTGCAGGCTCATACTGAGAAGCAGAGGGTGGCGGGCGAGTGTCGTAGCACATTTCAGTGAGCTGTTGCTGAGGGTAAACTGGCAGACTTCTGGCTGATACAGGCATGTGCTTCACCCCGGAGAGGTGGTCAGCTGGCATCCTCGGGTGAGCCATGGCATGGGGTGGCAGAGGCATGCCAGGTTTGGACACAGGGTCCATGCTACAGGACAAGGGGGAAATAAAAAGGTAAGCAAAATGGACTAATCCTTCGCACAAGGCTTAGACGCAAACTTATGTTTGAGGAGCTGGAAAGGTTTTTCAATCAAGTGCAGCCAGATGTTGGTAACTGGACTAGTAAAAGAGCTTCTTCACTCACGGGTCAGGTGGGGATCCAGGGGCGCTGGGACTCCCTCCATCCATCTTCATGGGTTTGCGCAGCAGCTCGTAAGGGACAGAGTCAGTGCTGCGAGGAATGAGCTGGGGCAGAGAGGGCGCACCGCTGCCGTTAGTGAGGGGCGAAGGCTTCCGGGTCACTGCTACATCAAGAGGAAGGCCATCATCTGGCATGAGACCTCCTGAGCCAGGGAGGCGAGCTGCCAGACGTTTATTCATCTTACGGTACCTAAAGTGAAAGCAACATGGTATCATAAGTGAAGGCACGCTTTATGTAAATTCTTTGATGCAAGTATCTGCTTGTGCGTCAGACTCACTTCTCTAGCTCTTCCTGAGAGTGAGCAAAGGTGCAGCTGGCTCCCCGGGGACAACCACCCTTCTGCTTCATGTCACGACACATGTAAGTCTTGTACTTGCTGTGTTGAGGAGGCTGAAGGAGGGAAAAATAGTGTTGAGTATAAAGAATGGAGTTTTTTTTTTTGTTTAAATAAGGTAAAACTCTGCTGTTAAAAGTTGTAGTGAATACAATTAGAAAGTAAAACAGACAAAACTTTTTTTTTTTTAAAGAGAAAAGCAAGTCCCGTAAGAGATTAGTATGAAATGATGTTAGTGTTTCAACTCTGTTCTCTGTCGAGTTACAATGTATACGTTCTGTGGTGTAGGGGAAAGACTGACCTGTTGAGGGTCTGCTCCTTTCTTGCTGTGGTTCTGGATGAAGTCCACCAGGCCATGCACTACTGTTTTTACTGCTACCAATCCTTTCTCAAGCTGCTCCCAAGTTGGAGGGGGGGCATCTGAGGACACAGACAGAGATTTAAGAAAACAGGATTTCTTCTTTTTTTTTCTTAAGTTATGTTTAAGGACATTTTGGTAACGCTTTCTTTTTCGGTACACTTATTACCAGGTAATTAACAGGTAATTACCTAGTAACAACATGAAATTATCTGGTAATTACATGATAACTACTAAGTCAATACTGCAGCTCCATTTTCAAAAGCTATTTGGGGTTCTTATTTTCTATGATTGACACTTGTTACAGCCTATGGGCGTGCGAAGATTGCGTAGCGATACGCTGTTTGAGCTGAGCATTATCACAGCGACTCACCCGCCGAATGCGTACAATGCTACTGCGCAAGAGGTGGTTCCAGAAAGCGGCGAAAATCCTGGAAATACCAGAGCAATTCGGTTTCAAATTTATATGATGATGGAAGGTTACCTACCTGGTAGCTAGACAGAATTGACTTAGTAGTTATCATGTAATTAACAGATAATTTCATGTTGTTACTGGGTAATTACCTGTTAATTACCTGGTAATAAGTGTACCGTAAAAGAAAGGGTTACCGACATTTTTTGTTGGAAAGGAAAGCTAAAAGCATCTGAGCTGACTGATTTTTTTTTCCTGTGATACATTTTCTTCATATATTACTATTCAACCAAGATTCTTATGGTTGTTGTTTGTTTTGTTTTTCTTACCAGGACTAGGATCAATGTTGGCCAGTAGTTCAAGGTGGGGTCGCAGCCTGTTGAGGTTGGCTGGGTCTCCAGTCCTCTGCAGCGCGATGGTCAGCTCCTGAACACTCTGAGCAAATGATGCCGGGGTTTGCAGCTACAAAAGAAACAGGAAAAATGAGGGTGTTATTATTTTGGCATGTTTTATACCAAATTAGATGTCTTACGCTGAAAATACAAAGCTAGTTCGAGTGAAGAAACCCTGATGTGTTCCAAACAAATACATATGATCTATGAAATATATGGACATGTAACAAGATGTGAAAGATACAAAATGATACAGATAAAATACAAACTTCATACACACCTTATCAATGATAGACTGCATGTGTGACTTGTGAGATTGATCTCCATATAACAGAGAAGACCACTGGTCAGGTGCAATGCGCAGCCCACCCTCCATGGCTATTTGAACTATCTGAGAGTCATGCTCACGCCGCAGGGCTTCATAAGTACGGAACTCTTCTTTCAACTGCATCAGGGATGAATCTTCATCACGTTTGGTCACCTAGTAAGGCAAAAAAAAAAAAAAATGTTTTCAATAGGGGAAATTATTTGGAGGGCAATTATGGAGAGCAGCACCTCAAGATTTTTAACAATTTGCAATAATGGGGTGGGGGGTTGTCACACATGGAAATGTGAGGTGTCTAACAACCAATTTGAAGCATTCTGATTGATATTTGTGCAACAGTTTCTGTCGAAGAATCATCTGTTTCAATGATTTATATACTACTATGGAGAAAATATCATGAGGGTAGTCTGCACAAAGACAAAGTCCCACCCCCTTATCATTTGGGCCCAGCCTGCATCTGTGCCATGTGGTACTCCAGGACTTTTCCTCAAAGTGAGGACATGGAATAGAGCAGCATGTTAAACCATGAGTCCACCTAAGGCAGCTCTTAAAGACAATGACCTCTCTCCTTGCGGTAAAGATTAATCTTGTACTTGTCTTCAAAAATTTTGGGACTCTCCATGGAAGACTTGGGTTGAGTACTCACAGAGTCCTCTGTGACAGCCCCAGCTGTTATCAACATCAGAAAAACAGCCAGAAAAGTAGTCAGCTGTTTGGCTGACAGCCAGTGCCTGTGAAGACCCCTGATAACATACCTTGAAGCAGGAAGCCCTGTAGAGGAGCTGCACCACGTGGCCTATACTGGTCTTAGAGGCCTGTGGAAAGCGTGGCTCAAGCCTTTGGACCACAAAGAGAACTAACACCTTCCTGGACAGAGCAGAGCCATCCTCTAGAGCGAGGAGGACCAACTTTAGAGCTTCCTCCTGCATGGCTGGGGAGAAGAAAAAACACAAAAATTGAAACATAACTACCAGCTCATTAAAAAAAAAAGTGGTGTTCCTGTTTCAAACTGTGGGCAAAGGGGAATTGACCTACCTGGTCCCAGAAACTGACACCCACGAGCACGCACAGCAGCCCACAGATTGGAGGAGAGCTGCTGCGGATTCTGATGCTGCAGGATAAGTTCTGTGACAGTTCGCTCACCGAGAGAGCGGGCTGCTCGCATGGCTCTCACGCGGCCCTCCTCCTCTACCAGCTGGCAGTGGACCAGAGTTACCAGTTTCCTCTGCATGGGGCGACTCAGCATGCTCTGGGCCGTGCTGCTCAGACCCACACCTGGAGAAAGATTACAACTGATAAACTCGGGTAGTATACTGTATACACTCAGCTGCCAGTTCAAAGAGTTCACCCTGCTAAAAGTCCTACAAACCATCACAGCAGTTCTGGGATAAAGCCCACCCTCGGTTGAGATTATCTTGTTCAGATAGCTCCTGACTTGACGTCATGATCATTTTGGAGGATGTCGTTTGTGTTGTGCTTTGAGTCTACTGGATTTTGCATGCAAGTGTTTCTTTTATCAGTTGAAGAAATACATCAGAATAACTCAGTACGATAGCAATTCAACTGCGACAGTTACAAACAAAAAGGGTACAGCTGTATCAATGTCTGTAAAGGTGAAACATTACACATTGAGATACGGCTGTTTCAAGGTGATGCTGAAATTGCAGCATTTTATTGTGATTACTAAACTCTGTTAATTTGAAAAAAAAGAAAGAAACAAAGAAAATCTGAGCCACCATGGATGTTTGGTGTAAACACACACTATGAAGAGAAATTCTCTGCATTTTACTTTGGCGACAGAGAGACTTCATGATACATACGTGTTAATGCGCCTGCTGTGTGCTGATCAGCAGTTTTGGTCTATGGCGCACTAGTCACTTTAAACTTTGTAATGCTATATGTGTTTTTTGCTACAAAACTTGAACATTTCCACCAAGACTTTCTGTAATGTAAACAAAACAGGAGTTCTGCTTTTCTCTCTAAAAATATTCGAGGCTATGAGGGAAAAAAAAATCAAATTAACCAACCGACTCACACAGTGACCCAAAAATAACTATGAGGTTAATAAAACCATCTACTATCTAATTTTAGACATGGCATGTTTGCAAAATACTCAAAATAGCAGAACTTCTTCAACAGCACTTTCAACTGATGAAGACTCTGAATTTCCATGTTTCGATACATCAACAGAGCATCTTCATTTTTAAATGTGTTTACAGGAAGAATCTGTCAGGCAACCTACTTATGTCATATTCAAAACATTGACTGTGAGTGGAAATCTTTAAAGAGCTCCAGGTTAAGGGGCTATAACATATACTTGTGTTTTTTAAAAATGTTTTTTACTCTGGCAATTACTGATATCTTCACTCATACAGCATTTTTTGGAGAAGAATAGGGAACTAACAGTTACCCAGCAACAGTTTTCTCACATCTTGAACCACATGAATGCCAAAAATGTTGTGTACTGGGACTTCCCATTTGAACAAAAAAAACCTGCACTTCCATTAAACTTGCAGATTATGAGAGGAGTGGAAAATAACACAAACATGATAAGCTTGTGTTTGTGTGTGTGTGTGAGTGTGTGTGTATCTATTAAGTACCTCTGGTATTGCTGAGAGGTTTGAGGTAGAGAGCCAGCTCCTCCACACACTGTCTGGCCTCTTCATAATGCTGCGAGTCCTCAGGACTGGTAATCAAGGCAACTGGCTGAGCCTTGGGAACCTGCAGTGCAACACAAAAAAAGGAATTAACAGGGACAAAGCATGACGATATCTGCTGTTGTTTTTAACCACTGTCAATATTCTTATTATCAAAACAACAATGTGTTAATGATCAAGGGAATTAAAAAGGAGATGCTGCATGATGACCTAAAAATTCACTTATCCTCTCTGTTTCAGACCATAGCATAGATCTCCTCTTGGTGAAACTAAATCATAAATTCAGAATACATTTTTCCCATTTCTTATACAAATCATGACAAAAACCATGCATTTGGTCTGCATTCTGATAAGCTCTTTTTGAAATTACCGTAATATCCCATCAGACAAGTGTGCCTGGGTTACGGTCCATTGATTTAGATTTGCATGGACTGTGTTACACAACAGGCAAAAAACACCAATAACTACATTGACATTTGACATTTTAAAGACCACTTTAAGGAACTGAAGCCTTTTGCTTTATTCCTAGCACCTGTTATGCCGCCTTAGACAGCACTTATACCTATCAATGCGTTTCCATAACATAGATCCCAGAGACATCTCGTCTTCATCTAATCATAAAGTCATGCTCTCTTCGATCTCCCCTTTTTTCTACTCTGATAAACTCCAGCAGCTATTTACTATGATATTGTTACCGTCTACACTCTCTGAGCACAGATCTGTGAGGCACTCAGCTGAGAGACAAGACATCCCAGCGATGACCACATCAGACACATATCAGACTCACAGTCAATACCACTGCTGTTATCCTTTATTATACGGTTAATGGCTGGAAACTTGGCAAACAAAGACAAAACACCATTAGGGAAGCCCCACCCTGTTAGTCACACACCATCTCAGAGCAACACAGCTGAGTGCCAGCACTCAGTAAACCTGAAGAATTAAAGCAATTGCTCAATGACTGAAGAGTGACTCATACAAGGATCTCTAAGCTATAGCATCATGTGGCAGCTCATGTGTAACCATCCAAAAGTGTTCATAAATAGTGATTACAGATAAAATTAGACTCAAATTCAAGTAGTCAGAAGCCTTACCTGGCCTCCCACCAGCTGCAACAGGGCTGTGTTGACAGGTAGCTGCTCGATGTCTGTGCTGATGGCTGTCTGGTCAAAGGGACAGGCCTTTCGGTGTAACTTGTTCAGGCACATCTTGCAGACAGTGTGTCCACAGCCCAAGCTGATAGGCCGGCGAACAGTCTCTTCAAATGTTTGTGTGCAGATCGGGCACAGCAGGAACTCCGTCCATTGTGGTGCTTGCACTGGCATGGTTATATGTTGATGGGACGAGTGTGTGTGAATGTATATAAGATTTAACACAAAAAAAAATCTAATAATAATAATAATATTAATATATATATATGGAAGATTCCACTGGAATCAAAATTTTTTCTTCCGAACTCAATCGTTCTTAAATTTTCTCACACATTGTGGATTTTGGATCACATGGCGTGATGAATACTGAAAAAGAGAGAAAGAGAGACAGAAAGACAAAGATAAGTAACAATCATCAATTTTGCAGGGGTAGAAAGTAACTAATAACATTCATTTACGACACTGTAATTTCTTTGTGGACTAAAACTGTGGGTTGTTTTTAAAACCAGCTGTTTTACTGTCACTGAGGTGTTTTCTATTTTGAGTATCTTACTTTGCTTCATTCAACATAGCATACTTCCTGAATTTGAAACAATAACAACAACAAAACATCATAGTAACTTTTTATTAACCACGTGACTGCCAGCGGATCAGATGATGACTACACTGCAAAAAAACCCTTCAAATTTAACTAAGTGAATTTGTCAGTTAATATCTACACTTAATTCAAGCCACAATGACCTGACAGGTCTAAGTATGAATCTTATTTTAAGATATTTCAAACCTGATTTTTGTTCTAAGTTCCTATAAATATTTGTTAGATAATATTTTCCAGAAACTGAAGCACATTTTTCTTGCTACAGCCATTTTTACTCATAGTCTTTACTTTGGCTACATCTTTGTACAGCAACTCATGGCTTCAGTGTGTAAAAACCACTTAAACTGACAAGAGCTGCTGCAAAATATTCAGTAGTTTCGGTCACAATAGGTACAGAGTCAAAATCACCTCACCAATTCATGCTGGTATTATATTAAACAACAACTAGTTTAAAGGAAATATGGCCATATATAACTAAAGAAGCGTATTATACTCCCCAACCCCCACTGCCATAAGATAAAAACAAATATCAGGTCAATACAGGACAATCTGAATTTATTACTTTCACTTGAATAGATAAACGCTGGTAGCTTTATTTTTACTTCAGAAAATGCTAATCAAAGTATCAGTACTTTTACTGGAAAAAAAATATTTTAACTCTTTTTCCAAACTGCCAATTTCAATATCCCAGCATCAAATATTGACATTTAGATGTTTTTGAGCTCCTAGTCTATGTTACATATTGGTACTGACAGGGCAGATCTATATTGTCCGTGTAAGTGCAGCTCTGAGACAAAATAACAAGCAATAAAGGTAGGATGACAAAGTAAAGCTATCGTAAGGCTGCTGCCACTTCACAAAAATAACATCTATAATGGAGAGTGTCCTATTTTTCTGACTTATAATAAAACTGAATAGAATCAGAAGTGAAAGCTGACATTATTTTAAGTTAGAGAGGTAACAAGAGACGGAGAAAGATCAAAACAACTGCTGAGTGGCCTATTTATAAGAGCTGGTTACCCTGTAGGACTACGGACAAAGGGTCCTAAAGAAGCTAACAACCAAGTCAATCTGAGCTATCAAGCTCCTTACGAACATTACACGATTGCCTCTCTACGGTGTCACATAGTACTCTATAAATATGACTAATATAGACAGTAAATGAATCCGCGATCGTAGATTCTAGTTTCACGTCAATGGGCTCAGTATTGTTTAATCGCTAAACATGCGAAACGTTAACGTTAGCTTCATTTTAGCAAGCTAAGCTATGGGTGGCTAGCTTGCTATATTGGCTAGCGAGCGAACGTCGTCCGATTAAACGTATCTTTTTTAACTTTTGCGCCTTTGTAGGTTGATAATACCGCTGTCACATGAAGATATGTGCATTTAAGTGTGAAACAATTATATCGATGGGGACATTTAGACACCGTATTGTGTGCTGGTCAAAGAAACTATAAAAGGTGGAGAAGAAGCAGAGTGACTGAAGCCATTTGACTCTCAACAGCGACATTATGTAACGCTTCTCTCTGGAGCTACCTACCAACCCAATTATGTATATAATTAACTGACATTTACCTGAGTTGCAGAAAAATAACAGTAAAATGAATCCTTTTGGGGCGCATTCTGATACGCAACTACGATAAATCCTCCTCTCGTCGTTTGACCACAGAGAGCTAGCAACCTAGCGAACAAACCGTACTCCTCCCTCTGCTAGCAGCTAGCCTGTATGCTAACTATCTTACCACCGACCATGGCTATGCGTCATTAATGTGACTAAAACATCAAATATAAAGCCCAGTTGGATTGATTCAAGAAAATAAGTCATTGTCGTTGATACTACTCACTCATTCCAAAAGACTTGGAAGATTTTCATCTTTCTTTAGGTAATTGTTGCGATATTTTCTTTCCATGTCGACTGTGCAGCTTAGCTGCTGCCGAGGTTTGGGGAGGGTGTCAACTCGACAACAGCCTCGCTAGCCGGTTACAGCTAGCTGGGCGAGGTGTGTGTCTCTGTGTGTGTATGTGTGTGTGTGTGTGTGTGTGTGTGTGTATGTATGTGTGTGCTCTTTGGTGTATGCTTCTGGCGCCCTCTACCGAACTTGGGTTGCATGTGCAGCACCATATAAAACCAAGCAGCATCTGCCAAAGTCTGTAGTGATGGGCATGGCAGTTCTTTTAGATGTACTGAATCACCAGAATCGGTTCACTAAAAAGATTCGTTCAAAAGATCTGTTCACCGAATCAGTGAATCATTCAGCGCTTGGTGGGAGGAGCCTGCGACTCCAACCTCCTGAACTGATACAAAGCTGAACGGCTCAGGATTCAGTTCGATTCAAAACTTCTGGGACCGGGAGAAGAGAGTGTTTGGCTGTGTCGCTTTGGCAAACAACTTGTTTAGAAGTTATGTTTACATGTACTGTCTTATGGTATGCTATTTATCAGGTCTGCTCAGTAAACTGGGGTCAGTGAGTGATTCGTTCACTGAACGTTTTCACAAGTGAAGTATTCACACTGAACATGCACTGTTCCCTCGCAAACCGCTGCAATGATAGGAACCTGCGAGTTTAATGCACTACTTGTTACATGCTGTGTCCTATTGTATGCAAGTTGTTGTGGTGGCAATTTAGCAGTGAAAAAAAGGTAGTTATGTTTGACAAAAGTGATTTCAGAGAGTGTAGTTCAATGCGTGATTCGTTCACAAATTAATTCAGGCGTCAGTGCATGTGGTCCTTCGTTCGCCGGCTGCTGGCCTGGCAATGCTGTTTCTCACTTCAGCTCAACTGAAGTGAGAAACGACCGAATCACTCGAGGAAGTGATTCGGTTCAGTACTTTACTTAAAAGATTCGATTCTTTTGAACGAATCGTTCGCGAACGACACAACAGTACTGCCAAAGTCTGATCACATCTGGGGATTGTGAAAACTGGCAAGCCGAACCTTGTCCCAGTTAGACTGACGGTGTGTGCATGTTCGTGTGAGATTGTGCGGGAAGAGAGGTGGAAAGACAGAAAAGAGGGAGGGATCAGCTCTTTTAGCAAATAAGAATCAGCTGCCAGTTGTTATTACGATGCAAAATTTGGCCTATATTCCTCTGTATCCTTGAATCAGCATCGCCAGATCATCAGGAGGGGAAGACGTGGGACATATGACGAAGGCTGACTCTCATGAGGCCGTTTTAACGATATTGTTCCATTTTTCATATGTTTATGTGTGCAGGGAATAGAAGTGTGCGCTCTGTGTAGCCTCCTTATGCAACATAAAGCTTCACTCGGCAACGAGTTCGTGAAGCAAGGACGAAATTAAAGCAGGCATTTTTTTGTATTCCATTTTTGTCTAATCCCCGCTGATTTCTGTGGGGATTACCGGACCAATCATGATTGAGAGGCCAGTGGCTCGCCTGACACTGCTCGGGCCGGGAGGAAGGACAACATGAGGATCCGCAGGTTAATTGAGAAAAATGACATCTCGCTTCATATCCGGAGGAGAAAGTTGCTTCGTCTTCTCTCGCGTGTTGCATGCTGTCCTGAGGATGCACGCTGCAATATCTGCAGGTTTTAATATGAATGATGACTGAATCGGAATTTTAAGTGAACTTTCTCACGATGGACAACGTCGGATTTGTGATTTAGAGTATCGTCTGCTCAAAACATCCAGGTACTCTTTTCTCTTTATGTTTGAGTTGTTGAACTGAACATGGTGTACGTGAATTTGCTCTGAGACTTACTCTGTTCTCGATGTTGACACTGGTCTGTATTTATTAAATTAATCTGAGAGATGTGGTGTAGCCTAGAACATCCACGCACTTGATGACACCTTAATGTGAAAGTATGCCATCTCCCCAAGGCAGAACTAGTAGGTGTTTTTTAGGCGTCCTTAAATAAGATGCTGGTTGACATGTTTATTTTAAAGCTATTTATTTAGCTTGACAGCAATTCTCTTTGTGTCATATTTATCAGGGCAGGGGTTCTGATGCAGGAGTAGTTGCTAACCCTTATTCTAAAGGATTATCCTGTGCACTGCAAAGTAATCTGTGGATAAGGCAACGTGACTGAACCCACATTACATATCTTCTCACCAGGCAGATCAGTTAGAAAGTGGGTGGTAGCAGAGATGTAAAACAGATAGAGACAGTTTTTTTTTCCCCTGCATGCTTTTAATTTCCTTTTTCATTCATTTAGGGTCTGACCAGACTCCTCAGCTGATGGAGGAAGAGAAGGTTGCTGATAACACCCAAGCACAAACCAGTTCTCCTTTACCTGCAGGACTCCCCATCAATTGGAGACTCATCACCGGCCCTGTACCCGAACCTGTTTTTCCTACACCCTCTCAGATTACCCATCTTCCTCCTGTCTCTCAGAGTTCAGCTGTACACGCTCTGCAGACTAAGGTAAAGTCGCTCACGCAGAGAAGGCCAAGAGGAAGAGATAGAGAGAGGTTAGACGCAGCCGCTCAGGAGAGCAGTCCAGTCGGGCAGATTTCATCTGAAGTCCTTCTCAGACCAAGGCCCAGAGGAAAGGGTCAGGTACCCCTGCCTGCCCTTTCCTGGCGATCAGGCGCTGCAAAGATCTTAAGCAGCAGTGATGAAGAGGAGGAGGTGGAGGTGCAAGTCAGGTTGGAGATCCACAGCCCTCCACCTGATGTTAAAGGAGAGGAGTTGATCCATGGCGGAGATGAAACTGAAGAAGACAGGTCAGACAGAAATGAGAGCCAGGTCAGTTTTCGGCCTTACGGGCTTGGGGAGGGTACCAGCCTGGAGAGTCTTCTGTCTGATCACTCAAGCAGCAGTAAAGATGAGCCATCTCCTCCTTTACCTCTTCCGCTTCCTCCTCCATCTGCTCTCTCCTCCCCTCCTGCAACCACATCTACTTCTACAACATCCTCTACTTCAACCTGCACCTCAACCAGGCGCTGGGCACCACCCAAAGGCTTCTGGAGAGTTGCGCGCCCTGAAACATTGCTTCTCAATGGCGTTGGACCAAACAACCTCCACTCCACTCTGCCTCTTAAGGACTACACTCTGTCCGAGACACTGACAGACCCTCAGGGAACTTCTAAAGCAGGAGAATCAGGAACCAAAAGTGATGTCGGAGTCGCGGTGGACGACTGCGTTGTATCCACAGGGGTCAAACGCTCAGACAGCGTGGAGTGTTTCCTGGACAGGTGCGAGCAGAAAGAAACAGAAACCTTGGGGCCGTGCACTTCAGACACTTGGGAGGGCTTGGCATCACAAGTCAGGTTGCTCTCTGCTGATGAGAAACTGAAGATGAAGCAGAAGGCTTATGATAGATTAAGGGAGAGAAAACAAAACTGCAAAGAGGAGAGAAAGCAGAGTGAAGGAGAAAGTGCGGAAAATTATGAAGACTCAAGTCACAGAGAGGATTGTATCGGTAAGTTTCATGAGGAAGGGGTAATGTATTTAATCTGAAATGCTTTGTGACATTTTGATATATTCAGTACTTCAGGTGATAGTAAAGTAAAGGAAAGCTTTCCACAAGTTGATGTTCACTCATCACTTCCTTGTTCAGTTAAGTGCTACTATTTGCCTTTAATATTATAACCTCATTCAAAGCTGATGCCATCATATGTAGGTATTAAAAATAATTAAAAAAGGTTTCAAAGTCTTTCCAGATTCTGCAACTATTCAAAGTTACTTATGCAAGCTCCATGCTGTTGTATATGTAACCTGGCTGAATCCCAGTGTTGAACAGATGTCAGATGTGCAGATGTGGTTGTTGCTATTATTAGCATTCAGAGTGGTGGGGGGGTGTCACTCTGTTTATATCTCTCTCTGTGGGCTGAAGGATGTCTCCTTATGGCGACAGCTTATGCATTTCCCTATACCGTGGATTAGTGATATTGTATGTGTTTGTTTGCTTTCATATTACAGTCAGAGCAAGGCCTATAGATAAATCCATGATGATGAAATGATTTTTCCCCTCTTGTACATGGGAAATCTTCTTGTTCTGTGCCTCATTCATTGCATAACTTGTTTTTTTCCTGACATTACGACCTGTCAGGGATAACCAGTGATTCTGTCACTGAACCCAATGATATAAAGGTTTATGAATATCATATCTAATCATGGGGAATGCCATCAAGTACTCTTTCAGTGGTAATATAGACATTGAATAGGACTCTAAATAACAACTGAACCCTTTTATAAGAGCAGTATTGTATTCTTTATTTATGATTAGTTAAAAAGATGTTTTAGAGTATACTTTAAAAAAGCCCAAACGTTGACTCACTGCGTTCACCTCTTATCTGCTTTTCCTCTCTGCTTTGTGCCAGATGCAGGTGCCCAGTGGGGTTTGGACAGCTCCGACTCAGCCATTGTTGCTCAGGAACTTGAGCCTTATTTGAGGTGAATAATGTAATGCTTCTTTATGTTCCTGGCACAGATGGTGAAATATAGCTCTTGAGCACTATTTATACCTTCACCTAGTAAATTTCACCCCTGTAGCTCCACTCGTGAGAATTTAGAGCTGCAAGAGTGTCAGAGAGCCTGCCCCCCATCTAATCAAAACAGATGTTGCACTACACATAATAATTTTCAAGATGTGATACAAGCATGAGAAGTAATATAGAAATGAAGAAATTGAAAAGTAAATTTTGATACTGATGACGAAGTTGTTCTACCCAGCTGGTAAACTGGCTGCTAATTATGCTGTTTGTCAGTGCTGGGATAAGACACTGTCATGCAACTATAATCTATTTCAACACAATATGTCCTCCTCCTCACACCCAGGAGAGAATGAATCACACTCAGTCCATTACAAGGATAATCCATGTGGTTGTTGTTGCATGCTATCTTTATCACTGGGCCAGGGGATAAAGACAAGCACAATGCAGAGTAGCTTAACTCTTGGACATAAGGACGGATGGACGGGAGGACACATGGATGGATGGATAGATGACATTCTCTCTGCTCCTCACAGCCACTGCCACCCCCCCAGCCTATCTATCTGATATTACATAAGGCAGCTTAGGAAGACACAGCTGGATTCACTCTATGTTAAGTCAATCTGTGGAGAACATGATGTAGCTGGATATGTCGCAAACAATAAGCTTACATCACCTAAATGATTTATCTTTGCACTATGTTTCCTGTTTCTCTTGATCCTCAGGTCTCTTCTCATAATCAGCGATGAGCTGCCGCTGAGCCCAAGACACGAGGAGGCCAAGCGCCTTCTGGAGCGAGCGCGGCTCAAGGCTCGCTCCAATCACTTAAAAGGCGATCCCCCCTTCAGACAATCCCATTCTGAGCAGAGACCTCCTGCGTAAGTTTGCTGACGTGGGCTTTGGCTTCTTTGATGTATGAGACTGCAAACGCTCCACTTCTTTTAAGCAGTCTGCATATACCAAGCACTAGTATGAGTTATTGATGTAATAATGTAGTTTAATTTTGTACACCTCCATCTTAGTTGTCTTGATATCGATGTTTGCACTTTTTCTGCATTATAAAGCTAATGTTAAGTTACCATTGGTTCCATAAACGTCAGCCATCTAAGTGGCCTAATGTGGGATAGCAGGCATCCAATGCAAAGCAAACTTGTCATACCTGAAAGAGCTACATTTATTGTGCCACATTGCAATTTCTCATGTATTTTTTTAAAATCAAAAGACCTCAAATCTTTTATTTTGAAATCAGCCACATTTTCCTATCTCACTGATAAATCTGTTAAATCTGTTATCTGTTGCTAGGAGATGGTTAACATCGTATACTACCGTTTTAAATATGCACTTTAATGTTTTTCCTGCAGAAAGATGCAACCAGTTAAAATTCCAAATCCAATAGCAGTGCAGGAACTTGAAACCAAAGAAGATCTCACACCTCAAACTGTATCTGTTCCCCTTCTTGTCCCCAATCAAAGAGACGCTCCTCCTGGTGACAGTGGTGGTCGACCTAGAAGGTATGGTTGTTCACCAACACGGGTACGCTTTGAGGATGAATCAGAAAAAGAAGCTGAGTCCCGATACTTGGATAGGGTAAGACAACGTGGCAGACCTGGGGCGCCCAAGTTCAAGAGCAAAGAGAATAATACAGATTCGAGCAGTAGTGGTTCAGAGAGGAGCAGAGGCCACAGGAGTGTCTCCATGCCTCCTGCACAGAAGCCAGAGGAAGTGAGCATCAGTGCTGAATCTACGACAGTTATTAAAGAGATAATAGTGCTGGTGAAGAAATGTGAACAATGTGGCTCTGTGGTCAGGGAACCTCAGCCAGTCTCAACACTGCCTGATCTACACAAGCCTGCGCTGCAGCTTCCAAGCAACCAAGATGACACACGAGGAGGAAAAGTCGCACCTCATTGGGTGCCTCCGAGCAAGTCAGAGGCAAGTACTCGCCCCAAAGCTCCTTTAACCGTCACTTTTGCTGGAGCATATGTGCTTGGGGAGAGTAAAGACAGTGGCACAGGCTGGAAATCCTCAGGGTTTGGGAAACTCAGGAGAAGGAGCAGGAAAGGAGAGAGTCGGGTAGAGTCTGGTAATGGTCCTTATGGGCTGTCTTGGGCACAGCGGCGTAACTCAAATCCAAGGAGTAGGGTCAACTTCAGCAGAGCAGTGTCCTTCGCACCAGGAAGCCCCATGGCTCTGGAGCCTTGTTTGCTGGAGGCATCTAGTGGATCACGAGATTCCCCTGCCCAATCACTGCCTATAAAGTCTGCCCTGAAGTCGAGTTCGAGAAATCGCTCTGCCGCAGGGCAGTCCACAGTTCAGTTCCAAATAACCTCTGATCAGGGAGACGAGGGAGGTTCTCAGCATCCAGCCCTCCTCGACTCTCTAGAGACAAGACAGGAGTCTCCAGCGTCTTTGGCCCTCGGGACCCCTGCAACCAGCAGCCCATTGCCCTGCATCAGGCCATCCACTCTCAGGTACTCACCACCCCGAATCACTACTGATCTGCCATCTGCTGAACACTGGGATGCCACTCAAGATGGAACAGGTGAGTGGACACTGGACTCAAACATAGTCCTTCTTCAGCTCAGGAAAACATGGACAATATCCCTCTGAACATTCCTGCATTATGTAAGTAGGAAGTACTGGCTAAGCTGTGACGCATGCAGTATGAAAAACAACAACTGTATGTTTATACTGTAAAAAAGGGCATTTGATTAAGCTCAGACAAATCAATTTTCGTGAAACCAGCAAAAATGAATGTAAATCGCATTGATATCAAGTTCAGACAACCTTAGTTCAGGCCAGACCATAATAATGTTTAAAAACCCAGTATAAGACAGAGCACCACTGAATAACATGAATAAAGCAAAACTCAACACAATAGAATTCACTAGAACAGAGTTATTGATGTTAGCATTTAAGTGCATCCTTGTCTAACAGCATCTCTTGGTGGAGACCCTGCTCCAGGCCCAGAGTGCCGCCCTGCTCTGCGCACCCTGGCTCTTTCTCGGACTGAGGACCTCAGAGCAGAGCTGTTGAGAGCTGAACACCTGAAAGCCGAGGCCACGTGGGAGGACAACTGTGACGGATCCAAGTAAGAAACTGTAACAACACATCCCCTTGTCTGTATCATGGATGGATAAGATAGAGGCCCTTTATTGTCATTGTGTTAAGATACAATAGCTGTTTCCTAGAACTGCTTGAGTATGACAAACTAATCGTGGACAGGAGATTAAAACCGTGACCTACAGTCCACAGGATGTTGTATCAAATATTGCGGGAACAGGACAATCCCGCCCTCTTCTGGCAATGCGAAGCTGTACTTGTTGAGGCGAACAGTTTGCTTGAACAGTTTGGGTTGTAAGTCTGTCTGGAGTCTATAAGACAACAATTATTCATTTTTTTTACACAGAAAGATGGACGGGAGGCCAAAGCTCTTCCTTCGTCGCTTCTTTTCCTCGATTGGTCTAAACAGCGTCGGCAGACTGGTCAAAGGAGGTCGCTCCAGCAGCATGGAACAGCTCAGTATAGCTGCTCCCCCACGGGCCAGCTCTACATCCCCAAGCCCCACCCGCAGACCACCACCTCCATGCCGCATACAGAGGACTCCCTCACTGCAAACCCTACACCCAGTGAGAAACCATTTCATGCCATGTTATGTTCAAGCACTACTGCACAGCCCTGCTATTGTCCTCTGTTTACTTTTATGTAAACATCAACAACAAACATCAAATAGATGCAATTTTTACCTTATAAAAGTAGGCCGTAGAAAAAAAAAACATATATTTACATGTCTTTTAACTTCCAGGTCTGCTTTGATGCCCTTTTATTACTTATTTACCACAGTGGACCAGCTAAGGCTTTGAAGTACTACCAACCTCTCTGCCTGACTCTGGAAGCACAAATAATGTATTCCAGGCTATTTCCTTCTATCCTCCATCCTTGCGGTCCTCTTGGCAGCTGTAAAAGTACACGAAACCAATGTAAACAATTTTCTGCTACAGCTAATCATTACCATTGTTAGCACAGTGTGCGCAGTATCAAACACACACTTGTTCGTTTTGGAGGGCTGTGGAAGCATAAAAAAGAAAAATCCTGTTAAAGATGCTAATTAGGGGAAATTTGCCAACATGGTCAGAGAAAATGTGCTACAGTGCTATTTATCTGCCACTAGGTGCTGCCACTGGCCCAACTGCGAAAAGCATCATCAGTACAGAGTTTGGAAAGGAGAACTGAGCGTTCAACAATACTGGGAGAAGTGCAGATACCGTATGGTCTGGCGCCTAGGTAGGTTTCGAGGATGTGAAAACAAGGAAGAAAAACAACACAAAATCATCATTGAGGATATGACTTTTTTATTCTTTTAGTTTACTAGTGACTAGAAATGAAACTCTGCCATTACAGCCCTGACGGCCTCCAGATTGAGCTCCACAGAGCCCTGAGTGTTGAAGATGTTCTTGCCTCCAGAATCGTGCGTCCAGTGGGTCGGGTCACCCAGGCTTTCCCCGATGGTACTTTCCTCCTGGAGCTTGTTAGACCTCCAAACGGCCCTTTTGGTTTTGTCATCTCAAGAGGCAAAGGTCGACCAGACACAGGCAACTATCAAAATTTACTTTCTTCTCTAAACCGTTTTAATTTAAACTTTGCTTTTTTTTTGGTAGTTTTGGATTGCCCAGCTGTCTAACTACCTTTCAATCAAACTATTTTCTGTTCCCCCTTCTGTTGTCTTTATCCTTTTTACTTTGCTCAATTAAATATTCTAGAGAGAGAATAATACCATGAAAAGAAGAAGAAAGAGTCATAATTAAGACATGTAGTGTAGTAAAATGGCAACATACCATTATAAATGAAACCATCAAAAATGTCAAAACACAGGGCAGATTTTTCTTCCCCACTCTCATTCTCACGTGACCAAATCCTCTTTTAATTTGATCCTTTCCTCTCATTTGTGTCTTCTCAGGTGTGTATGTAGAGAAAGTGGGTGACGGTAGCGGTGAAGGCCCCTATATTGGTCTCCTTGGCATTGGTGATGAGATTCTACAGGTGAATGGAGAAGTGGTGGCAGGCCTCAGTCTGGACCAAGTGACACGGCTCATGACCCGCGAGAGCACGGCTTCCCTTCGGATCATGCCAGCCAGACGTGTCCAACGCTGATGTGGCTCAAAGCCATTTTACCCCGTAGCCATGGATAATCATTCACCTCGGCAAGCACTGCTGATGGACTGCAACCTGTGCTAGATGTCCGACTGTCGGAGTGTATTTCACTGCTGTTTCACATATCAAAAATGCAAACATAGGTTTTCAGGGTTCAAGGTTTTATTCCTATAGGTGCATACCAATGTTTAATAGCATGACATCCCAGGGAACTTTTAGTATGACAATCAGGTAGTAGACAGCATCTGCTTGTTAGGATATTTATAAGAGTATTTATTTATGAGTCTTATACCAGAGTAGAGTAGAAACACTGATTCAAATCCAGCATGACTTTTTCTATGCATACATTTCTCTTGGTGTTCACATTTCAAGAAAAAGCCTAACATTAGTTTTATGAACAAAGTTTATCTGTTTTTTTTTTTAAAGTTATCTTTGTGTGATTTTTGTGCTTTTATAAATGGAGATCAAAGAAGAGTGGATAGAGCAAGAAACCTGTGGGGAGAACGGAGAGTAACATGTGGGGAAAGGGACTGTAGGTTGAGCTCTAACCCAGGCTGCCCACTAGAGGACTGAAGCCTCTGTACACGAGACATGCGACTTAAAGACCAACCAACAGACACCCCAATTCAGTAGCTAGATTTTAACTTACTGTTAAGTTCCACATAAACCATCTATCAAAGAGGGATACTGCGTTAATTTTGGAAGATTTTTTCTGACAATCAAAATAAGGTATTTTTAAGGTAGAATTGAGTTTACAGCACAAATGCTTGGTGAGTAGATCCATATTTTCTCTATCTATCTATCTATCTATCTATCTATCTATCTATCTATCTATCTATCTATCTATCTTGGATGACTGACATGTAAAGCATAAGGATGTGATCAAGCTTTTTTAAAACATTGGTTATGACAAAGGTCCCCTCTGCCAAGACTGCATTTACATTAAAAAATGTTTTTAAACAATAACAACAAAAAGAGAGATGTTTTCAATAAATTATTATATGTCCAAGGGATATTTGAGCTTCCCTAGTTCCCTCATTTTTTAAAGAAATGCTTCATAAAATGGGTACCAGTTTGCTCCAAAATAAAAGATTATATTTTTTGCCAAACTTTCACTGTTGGATGTGACGCTTTTTTCATTTTAGGTCTATTCATGCCAGGAATTGCTTGAAAGTGTCTAACATTTGTATGCTGAATTCAACCAGGTGTTTTATTTATTTTTTTTAGAAGTCCCACCAGTTATAGTAAAAAATTGAGTTTTTAAAAGTGAAAATTCAGACCTACAAAGAAACAAAGTGCTCCTCACCGTTTGGAAAAAAAAAATCCAGGCACATGCATGGTGGCTAATAATATGCTTGAGTAGTGCAAAAAACAAACAAAAAAAAAAACAAAAAAAACAACAAACAAAACAAAAAAGCAAAAAGAAAGAAGAAAAAACAAACAAACAAACAAAAAAAAGAAAAAAAAACAAAGCAAAAGAAAAAACAGTTAACCTAAATGAGATTGTGCTGTTGTAAAAAAAAAAAAAAAGAAAAGAAAGAAAAAAACAGGAAGGAGGATGTTAATCGTGACTGCTACCTCAACAGGTCTGTTCAAGTGTCGTGACAGGGCTGAGCGAGAAGCTCGTGACTTAATTTTATTTATTATTATTTTTTAAATCTATCTATCTATCTATCTATCTATATATCTATCTATCTATCTATCTATCAGATGCTTTAATTTGAACACATAATTGTTCAGTAAAAAATGAAAGAGAAACAGCCGAGTAAAGAGTCCGTTATGAGGATGTATACCTGCCACCATTTGAGCTGTCCTGCGTGCGTCCTGATAGCGCGCGGCCCTTTTATCTGATGCATCCAGAAGCTCACGCGCGTTTATCTCCCTCAGCCATGACTCCTCCTCGCGGACCCTGGGGAACCACCGTCCGCAGCAGCAGCAGCAGGCCCCAGACACCAGCAAACACAGAGTAAACGGCACATTTACTCACTGACTTCTCACCTTAATCGATCAATCGATTAACAATTGAGACCTGTATGCTATTAAATAATCGTCGTCATAATTGGCCTCGTCGTTGTATCTGTGGCGCGTGCAGCCTCAGGGCGTGGAAATGGAAAATAGATAGGCCTGTATTGACTCTTTTTAGGATCAAATATAAAAAACATTAGAAGTAAAATAGAGTCGACCCTCTGCTATCATCACTTATCTTTTTACAGGATAAACGAGCTTAAGGGAAAATCCTTTTGTTGAAAATACAAATAGGTCAAAAGCTTAACCTGAGCTTTTGTTTCTTTAATCAAAAAATTAAAACACCTCAACTAAAGCTTAGACTACACTACAACACTGCCTCGCGTTGTTACAGACCGTTACGCTGTGCCTGTTTGCTTTTTTTTTAATGCTTTGCCCTCCACAAGCCTATATAGCCCACGACAGCCAAATAATAATGAATCATTTCATAAATAATGGGTTTAGGGGCTTATCGGGAATGAAGAGGCCGCTGCCGTGCGCTTATCTCTCTCGGCCACATTGCGGCCTGTGTTCCGCTCCCCATACTGAGGGAGCGCGCTGGATGCGACGAGGAATAACTCAGCTACACACACACACACATACACTCACACACCACACATACACACACTGCTCCACAACTGGCAGAGGGAGAGAAAAAAAAGAAAAACCTCAGACATGGATGACCCACTCACAAAATGGCTCCACTTACACAGTAACATCAACAACACGGCTGGAACGGTAAGTCCAACCAAAATAACATCTCTTTTATTTCGAGCGATATATTTGTGGTTTCAAATGACTCTAATTGGATTGCTCTCGTCTGGATTTTAATGGCGCTATGAGCGGAATATTTAGCCTACATTTTCCGCTATTGTCCGATCGGATGGCTGAGGCTGAACGGGATGTCATAACGGATGCGAGGCCTATTAGAGAGAAATCCCAGAAAGAAAAGACCACTCTTCTATTAGCTGCTCGTTATTCGTTTGTGGAATTATCTAAAATGCGTTTTATCCTGTTTTTATCAAACACAAAAGCGTCTATTTCTGACACGCATTGTCGTCAATATGACAAGCCTTTGATGGTCAGCAGCTATGGCCTTCATATCGATATAAAACGAAAACTACACAACCTCTTCTGATGCCCGTGGATATGGAAATGATCAGATCCATGTGTTTTTATTTCTGGATTTTGCTGAAGGCTGGATTTATTTCGACGTAGAGTGAATTGAGCTCCCTTCGTGATCCTGGCATCCACGACCATTTCAGCACAAATAATAATAATAAAAAGCAGCCGAAATGTGCTTTTTATATATTACGAAGTGAGCTTAAATGTGGCTGAACGGTAACGGTGTTGAAGGCAAAGCGAGCTTTGATAAGAAATTCTGAGAAAGGAGGTGAAAAAAACACTCATGGAGCCAGAAGATAAGCTCTTATAGTTATCATTTAAATTATATAACTAAAGGTTCAAATCTGGTATCTTATAAAAATCTTCATTAAATGAGAATACAATTATTATAAAGCTTTAAAAAATGAGAAAATTATGTTGGCTGTGACATTTGACTTGAGGAAAAGCTGTTTACTATTTCTTAAGCTTGCACTAAAATGTGGAATATATTAGGTTAAGTAAAACAGTTTGCAATTTAGTTAAGACCCAAGCATCTTTTCTCATTTACAGTAAAATACCATAAAATAATCACCCAATAGAAAAATATATTGGCTGTGACAATTGACTTAAAGAAAAGCTGTTTATTATTTCTAAAGCCTACACTAAAATGTGGAATATTAGGTTTAGTAAAACAGTTTGCTACCTATCTATAGGTAACCCAATCATCTTTTCTGATTTACAGTAAAATACCGTAAAAATAATCACCCAATAGAAAAATATATTGGCTGTGACATTTGATTTGAGGAAAAGCTGTTTACCATCTCTAAAGCTTACACTAAAATATCGAATATATTAGGTTTAATAAAACACTTTGCTATTTAGTTTAGACCCAATCATCTTTTCTCATTTACAGTAAAATACCGTAAAATAATCACCCAATAGGAAAGTAACAACTGGTGTTAAATTGTCTTGATTCTTTTTTATTTATAGGTAAAAATATGAGTGTATTTAAATTAATGATAGCCTATAGCTAAATAGTAACAGTGTTCCCTCAGATTTTTACAGTCGTTTTTAAGGCCTCACATACCGTTTTTTGTTCAATCAATTAACGTAATATCTTATTTAGGACGTAGTGGACTCGAGCGCGTGGTGACGGTCTAAAAATGATGGAAAAACGGCAGCAGGAGCTCTGTCCCACTAGTCCTGATGTAGAGTCCGGTCCTGGAAAGCGCGAGGACTCCACCATCATCATCTCCAGACAAAACGGGTGCAAGGAGCATGAGGAGCCGAGGAGGCGGGAAGAGGAGGAGGGGGAGGAGGAGGACAAGGAGAAGGGGAGGGAAAGGGAGAGGGAGAGGGGAGGGCGCTTGAAAGGGGCTGAGGAGACGGATGACGTTCCTCTGCAGAACTCGAGCAACGGGACCAGCATCAGCATCATCATCAACGGCGTTGCCAAGGAAACTGCCTCTCACAACGCCCTTGACCTGAAAAGGGAAGTGCCGGTGATCGAGCTCTCCAGGAGGGACGCTATAAAAGCGCTCGAGCAGAGGACTGAGAGCCATTTGGTGCCGATCACGGAACTTCGCAGACCTCCACCGCTGCCGCTGCCGCCACCGCAACGAGACGACGCTCGAATGGTCCAACTGAGCCCAAACGCGTTTCCTGTCCCGGCCCGGGCGATGCTCTACAACCTGGCGCAGCCTCTCGCCGCCATCAACAGGTAAATGTCCAGATGAAGGAAGGATGGTGTAGTTTCATGAATGCATGTTTTCAATGAGCAGTTTGAGTGTTCATGGTGGAAAGTTTGAAATAAGGCCCTGCAGGATTTTACTGCTGCTACTTTCAGTGGAAATTAACTTTGTATTTTGTTGACATTTTTAGAGCATTTACAACAAAGAGAATATGTGCATGTGTGTGTATGCAGGTGTGCTCATGGTTCAATAACATTTTAAGGCTCACACAATAAGGAAAATGCAATATGCTGAAATTGTATATTCTTGTATCTCCACTTTTTGTCCTTTTTTCTGTTGCAATAGTCTCGGAGGGGAGTCGGAGCAGTACAGCATGTACCCCAGCAACAGGGTAAAGCGCCGCCCGGCGCCTTATGAGGTTGAACTCGACGAGGGTAGGCGCATTTTAGATCTTTATAAGTATGGTAAGACGCACTTCTGCTGTGTCCTCCTTCTGCCAATATATATAGTCCCTTATACGTCCCTTCCTCATCCCCATTGTCATCCATCCACTGACAGGGATCTTATATTGCACCCAGTCTGGGGGTTGCGGAGGATGCTTTGCAAAAAAAGTCAAATTCAGTTTATAACCCAGATGTGTAATTCATGGCATGAATGGGTGCTGCTAATCAGAATGTCAAGTATGTGTATACCTGCATATAATGTAGGCGGATTTGTAGTTTATTCCATTTGAAACATGCTTTCCATCGCTGCCCACTCACTGCCACATACAGGGGTGGAGGATGGGGTGCTGCTGCTGCCTCCATGCCAAGGTTTTACTGCAGAGTGGGCTGAAGGATTAAGATAGACTGGGTGTGTTCCAAGGGCGACAATAGCCTGGAAGACACCATTGTTGGGGGTGGGAGTACCTGCAGTGAGGCTTTTTATCATACCTAAATAAATGAAAATTATATAAAACATGGAATATAAAACGAAGTCTCCTCTTAACACTGTTACTTAAGGTTTGGTACAATTCACAAAACTATACACTCATGTTGCATTATCTCACAGCACACTGTAGCAGTTTCTGCAAGTCGTTTTAGCTTCTGCTCTCCATGTGCAACGAAGGACAGTTTGCAGTTTTATTCTGTAGCATTCGCAAGTATTTGTTTCGGATGATGTTTATTTTTCTGACAACCTCTGTGCATCTTCTCTGCTGCCGCCGCTGCTGCTCCTCTCATTGTAATTGTTGCAGTTGTGTTGCTCTGCAGTTTTGAGACCACATTGTTTCAGCTTTGCATTTCACGCTATTTGTGTCACTCTCTCCTCTTGATGCTTATTTTACTTATATCGTTCTCCTCTGTTTTTCCATTAGCTGGCCAGCCAAAGATAGTTCGCCGTATCTTCACTAACAGTCGTGAACGTTGGCGGCAGCAGAACGTAAACGGGGCCTTTGCGGAGCTCCGCAAACTCATCCCCACACACCCCCCGGACAAGAAGCTCAGCAAAAACGAGATCCTGAGGCTTGCAATGAAGTATATCAGCTTCCTCTCCAACCTGCTGGAAGACCAGGATGGGGGGAGGAACGTTGGCAGCACAACTGACGAGGAAACAGGGCTGCTAGTTGGGGCCCATGAGGGCGGACCGCAGGGGGGCCCACATCAGGACGCGGTGGTGGGTTTGGCAAGGGACGATCTCTTGGAGACAATGTCGCCGAGCTCGAGCTGTGGAAGCCTGCCTGATGGTGATGCTGAGGGCAGTCCTGAGAGCTTTATGGAGGAACAGGACTCACCTCCAGCTCCAAGGACTCTAACGGCCTCACGCGGGCCCCCGCTGCACCTCACTGCTCGGGATCTGCGACGCAACGGGCGCCCCATAGATGGGTCCAGTCGCCGATGATGCTGTCGCCAAATGACCAGAAAAACCTGAGACTGAAAAAATGGACAATGAGAGGGACTGAAAAAAGAGAAAGATATGCTCAGGAACTGTTAGTTTTGAGTTGAGAGAGAGAGAGAGAGAGAGCGGGTTCAAATGGATCATGAGTACGTCTCCTAAATACACTCGAGGCAACACTGATGAATGGCTTGGTTTAATCAGAATTCTGTTGAATTTGATATGAAAAAAAAAAAAGACTTGTAAATTCTGCATGTCTCACGTCTTTGACTGACCTGCGGATCAAATCCAAAACCTGGATATTGAAAAAAAGTGCACATCCACAAAAAAATGAATCAAAAGACACACTTAACCCGACAAGATGAAACCAAACATAAAACCCACCATGAGATACATATTTCAGATTCTATCATTGTTTTGACCGGTGATATTGATCAGAGTGTGGTGCAGTCAGAATAAATCCAAAATCGCTTCAAGTAAATAAAAACCAGTGAAGAAATCCTGAGATTTATCAGAGGTATATTCAGTGTGTTAGAATACTAACACAAGAGTGAAGTCAGCCTCAGATGGAGGTGGTTATAAAAACCAACTGGACTCTATTGTTCTCATGCAGTTGCGTATGCATTGTAAATAGCATCATATTTCCACTGCACAGTGTAACAACAGTGACTGGAGTTCAAGTCGTGTGGTTTAAGCTGTACTGTTGTGTGTTTGTCCGAGCCAAATGGTCTTTAAGGAGACAGAAAAGAGAACAGAGGAAGAGACATGAAGAACTCAACCTAGTGCGTCAAATGTGGTACCATAAGTCTGTTTCACTCTGCTTAATAAGAAATGACACCTAATAGGGTGACGGACAGATAAACAGTTTTACTGCCTGAGTTGAAAATATCTGTGGAGGTACAAGACATGCAGTGTTTCTTAAAAGTGTACAAATATATGAGTCATATGGTATCATAACATGACTCATGCAGCCCTTTTTATATGAATGTTTCAGTGTTTTTTTTAACTGTAATGCAGTTGTAGTTTAGTGAGGTACACAGAAATCCCTTGCGCCGCATTTCACACACACACACACACACATGCACGCGCACGCACACAAAAACAAACAGTGTTAATATCATGACAACACCAGCAGTTTTTCACAAATACAGTTAAGTATTGCTCACTGTTGTTCGTTGTTCTGCTTTTTCAGCAGGACCTAGTAGCCTATATTGGTACCTTTGGTAACTATGGTATTTTATGACTTGCAGTAAAGGGACATTGTACGTTTGGTAATAACATATTTGTTGTATGATAGCTGTATCTATAAATATATCCAATGTCAAAGCGATGATTTTATACAAAACCCCTGAATAAAACACACAGAGGACAAGACTGGTATTTGATTCTGCTAAAGCATGCTGTCAGTTTAATTCACATGGAGTTCATTTGTTTACAAAATTTTACCTTTTTTTTTTTCCTCCAACATTCACTCACGTATTACTAATTTAAAATGTATATACTCTTACTCTTGACAGATTTCTAGAGGTAGAAAAATCCCATGCAACTGTTTCCCACTTAATCTCCACACAGACTGAGAAGTTACAACCACACCTCCTCTTGAATTCCCCCAATGATCGCTGGAATCCTCACTTCCTCCCTACAAGTGACAACTTCCTGCAGAGGTTAACGTGTCTCGGTGACCTGCAGGATATCCTGCCATTGTGAAAGTGGTTTGGACAGCCTCTGCTGCACTCGTTTGCAGGCTGTTGTGTCTGTTCACAGACAGTAAGTTATGCGCTTACGCAATCAAAAAGTTATGTCCACAAGATTATAGTTTCATATGAGAATTAAGGAGTTGAATGCGACATTTTTGAACGTCCGCTTGCTCCCTTTTTCCAGCTGCACTCCTGCAGCATCGCCTGCTCTCCAGCGTTTCGAAAATCTTTCTTTAAAACTAGAACTGCTTCCGGAGAGCATCAGAGACATCCAGGTGTTTGGAGACCCCTCCTGTTTGCAGACTGACTGAGGGGCTCTCAGGGTTAATGCCTGCCAAACATTTACCTGCTTCAGTCCCAACTCTCCAAAAACACACAAAAGATGGGGATACGGGGAGTGTGTGTGTGTGTTTGTGTGTGTTTGTATGTGTGTTTGTGTGGATTGAAAGAGAAGGAAGGAGAGGAGGCTTGTTGCCATGTTCATGTTTGTGTGTTTGTGAGAGGAGGCTTCAGTGAGTGTGCGCTCTTGTTCTGCATGTGTGTGTATGTGTGTGTGTGAGGGAGCTGGCGTTTGTGTGTGTTTATCAGCTCCGTGCAGATGGGTGGCAGAGTGGCTCTTGCAGCCAAATGATTCAGTATGCTAATGAGTTGTTATCTGTGCTGCTGCAGGAACAATATACTGTCTTTCTCACAGTGGGAATCCAGCCTGCTGGGAACAGATTACACTGCACACACCGCCAAGGTAGTTATTTATATTTTCACACCAAGCAGGGGAAAATACATAAATGCACACACACACATCCACAGATAGGCCTATAAACAAACAAAATAAAAATTTAACACACACACACACACACACACACCAACATCAGCATGAACAGCAGCTTAAATAAGGTGGAAATTTGTGGTAAATTGATGTGTTTCACCAGCAGATGGGGGTGTCATTCTGGGCTTTCATCTTTGACAAGTTTCAGTGTTGTATTCCTGTTTAAAATTCTACACAAAATATTACACACCGCCTTGTTAAAATACAACTTTTTACTCATATTTTCTTCCATAAAAATAAAGTAGAAACCCTGTAAAAGCAGTAGATTAGAATTTGGAAATTTATAAACTAGGAATCAGCTGAAAAATAAAACCTTAGTGCTGAATTAAAAACACATAATGATCAAATTTGTCTCAAAAGTGATCATTCATAGTGAATTCAAAAAGACACCATTGATTTTAAACTATTTTATTAATTGTAATTTGTATTTTTTAAATTATATCCTCTAAAAACACATAAAATAAAATAAAAAAATAAAGAAAAAAAACTGTCTGTCTATATATATATTTATCTTTTAGACATGAATCAAACTAGAATTACCAGATGTCTTATTTCCTCCAAATTCATGTTACACTATACTCTCTTGTGTAGGAACAACCCCGGCTCATCGCTCTCTCTGAACTGTGGGCACTGCTGAAAAACAGAGGATACAAGTCTCACACAGATCTACAGAAACTAACAAGACATGAAGGAGATAAGGGGCCAGTTTTTATTCTGTTGTGATACACGGTCCAGAGTCAGACATTTATACGTGTAACTGGGATCCTTGGTATCTGGATACAGCTGCAAAAACACACAGATTCACATAGATCATTCTTGAAACAAAGATGTAGATTTAGTCACTTAGATCTGTTTTTTGCTTGTCATTCTTATGATTCAATTAGTTTTCAAATTGAAGAAACATCCTGCAACAAATCTTGTAAATGTAATCAATCAGCTCAGATTTCTGTTACATACCATCCAGATTATCAGGATTTTTGGAAAAGCCACACAGACACAGGCTTCTGTGTTTTTCACTGAGTCCAATATTCCCTAAATGTAATCCCTATTTCTTACACTATAAAACCTCCATGCTGTAGTCTCCTGTCTGTCTTTTACATATCCTCTGGATGGATTTCTGATGAGTGGGAAAACCAGTTTTTATCATATTTAATCTGAAAAGAGGTCTCAACAGTTTTAGAGTCTAATAAGGTAAAGTATTTGTAAAAGTCAAAGCTATTTTTTTACTGTAGGCAGAGCAGAGTATAATTTATGGTGCATTCATCTCTCTGCTGCAGAAGGTTATCCTCCTTGCTCGGTGCTAAAGCAGCTAATCTGTTGTTGTAGCTGTGTAATGTCAATGAGATATTATTTTTTACCTCTATCAGCTCCTCTGCGATGTCTTTTTCTTTTTCAAAACAATATCAGGTTTCTGTGTTCCTCTGGGTTGAAATCACCTTCAGCTCTGCTCTTAGTATGAGCTGATAATAAAAGGGTAAAACAAGGATTTAATTACTATGTTTTCAAAGCGTCAGTGCTCACAGCTGTCTCATGATGAGCCAAATGAACGTCTATCAGCAGGGACAGGAACGCAGTAAAGATGAGTCTTCAATTTTTTTTTCTTTCCATCGTTTCATAGGAAAAATAATCTGAGTTGAAAGTTGACACACCCTCTATTTTTGTGCTCATTTCAGCATTTTTCTGTAGTGGCCTATGCGGTATAATCTGTTTATGGAAACTTCAACTTTTTCTTTATCGTTTGCAGTTTTTTCACAGTCTCCGCACTGATGTCTACACACCCTCCTCCGCAAAACTCAGACACTGTACACCCTCTGGTGGGAGACAGATGCAACCGTGGATTATTTGACTCAGTTGTTTTCAAATCAGCAAACTGGCCTCACTGACAAAGAGCTTATCTGTCCTAATGGTAATTGTAATGACTTAGAAATTAGCTTTTAGTTCTGCTCTGCATAAATAAAACTCAAGGGTCATCCATTTCATGCAAAGTCATTTTTAATGCATTGTTGCAAAGAATTGAAATCTTGCATTCAGCGCTATAATGAAGTGTCATCTATTTACTACATCAGCAAAGCAAGCAGAGCAAGACAGCAGCGAGGAGAATTTAGCTGAATCACATTAATCTGAAAGGGCAGTGCAAAAAAAGGCTGAAGGTTTTCACAGAGTCTAGCAGAAGTTACAACCAGAGCTCAAAGGTCACATGTTTTCCATAGCAGGAAGTTGACTCTTCAAGTCTGGGTAAAGCAAAAAGCCAGTGAAGGTGCTGTCATCCTCGCTGCTGGAGTAAATCCCGTTCCAGTCTCTCAGTGTCTCGAGCCACACCTGGTCGCCTTCGTTCAGCTGCAACAGAACGAGGTTTGATGCCTGATCGATGTCCTGGCCGTACAGAGAGTCGCGAGTCCGCAGCTTCCGCACCCCGTTGACCACCAGGGCGGCGCGCACAGGCCTGTTGCGTACGGTGATGTGGTAGCTGAATAAGTAGACCCCTGGGTAGGTGACGTTGAACTTGTTAAGAACCGGATCCCAATGCCCCTCCCCGTTATAAAACACCTTATCAAACTTCACAGGCAGGCTGGGTGGAGGGAAGGACCTGCTGGGGAATAAACCCACACTGAAGGCAGAGCGGATCACCTCCGCACTCTCACCTGGTGGACCTTTAGGGCCCCGAGGTCCACGCCCACCTTTTGGACCCCTCTCCCCTCTCAGCCCAGCCATCCCCCGCCCTCCTTGAGGTCCCGGTGGCCCTCTCGCGCCAATTTCTCCTTTTGCCCCTGGGGGACCCGGCTCCCCCCTTGTTCCTCTTGCCCCATCAGTTCCATTAAAGCCTTGGGGCCCCATTCCACCTCTCAGACCAGGGGGCCCACGCTCACCTGCATCACCTTTTTGGCCTGGTAAACCCTCGCCTGCAAGTCCCTGTTCCCCTTTCTGACCCTTTGTCCCAGCCAGCCCAGGGGGGCCCATAGGCCCCTCTCTACCGGTATTGCCCTTGGTCCCATTCAGGCCAGACTCTCCTTTTTCTCCCGGGTCCCCTTTCAGACCACTGAAACCACGTTCCCCTTTCTCTCCTTTGGGGCCCGGATCACCTGTGGTATGTGAAGTAAGACATGTATTTGTAGAGTGCTTTCATTTTATACTCTCTAAAATATTTTACTGTGATTCAAGCAGGTTAATGTTCTTGTCTTCAGCTTTGATGGAGTCAGTGAGGACTTAAAGAGAAAAAATATCCCAATCAGATTTTCACACCTTTTTCTCCTGGTTTTCCTGGGATCCCAGGTGCACCAGGAACACCCATCGGTCCTTGCGGGCCTGTTTCACCTGTGGTAGTTTTGATAAAATGTAGAGAGTAAAATCAAAAATTAGACACAGAGGAGCGTTTCTTACAAGAAAAGGGAGGCACAGAAGGAAACAAATGGACACACAATCAGAAACGCTCCTGCTGTCAAGCCCCGCTGTACCTATGTCGCCATTGAGCCCGTTGGCCCCTGGTAGTCCTGCTAATCCTGCGGGTCCACGAAGCCCTGTGTCTCCCTTTTCTCCCGGTAACCCTGGAGATCATAGAAAAGTATAAAAAAAGACAAAACATCAAGCTACAAAAGCTGATTCACCTGAAAATATTAACTCTTACCCATAGGGCCCCTCTCTCCTGGTGGTCCTGGTAGCCCCCTCTCTCCCATGGGCCCTGCAGGGCCTTTCTCAGGTGGACAGCACTCACAGAAGTTGAAGAAACATTCATTGTAGTCAAGGGTGAAGTTTCCAGGGGTGTTCCCAGGGGGTGCTATGGCGTCCGTGTGGAAATCTGTGGGGTAGGTGTTGCTGGAGTAGGTGGTGCTGTCTGTAGGAGTCAGGGAGTAGGCATCCATCATGGCTTCGGTCGTTTCATCTGTGTGCGTACTGGAAGGGGGCATGGTGGTCGTGGTGGTCCTCCTGTAGCCACCGCCTCCACCTCCACCCCCAGCTCGAGGTGGTTTCTTGGTGTTTTGAGGTCTAGGCCAGCGTGTGGTTCTGGCACTGGAGGTCAGCACAGCCATCAGAACCACAAGAAGAGTAGTCAGTAAGACTAGACGAGCTGGTGGCATGTTGACAGCTTGACGCTAGAACCTATACGAGAGACAGTAGACAGAGACATGGAAGATCAATCAGCATGTTTTGATTTCCAAAGCTTCAAATCAGACTGAATACAGACATTTGGCAGATGCAGATTGTACTCTTGTGAAGATTAAAAAACATGAATTAAAACACTTTGCAACCGTGGCAAAGAAATACTGTGTAATAGGTAGAAACCTTGAGCAGAACTAGACTTACTCATGGACGGTTTTCTGCCTCGACAGGAAAAGAGAGACAGAGAGAAAATGGAAAATAGTATAAGTAGATAGAGAGACAAGAAGACAGACTGACGGATAGGAAGAAGTAAAGGCAGGACAGAAAAAAAGGACAGACATGCAGGAGAATATCGAAAGACAGAGAGACAGGGATAGAAAGACTGATAGGGACACAGGTGAAAAATGAAACAGACAGAAAACAGAGACAGACTGGACAAAAAGACAGACAAGCAAAGTGACAGAAAAAACAAAATGACAGATAAAGAAGTGAAAAACAATAACAGCAAAGTCAGCCTGAAATTCAAAGCAACAATATGACTAATATTTACACTTAATGCTGGACAAATGTAAGAAATCTTTACTAAGACATCAAACATTGATACGTTTTTACCTGCTGATGAAGATATTGTTGACTCTTCATTCCATCTCCTCCGGCTACTGGTGGGTGCAGCTGCCTCCGTCCTTATATCGCCCTAGTGGCCCAACTTCAGCACCTTAAAGCCAACCAAAAACAAAGGAGAGAAAACACAGGGGGTTCTTAGGGGGTAGGTGGGCTGGCAGGAACAGATTACATGACTCCTGAGGGATATGAAATAAAGCAGGCCGTACACAAGGCAAGACTTTATTCTTTGTGATTCAGGGATATGATTCCAGGGCCCAAGGATACACACACACAGCTCAAGTGTTGTTGCTTTAAGCGCAAACAGCAGAAATATAGAGTTACACACAAAGATACACATGCGTACTTATGCTTAACAGTGCACACACACAAGCTCGCACATTGTAAGCGATGAATAACATCTCATATTAGAGTAACAGAGTGCAAACCCCTTGTAGTGACCACACCATCTGGCAGAGCCTCAAAGCAGAAAATGGATCAGTGTAAACCGGCAGCAGAGGGATCAATGTCCCAAAACAGACGCTGTGGCAACACTGATCCAACCGTTCACTTTCTTGATCTTACCAAGCTTAGCGGGCCCTGAAAACCCAGTAAACTTCACAGAAACCAAACCTGAAAGTACCCATCCCCTCTGAACTACGCTTTAAACTCCTCAGAATGTGCGTGAGATGTAGTTTCAAGCTCTGACATTTACTCTGAATTCTCAATTCGAGGTGGTTTGCCAAAGTTCACCATAAAAACTGCTGAGCAATATAACAGAGTCAGTGACAAAAAAGGTAAACGTACCAGGGAATGTACAATATGTATGACATTTCACCAAAAAATAAGCTTAAGGCAATTTTTATATTGCCTGTATTATCATAATCTATTTTTTTATTTTATTTTTTAATGTTGACACAAATCTAATTGTGAAAATGTTGTTTGATTGGAACAACATGAGGAATTCAAGTGCTTGCTGGACTCAGAAACATCAACAAATCTGTGTTTAATATGTATTTTAGTTGAGTTTTAGTTGAACTTGTTAGAACTGATTTTTACCATGGGTTTCGTGAGTGATCAGTAGGTTTTGTGGATGATTGGTAGGCTAACTTTTTAAATTTTACAGTTTTTTTTACATTTTTAATCGATGTTGTGATCACTAAAGTTACCCACCTCTCCTTCCTTGAGGGATGAGCTCTGAAACCCATTTATCACTTATAGGAGTGAGTTAAATCAATAGGCAATCCCACTAAGTGACTGTAAATGCCAGTTATGTGCTGTAATACCACACGCAGCCACCGGGGGGCATTGTTTGGTCAGTGAAATTACTGCTGTACATCTGTGCGAACGCCTGACTTACACGGACTTCCTTACGGTAACGGGCAATAACTGCCTATTTTTTTGCTCACTAATCAGTTTCATATATGGTCACGAATGTCTTCTTTAAAGTTAAATCCTTTGCATTGTGTTCCTGCTTCCTTATGTGCGTGTAAAAGGGTTTTTTGCTTGTATTCTGTGATATTGAATGATGTTCTGTTGTTCCCAGATGTTTGTTCGAGCTTTAAAGTGTCTCATGATGGATGTTGGATGTTGAAAAGTGTTACTTTATGCGGTTTAATACGACTTTAGTTTTTGTCATATTACACTGATGACATCATCACCTTATTCCGCAGCTGCTGTCTCGGTTCCAATGTTTAGCTCGGGTTTGCAGTTGCGCACTGCTGTCAGCGGCGACTTCACGTAAAGAACAAGCCAGTGACAAAAGTAGCACGTCTGAAAGCTCACTTCCGTTTTACACTTTCAAAATAAAGCTTGCATTTGTAAACGTGTCTTGACTACGCAAGTGGAGCCATAGGCTGTATTTAGAATGGACAGAGTCTGCCTCCTCGCTGAGTGGAGCCACTCCGAGAACAGCACCCTCTGGTGATGGGCTGCAGTATAGGTCATAAATCCCAGCAAAGTTTAAGGGGCTGTGGACAAACTTTACAAATTTATTACACAGAATATAAGTTTTTCTACTCTCTGGTTGTGATGTTAACGTAGTTATTGTAAGACTGGTTTGTGCTCAAGTCCTCTTTTTTTCTGTATAACTCTGTTTTTAAAAGTTATTAGGGGGTTCAAGTTTTCTATTGTTGACACTTGATACAGCCTATACAGCTCACCTGGGGCGATATTTTTTATGTAAGATGGTAGGGGAAAGTCCCGCCTCCTTCGCCTCTGATTGGCTAGAAAAGCTGGAGACATCGTCATGCGCTCGAGCCAAACGCAGGCTGTCGGCTCATAGCACAGAACATTACAGAACACTGTAGCACTTCTGAATCGCCTGACCCTAACCCTAACGTAACAGATGATGATGTTTCACAGCCATAAGGAATAACCAATTGGCAAGCACTTCTAGCCAATCAGAGGCGAAGGAGGTGGGACCTTCCCCTAGCATCGTACAAAAAAAGTTCGCCAACCGGGAATACGCTATTTGAGTTGAGCGTCATCACTGCGACTCTCGGCGACTCTGTTGCGGAATGCGTACAATGCTACTGCGCAAGTGGTGGAGTGCTTGCAACACTACTGCGCTATGTTGGTTTCAGGAAGTGGAGAAAAAACGCGGAATTACCGAGAGTTTTTCGGCTTCAAATCCGTATATTGGCGAAGGCGGAACCAAGTTGTCAGTAGTATATACAGTCTATGGCTGTGTCCAAAATGGATCCCTAACCCTTATATAGGTGACTACATGGGGGTTAGCGCCATTTTAAGGGGTGTCTGAAATTTCAGTGATCAATTCCAGTGCCCTATATAGGCGACTCAATTTCCCATAAAGCATTGCAAAATATAGTGATCATCCATTGCTATGTAAGTTCCGAAAACTCCGGTGATTAAGCTCACTACATAGTCAGCTATATAATGAAATCCAATATGGGGGTTAGGGGTTAGGTATTGAGTGATTCGTTTCGGACACGGTCTATGAGTGGAGTGTGTATTGTTTTATTGTGAAAAATGTTACCATTTCCGGTGTCATGCTTGCTACCTATCGGTGTCTTGACGCAAGTACAGACTGGAGGCGTGTGTGTGAAAAATGTAATGTTATTGCGGAGACCGAATACACCGAATATCAAAGAGGAGAAACGGGGTCATCGACTGAGGGAGAGGGGGGACGTCGCCAGGTGGCAAATTGTCGACTTTCGCTGTCCTCCTGTGACTTCAATGTCTTTCTCTGGGGTGGGTCTTACCCCCGAAACCCGTCATCCAACAATGGGCTGTGGGAGCTCGGGTAGACTCGGAGAATCCTCCTGCAGCTGTTTAGAGAGCCGAGGATAGGAACAAGACATCGGACCGAGTCGATGAGGGTGGCCTGTCCGCTTTTGCACTGCGTCTCTCGGCCCGGTGTCTGTCAGGAGCCGGTCACATGTTGTAAAAGAGGAAAAACAGGCCTTTAAATGTTGAAGTGTCAGACATTGTGGCGGTGAATCGATTCCTTTATATTTCTGCTGAGTGGATGGAGTGAATAGTGCAAAAAAAGGGGGGAGAGACAGACTGCAGTTTGGTCGCGTGTGATGATAGGAGACACAATGACGCTTTTGTCTCTTCTGGGTCGGATCATGCGTTATTTTCTCCTCAGGCCTGAGACATTGTTCCTGCTCTGCATCAGCCTGGCGCTGTGGAGCTATTTCTTTCACACTGACGAGGTGAAAACCATCGTCAAGTCCAGCCGGGACGCTGTGAAGATGGTGAAGGGGAAGGTAGCGGAGATGATGCAGAATGATCGGCTGGGAGGCCTCAGTATCCTGGACGCAGAGTTCTCCAAAACCTGGGAGTTCAAGAACAACAATGTGGCCGTCTACTCTATACAGGGCAGGAGGGATCACATGGAGGACCGCTTCGAGGTGCTTACGGACATCACCAACAAGAGCCACCCGTCCATATTCGGGATCTTTGACGGTCATGGTGGGGAGGTAAGTTGGGACATGAGGGAGGGAGGTACGGGCCACCAAGATCCAAAGACCTGCTACCAAACTAATCCTGGTGCAACAATGATGCCCTGTGCCAAAATGGTATTTAACATCAAAGTCCCTCCTAAAATACTGACTTCCCAATAATCAATAGATGGGACAATGTCACTTGAAATTCCATAGGCGCCAAAGAGTCATGTTTCCTTGGTAACATACATATCTGAACCTCCCCCCTCCTCCCCCTTTGTTTCCTTTTGTGTAAACACCTCCTTCACCCTGCTGCCAAACAATAGGGTAACTTGAAATTGATCGCAAAGAGATGTGTGAGTGAGGAGGTTTTTGTCTTTCCTCAAGGGTCAGTGGTTTCTCATGGCTGCCTTTAGACCATGTGTCCTGGACTCCATCTGTCACACCACCACCACCACACTGTCCCTACAGAAGAACACAATCCACTTAATAATACTTCCAATTGTTGTTTTAGGGCCCAGTTGTGTCGTTGGTAGTTGTTTCAGTTTGTTACATGAAGTATGAGTACACTTGCGGTGGTCTGTCAGTTCAGTACAAGTCTTCACAAAGTTGTTGTTTTTTAACAGTAAGTCTTAAACGTTGTTCTCCCAGGCTTTGCAGATAAAATCATTTTGTTCTCTTAAGTACAACCCAAGGTTAAAACAACATAAATGGAGGACATTGTACTAAAAGTACATCATGCACTCATGAATGGGACAGTAAAATAGAAAATAAATTAGATGTCTCTCACATGATACACAAAAAGATCAGTGTCTTTTGTTTTTAATGACGTAAGACTCCGCCCTGTAACTTCTCTTTACAAGGTATAGATTGAACCAGGGATGGAAAGATAGAGTATTTTTCTACTCAAGTGAAAGTATAGTTTAAATCACAGGGGACCACTTTTTGTGAGGGGATACTTTTGACACTCATATCCAGGTTGAAGTTATTTGGTAGACTATCTAAGTCATGATCTGCAGAGAGGACACTGAAAATTATCCGGCTGGTACAGATGGAAAAAGGTTGTGGTGCATTGTCCACTTTACTGTAATTGAGAGAGAGGTGTCAGTTTTGTATAATCAATGTTTTGCCAGAGAGTTGTTCACCTGAGATGGATGAGCTTTCCACCTTTCCATGAGTGCTCCTCATTGTGGTTTCAGTGTTGCTCTTCTCAACTTCATGTTAGTTTACCAAGTGGTAAATGTCAGCCAATCAGGAGGCAGTCCTTACTTAGCAATAGATGCTACTTAAGTGTAGGAGAGTTGAAGACTTTCTTTGAAATACTTAGAAATAAAAGTACAGATTTTTAAAATGATTCAAAAAAAGTACAAGTGCACAAGACAGCTACTTGATTAGAGTAACTCGAATAAATAAATAAATAAATAAGTTACTTTCTACCCCTGGTTTTAGCTTAGTTCATCATTTTAATCAAAATTAATGACATTTTTCCATCCTAACATATTTTTTAAAATGTGTTAAATATTCAAGCTCACTGGTATTTTCAAAGCCCGAAGTGACAGAAATCTCTTGATTTTTATGTACAGCTGATCGATATTTGTTATGCTGAATTATGGAAATAGTGACAATTAGAAAATGTTCACACATGATCACACATTTCCTAAAAAGTAATCAAAAGTTGAGTGATAAACCACCACATTTCTCAGTTCGTGCTTGACAGGAAGTGTGTTTTTTTTGCTGCAGTCATAGTCAAATACCCTGACTCCAGTCCTGTATATTTTCCAAGTTTAACTTTGTAACTATTTGAATACAGAAGAGTACGATGGAATATACTGGTACTCTTCTTTTTTAAACAGCAGTAGTTGCTGCTGGTTATGTTTAATCATAGAGTGAAAGAGAACCAACAGGGAATAGAGGTTGTTTACTCTTCTAAATCGCACTGACTATTCCTGTCACATAAACAAATATTTATCCCCTCTGGCCATCCTGATTTCTCTTCATTTCTCCCTCAATTTTCCCTTTTCCTCCTGCGTTATGTGTCCCCCTCCCCTGTTACATTGCTATCTGTTTTCTGACTCAAACAGAAAGGGGTCACTCTGACAACAAACCTCGGTCTGACAAAATCTGAACCCAGTCCTAGACACACAGCTCCTGCCTACAAGCTAAATACTTCTAGTAAATTCTGAAAGAAACCATGAATCCTAAATCATATGGTAATAAGTGACTGTTAGGGGTCATTTTCTGAATTTTGTTTGCTGTCTGAGACTCTTGATGTTAATGATGTTTTTGGGAAACTCTCCTTCATGTGTGGATGTCCTTTCAAACGTATTTGGGATGTTACCAAGCCAAACATGTGCGTGCCTAACTCGCTGTCTTTGGCAGCACAGCAAGTTTTGGCCCTTGAAAAATGCAGCAAAACTTCTCAAACACATCTCTGTGTTTTTACTCTTTTCAAGGCAGCAAGCCGTGTCCCAGAATCATAGAAGTCAGCACAACTGCTGCTCCTCTTTTAATGAGATTTACTGACACTATTCTGGACTCAGGAACTTCCACACAGGCTTTCACTCGATTCTGCCGTGGTTAATTAAATTTATCGTCACATTCTGACTCTAACGGAAAATAAGATTTAATAAGCAGGAATGCCAAAAAGAGATCCACTCTATTGGTTATTGGACTCTTGTTCCAGCCATAGACTCACTCATAAAATCTGGAAATGTTAGAGTCATTTATGGAGCTTGTAACTGCACCTGGTTTTACGTTTTCAGCCTTTGCAGCAAATGGAAATGTTGATTTGAAGCTTTTTTCCTGATCACGGATCACTGTGGGCCTCTTGTCTAATTAAAATGAGAAGTGATTACACTGAAACAGGAAACAGGGAAGGAGAGAAGGGGGCAAAAAAGGGAGATGGCCTCTCTTTTGATAATTAAAACTATTAACAAAATAGCATAATCGAGCCACATTAAAGCGGTTTATATTAATAAAGGACAAGGACTCAAGGACTCTGGCTGCAAATCTGTTCAAGCTCATCATATATTGAAACATTTAGGCATGCTGATTAAAGACCCCAAAGTACCCAGAATTCCATAGGAACCGTGAATATGATCCACGCCGTCTCTTTGAAATCAGACACTAAGATGGAATGAAAATGTGCAGTTTTAGATCTGATTTGACGCATTAGCATAATGGAAATCTTGGCATAGAAAATGAGAGGAAAGGCTGATAAAGTAAAGGCAGGAAGAGGAGAAGAGGAGGGGGGAGGAGTAAGAGGAGGAGGTTGTTCAATAATTCAGTACAGAGCACCTGCTGTTTGAGAGAAAATAAACTCATTTAAGGCTGTGTGGACAATACTGACTAGATATGAACAACTTTAGATTATCCTGAAGATGAAAACTTATTCATGTGTTACTGACATAACATTGGGTGTTTCATGAATGCCTTATTAGCTCTGTAGATATCCACTAACTCTTTCTCCCTGCGTGTCCCCCCCCCCCCTCTGTGTCCCAGGCTGCAGCTGACTATGTGAAGGCCCACCTGCCCGACTCGCTGAAGCAGCAGCTGCAGGCCTTTGAGAGAGAGAAGAGAGAGAGCGCTCTCTCTTACGCCAGCATCCTCGAGCAACGCATCCTGTCGGTGGATCGTGAGATGCTGGACAAGCTCTCTGCCAACCATGATGAAGCAGGTCAGGAGAGAGAGAAGAAGAGGAGGGGGATACATGTGTGTGATTGTGTGTCTGTGTCAAATTATCACGATAAGATTTGCCCCTCTGACGATAAATGTCCCGATAAAAAATATTATAATTCCAATGTATATTTTTGACTCATTTTGTCTTGAGAACACCAGTTGGAATAGTCAAAAAAGACACTTAAGGTCCTTTCACACTGGGACTGTTTTTGTCGTGCGATTATTTCGGACATCAAGAGTTCTAAAAATTAGACTAAATATTCACGATACAGCTGGATGAGCATTTTTGGGACTGATTATAAGTAGCTGAGATACAGAGTGAAAAGTAATGTTAAAGATTAAATCCAGAACAAGTTTGGTCTGGCACATCAGATTTGAAAACTAAGTTAAAAAGTTGAAGTGATCGATGATGGAAAGATGCTCTGAGCTTCTTAAAAATTTAGTCATTCATACATATCAATATTGACTATTCTGTGATGTGTCCCAACCTGAAGATTCAGCCCAAAACATCAAGCACACAAACATTTATGCTGAAAGCCGTTGCAGTTTTTTCCCCCCTTTTCCCTTTAAATTGACAATTAAAACACTTTTAATCCAAACGTGAATATTTACCCTGAATCTCCATGCGCTGCCCTCTCTGTCAAACACCATTAAAACTGCACCTTCATTCTGCACTTCCAAACTTTCTTACATTTTTTTTTCTCATACATTCCTACAAATATCCCATCAGCTGAGTCTTTCTGACTGACTCTGTTTTATGAGGAGCTACATTGCTGCATAATCATGTTTGTATAGCTGATATCGTCTCCACTGACTACACTGCACATCGATTAGTTGATGGCATTTGATACATTCAATCCCAAAAAGAAAAAACATTTTCTCTCCTATTTAATCCTGTTTGTCTCTCTTAAATCATCAGGTGTAGGTTATTTTATTGGTTTAAATCCAACGTGCTTACTTCACTACTGACCAAAACGTCTAATAAGTAACCAAGGGAAACCTTCACTTATCAGTTGCACTTTGAGCTGCTACAGCTGTATATATTTCCCTGTTTGCTGGTCTTTCCTCTTTTTCTATGTTCAGGTGGATTTAATGTTTAGCAGACAAGGTTCCTCTGTGTTTAGGAACTGAAAAGCCAGCTACTGCTTTCAGAGAGAAGAGGCTTTTGGAAGTGGATTTCCGTGCTTGTTTTGGTGTTATACGTTGTTAATATAACCTTAGCTGAAATTTTTAAAGTTATTATCTGTTTGTTTGATAAGAAATCTCATAGCTTCTAAATTCTTGAAGGTGTTTGTTTTTGTTTTTGATTTGTTTTTGATTTCTGTTTGATTGTTCAAAGTGGAATCAGATGTTACTGCACATTATCCTTAGCCCTGAAGTGTAAGATTGAAAATCTCACTGCATTCTTTCATTAAATGGGACATTAAAACATTCTCATGGTGGAAGACATGATCGTACAAGTTCGTGGCTCTCAGCTCTCTTGACATTTTCATTCCTTGAGATGTCTTCTTCAATTTGATTTTTCTCTGACTCTGCTACCCAAACTACATTTCATAACTAAAAAAGCATTATCTTTATTTCTCTAATTTATCGGCCAAGTAATGTATGTTTTCTGTATTGCAAGAAATCTAGTAAAGTGTAACTCTGAAGTATTTGTCAAGGTTGAATTTAAGTCAAGTGGGAAAAAAAGCACACAACCAAATATGAAACAGGCTTGGAAGACATTGATGTTTTTTTCCTCTCATTTTCACCCTTCTCCTTCATGTAGGAACGACATGTCTGATGGCGCTGCTGTCAGACAGAGAACTCACTGTGGCGAACGTCGGGGACTCTCGTGGTGTGCTGTGTGACAAAGACGGGAACGCTGTCGCACTTTCACACGACCATAAGCCGTATCAGCTGAAGGAAAGGAAGAGGATCAAGAGGGCAGGTAACTGATGAGAGAGACAGCAGCATGAAGTGAAGTATAGTCTGTTTGGACCTCTTTTCAGAGTCCTGTGTGGCTGAATCTGGGGTCCTTGGCTGTCATCTGGTGGTCTGTTTAGGGATAGCATCACACATAGGGTTGAATACACAAGTATTCCCATTATTGTGTGGTTTGTTTATTGACAAAAGAACAAACTTTAACTTATTGTTTATATTCCAGGTGGTTTCATCAGTTTTAATGGATCCTGGAGAGTCCAGGGGATCCTGGCCATGTCCCGCTCTCTCGGAGACTACCCACTGAAGAACCTCAACGTAGTCATCCCCGATCCTGACATCATGACCTTCGACCTGGATAAATTGCAGCCAGAGTTTATGATCCTGGCATCAGATGGTCTGTGGGACGCTTTCAGCAATGAGGAGGCCGTCCGATTCGTCCGCGAGCGTCTCGACGAGCCCCACTTCGGCGCCAAGAGCATCGTCTTGCAGTCCTTCTACCGCGGCTGCCCTGATAACATCACAGTCATGGTGGTGAAGTTCAAAAGTGGAGCTGGGGGGAATAACAAGGCAGGGGAGTAGGTTGGGGTCAGTTTCAGGGATAAATTGATCCATTTTTTTATTTTTGTCCCTACTGGGTGAAGCGGCGAGTGTGAAAACACAGGAGAAAAGTGCAGGTACTGAGAAATCTGCACGCATTCAGATAAATACACATTAAAAAAAACATAATAAAATGTTTTATTTGTTAGTTTCTGATTGAAACAAGGGCATTTAAACATACCACATATCTCATAACCATCCGCCAACATAGTAATGACGATGTTAAAATGCTGAATCGACAGCAGAGATGCATGAAAACTAAACAACCAGACACCAGAGGATTATCTCTGAACCAGCACACATTAAACTGTGATTGATTTACTACTGTTTACTGTAGATGCACATGAATGGTACAGCTCCACTGGAGGATCCTTCAGAGCGGGCTTTAACTAGTGCCTACTTAACAATTACTGTGCAACTGCAGGAAGCTACTGAAAATGTGCGTGCGAGAAAAACAAACAAACAAAAAAAAAACCCAACCTGCTTGCTGCATTTTGACAATTTTACCAAGTGTTGTATGCATCTGTTATGGTTTTGACCTGGGAAATGTGGTCAGTTGTAAAAAAGACTCCAGTGGATCCTTACCCTTAACTATATTCGAGTAATGCTTACAACTAAAATCTCTCCATGGAGTATCAAACTCCTGCTTTGTGTTTGGCTAAGTCCAGCCAATCACAGGCCTTAGCTGCTATTCTTTAAGTTGGATTTCCTATGGTTTCTTGACACCCGTTTTTAAGGTTAGTGAACATGTCTTTAAATTTAAGCAAACACATTCTGCTTAGGACTTAAAGACTTAAATTAGATGTAGTACCTCTTTAAGACATTGGCGTATAAAATGAGGGGGTGAGGGGCTAGGTGTCAAACCAAGAGCCGAAGTGAGAGACAGGTTTGACTCCTTTATCTAAGTTTTACTTTGAGGCATTTTTGCTGTTATTAGATACGATAGCTGAAGAGACAGGAAACATAGGGAGTAGAGAGGAAGTGCTGATATGATGCAGTAAAGGTTTATGTCTTGTAATAAAACCAACAACTGATGGACAGGTTAACCTGCATTGCAGTAGGAGATATTTTGTCTGGAAACTATCCACACTAAGAAGTGTTACTTTGTCCACAGGGGGGCGCCAAAATCACCACAAACAAAAAATTCCTCATGCGAGCTTTAAAGATAGACCAAAGCTAAACAAACAAGCCAATTGGAAGCTTGAAAAGAGATTTCGGCCAGAATATTGCTCAATTTGGCTCATGAGTTATCATTGAAATACGTGATTATATTATTTCTAATGTAAAAATTTCAGCAGCAGGTAGACTCATCTCTCAGCTGGAAAACTTCACAGCCTCTTTTCAGGTGTTTAGAAGCTTGGCGATGCTAATTGGAGAGATTTTAGATGACGTCTTACTTTGGAAAAACACACACACACACACACACACACACACACACAAAGGCACTAACAGATAATGAAAATGCACTTTTTTCAGAGGTTTATTTTTTGGAATGTCAAATTCTTACATATCAGTCATTGTAAACTCTTAATCCTCAGTAACACAGGAGGAGTTTCATGTATGCTGAACATTATGTTCACCTCTTGGTACTGTAATCTTAAGGCGTTATGTAGACTGTCCCATCAAAGTTGTTTTGTTTTACGCCATCTTTATCAGGGCATGTGCTTTGGCTTATCCATGTTCCTTCATTCATTCAGTGAGCTAATTTTTTTCTTGGTTCTGGTGATCTTTAACCTGGGAGGCACAGGAAACAGGGCTGACTTTCACACCACCATGAGAAACTAAAAGATGACCCAACATGAACTGTACAGCAGCAGCCTGAATGCTCGTAGCTTGATATTCAATACGCTTGTAAAGCAATACAACCAGTGTCAGTCAGCGGCAGCCTGATGTGGAGACTTTAGAGGAGCAGACTTGATTTACTGCTGTTTTATGTTTGATTACTGTTTACCACTGTGTTTCATGATCTTTGCATCAGTTGACAAAGCCTTTTTTTTAATTTAACTGTTTACCTAATGCCTTATTTATTGAGTTTTTTTTTTCCAATCAGTGGGGTGGATTGTCTGGACAAGCAGATTTTGTCCTTCTGTACATGATCAGAAGTTTACAATAAATTAGATCCATCACTTTGATTTCGAAGTCGGTGCATACTTCACACGTTGAGCTGATGCTCTGTAAAAATACAGTGTAAATAAACCTGTATGTAAACTATCAGTATTAAACTTCCATCTTCAAATCTGTCTGTTTTTTTTTTTATCTCATCAGTCTGGCATTTATTTATAAAGGCAATCTGAGATTAAAAAAAAAATCCAATAGATTAGTCCAGAAGATCAGAGCCCGATATTAAAAACAGAAAAATAATGCTTTCAAAGACAAAATAGATGCGAGATAATGAGATAATTTTGAAATCGAGAGTTTAAAAATAAAATGTGACTTGAAATTTAAAATCGGAATCTAAAGGGTTTAAAATGACAGAAATTTAAATACTGAGCTGGAAAAAACGAGAAAATAAAAAGTCAAATCATGTTCGACTTGTAATCTTGAGATGCAAAATTGGAAATATGGAAAAAACACAATCTTTTCCCCGCATTCCTAACTCTTTATCAAATCTTCCTTACTCTTTACTTTGCCAGATTTTCATGGTTTATTAAGGATATTTTAAATAATGGTGCTAAAGTTTACATTATCATCATGCAGACTTCATACTGGTGGGCCAATAATCATACAGATATGATGTGATCTCATGGGCCAGATATAATTGTTCCACAGGCCAGATTTGAGTTTGAGCTTGAGTTTGACACCTGTGCGCTAAATGATTCAGTGATTTGGTGAACCAATCTCTTGAACGAATCTTTTTGGTGAACTGATTCTAGTGATTCAGTACATCTAAAAGAACTGCCGTGCCCACCACTACAGTCTTGCCTTCCTTTAAGAGGATCATTTTAGGAACTAGGACGTGAGCAAGTCCTATTCTGCATGGAACCAACTGTACACAGCTCATCTATTCTTATTTCTATTCACGTCCAATATTCACGTTCAGGGGTGTCTTGTTCTTTAGCACATCATAACACAGAGGGGGGGCAATGCTCTTCTCTGCAGCGTTTTGTCACTCTTCCAGGAACATACATCACTCCATCTCCAGTGACAATAGAACGATGGGATGTGGGAAACAACACGTGGCGTGTTCTGAGTGTTGATGGGATGCCTCAATATCACCACAAATAACTTTCCATGCCTGCAAAGGAAACTGAATCCCATCGCAGCCGTCAGGAGGGGGCGCGGACAGCCCGGAAGCGCTTGATGATGCCAAGTTTCTTGACAGTCCGCACCAGGTGGAGAGACCAGAATAACTCGAACATAGACTCATCCAAATGCCGAGAGCCTTGTCGCAACAGATAGGCGTCTAATAACCTTCAAGACAAGTGCGTCAGACAGCACAGTTGCGGGAATTTTTTGTGTTTGATTTGGCACTTATAAGAGAGACGCGTGCTCAAGCTCAGAGAAGAGAAATCTGTCGCTCAGCCAACTCAGGAGGACGCAACAATCAAACACATCTCGTATTCTTCCATTGGAATATTTTGAACCAAACTTGCAAAATGGGACAACACGGCTCCAAATCTACCATCGAGGCTCGGGTGATTTTTCAGCGCGGTGGCTCGGAGGACATGAGTCCCAAAAGAGACGCGTGTTCGACACCAGCCTCTGTTGTCCGCATTCAAAAGAAGGTGAACAGTCAGGTCCACTCTTCGAACCGCTCACTGGAGAAGTCATCGCCTCATTCATGGTCCCTGAGCCGCCGTGACTCTGAAGGGCTGGTGTACGTGATGGATAACCCCACTGGAGGAGTGTGGGTAAAGCCGGAAGAAAGATGGACCAGATCATGACACACAACCAAAAAATATGCAGGCGAAATACAAAAAAAATCTCCAAGGAAATAAGTCAGGTACCTCTTGACTGGAAGATGTCCTTAAGCTTTGGCTTTTTCCGCGCGACAGAAAGTTTTGGATGTCTTCGCGCAGAGGTGCGCGTCTGTGGCGCATCCACCCTACATGGTGCGGATTCAAGATGGATTTGAATCGTCTCCGAGACGCGAAGAGGATGGCTGGACTGATCGCTGATATTTATTTATTTAGTCTTTATGAGACATTTAGTCAGACTGATGGACTGGAAGATGGTGGCAAGAGGTGACACGCACAAAAACTAAGTGCACATAGGTTTTTTTATTTTTTTGGAAATGCTTTGTTTCCAAAATGACTTTTTTTATTTAAGGAAATACTTCACACCTTCAGAAGAATGTGGCCTGGATAGAAAGGGAGCTTTGGTTTAGTCAGTACTGAAACTATTTTTGGATGCAAACGAATTTTGATACCATGGCATTTGCTGAGTGAATCAACATGGTTTGTAAACACAGTTCTGTTAAGCCAACTATGTCAGGGTGAATCTTTTCAATTGCTGACCAACCTTTATCTATTTTTATTTTAATTGACTTATTTATTAGATTATTTTTGTATTTCACAACATAGCACAAAGAAATGTTTGAAAAATGCATTATTTTTTTATTGCTTGATTGAATATGAAGGAGTGGAACTCAGAATTAAGCCCTCCAATATTTTAGACTTTCCTGAATGTCTTAATGTTGATGTTTACCTGATTATTTTCTGGATAGCTGTGTGTTGGTGTCAAGGCAGCAGAGTTTGAATTTGTTATTTTTTAAACCTTGAATGTTGTTAGAAAGTTTGATGAAAGTGATGGAGCATCTGATTGTCTACTGAAAGTTTACAGTGCAGTCAAGAGACTGCCATTGAGGGACTACTTAAATGTATGTAAAAATGAATAATCCGGGGCTGTGAAAGAGGATAATGGTGGTTAAGTATTAATAAAATGCAATTTTTTTTCACTGGCAAGTCAAACTTGAGTTCTGTTCTTTACGTCCGCCCTCTGATTGTCTTATTACATTTAAGTTAAACGACACATCGCTGCACAAATCTTTTTTTTCCAGCAAAGCCCATACCAATTCATGCAATCTGAGACATGATCCTAAATTTCTAAACAAACACTTCATTTTACTGTTTTTTTCTTGGTAAAAAGGTAGGGGAGACCGGGGCTTGTCACACGGGTAAGTTGTCACATTGCAATTATCTTTGCCACCAGAGGGCGCAACTAAAAAGTGGAATACTAGTTTTCTCCCTTTACATGTTCAGGGGTCGTGTCCTGTCTGATAAGAAAAAATCACATTGCGAGCTGAGATGAGCGCCAATAAAGCATTTTGCACAACCCAAAGTTAAAATATTTAACTTTATGTATTTAAAAATTAGCTTCTTCCATATAATCCTAGCAGTGAAACATGTGGACTTGTTAGAGGAGAGATGAAGGCAATGTGTCAGACCTCAGTCATTTTTCTGTTTTAAGCAAACCTTAAGCTAGAGCTCAAATTAGCAGACATGGTAGTTTGGGGCAACGTGTCTCAGTCATTTTGGGGTTAGTTGTCGCATGTTTTAAAGGGATTAAAATTAACATAGTCTACATATCAGCAGTCAGCAGTTGTCATACAGAGATGTTGACTTTACTTTTACAGAAAAAAAAGAGTGATTTAAAAGAGAGGAGAAAGCAAGATGACATGGTTAGGTATTACAAAACAAAAACTAAGTATGGCAGGGCAGTCAGGCAGGTGACCCTAGCTAATAAATCAGTCTGACGCACAATAAAGGACTTTAATGTCAACTACCATACCATGGCTCCGTACTGTGAAACATTCACCCCAGCCGAAATACAGAGTCAGACAGCTCTCCAAACTCCAGAGCATGTTGCATAATATTTTATGTTAATGTTTGATCGATGACTTTTTCTAGCTCAATGATAAACATTTTGTGTGCCTGACTTTAATGCTCACTTTCAGGTAAAACAACATTAATTTTGTTCTTGTTTTATTAGCTGCAAAATCCACTGTGACATCTTACCCCATATAGTAAGAGAACTTACCTGATGGTGGGGCAACAACATGTCACATGTCACACTCTCTATTTGACTGCTTATAACTCTGCACTGACACAAGATATGAAAATGACATGCATACAAAATATATACCTGAGACTTTGGTCTTTCATCTGGTACACATTTTGTTTACATATGATGTATTGATTCCAAGAAATATACAAGAGCGTAAAAAGTGACAACAAGCACCGGTCTCCCCTACATTATGTGCTTTTGGGGCCGTACTTGGGGAAAAAGTTGTAGCAGAATGTCTCTAAACTTGGGTTGATCTTTTATAAGCATTACATCACAAGATAAGGGCCTTGTCATTGCATTGATAACGGTGGCTTGATGCTGGTTTAATATGGGCGGTAACTTCATTTTTTTTAGCCAGCATAAAAGGAATCTCCTCTGGTTGGTACAAACTTTGCTCCCTGGTGTGGCGCCTTATCAGTGACAAAGTCACAGTCAGAGTTGAGCTAATGGTTCATCTATTAAATCCAGAGCCACGCACTCAGCAAACACTGCGTCAGAAAAGAGGAAGATGTGCCTGTCCCGTCTCCGTTGACCGTCTTCAGGCCTACTATCATGGGGTTGCGAGGATCTAAACTCCCGGAGGCCTATGTTCCCATTCTGGGCTTGGACAACGCTGGAAAGTCGACTCTTCTTTACAAACTGAAGCATAACGCGTGTGTCGGCACAGTCCCCACCATCGGCTTCAACGTTGAAATGATCGAGGCGAAAAAGAACCGGAAGACCATCGCTGTAACTTTATGGGACGTCGGCGGCCAGAGCATGATGCGCGAGCATTGGAAGAACTTCCACCAGGACTCAGCGGCTGTGGTGTTCGTGGTGGACAGCGCGGACAGGACGCGCATGGATGAGGCGCGCAGAGAGTTGGAGAACACCCTGAGGAGTGAACTCCTGAAGGGCCGTCCGCTGATTGTCATTGCCAACAAACAGGACGTGAACGGCGCTCTGACAGCCACCGAGATTAAAGATACCTTTCATCTGAAGAGGGTCTGCACGGGACGGGATTGGTTCGTTCAGCCTTGTTCTGCGTCAACGGGATTTGGAGTTGAAGAGGCCTTCAGGCGTGTGGTGCAGCTGGCCAAGCTCCCATCAGAACCTGGGGCCATGAAGGAAAACATTAAAGACACCGTACACTACCTCAAAACGACCAGAAGACATTAAGTCTGATGAAGCAGATGAAATGTTATTCTCACATCATTGACGATCTGATGTGTGCTTTTTTGAAATACGGTTTGGTTTAATTTCTAACAGAGCAATAAATCTCGGTTTAGGAGAGCACTGATATAGACTTAACGAACTATTCCAGTTTAAACACTGTTGTAAGCCACTACATAAGGGTGAGTGGCTATCTTATACTTTTCTGGATAACTAAGACAGCAAAATGAAGTCTGACTAAAGAACACTGCAGAACATTGTATCTCCATGCAGATTATATACAACTATTAAACAGAACCGGATGATTTCACACAGCTATGGGCGTTGGCATCGTCATTGATCAATATCTGCAAGATAAACACAAGAGCATGGGGTGTTTTGATATAAATACTGCAACAGTGATCGCAGCTGATTTGAGTTGGCGTTTTCTGAAAATTGAGGCCTCTACTCATTGCTGAATCTTTGTGATGGTGAACACTGAGTTTTGACAGCTTTTTCAACGTTACTTTATGTATGATGAATCACAGAGCAAATATGAAGGATAAGTAACACCAGCCAAAGGGGACTTTCTATGACCTGGCAACCCAAAATGCATTTTAATTTCTGATGTATGACACATTATGCGAGATAGTTTTGCAACTTAATCAAAGCCTTTAATGGAATTGTGCTCAATCCTCTTGATAAATGGAAATAAATGTAATAATAACAGAAGAAAGAAGTCACAGTTATTCTATGCAGAGGCACAGAGTTCATACTCCTATCAAGGTAAGTATGCTGCAAGACAACGCCCAGGATTTTATGTCCATTATAAAGTATAGAAAGGACGCTTTTAAATGTCCAAACTTAGGTGCCTTCCAGTAAGGCCTTGGTTAATCCAGTGGTCTTGTCATGTAGCTTGTCCCATGCCCAAAGTTGGCTGTCGTCCCATGCCAAAAGCTAGCTGTTCCCTGTTAGTATCCCGCACTGTCTCCTCGTACGTCGGCAGGCGTTTGCACTCATCGTATGAGGGCAACTGAGCAGCAAGACCAGGATCCATGGAATCATCCGGCGTGCGGGTCTCCACCAGCGGCTCCTGTGATAAGGCAGTAGCCGGGTGCCCGCTGGGAGGAGGCGGAGTGAGCTGCCTGGATCTCACGCACAACACTCGCTGGATAAAGTATCCCACGGCGAAGAGAAGCAGCATTATAAGCACCCCGGAAAGTTTCCGCGTGACCATGGCGATGTTGTAGTAAGTTTTGTCCACGAATTGTTTGCAACAGGTGACAGCGGTTGTGTCATTCCCCTGCGCACAGCACACTTGGTCATCCCGACAAAGATCCTGTCCGCATTTTCGGATGGAAAGAACAACCGTGCGAGAAAAGAAGCACGCAACGAGCACGGTCAAGGTTTGGAAGATGTAGAAAGACATCTCTGTGGAGTTTTATAGAGCGATGAAATGATCCAGTGGTGTGTCGGTGAAGCGTTGCTCAAAGGGTGCGGGGGGAGCCGAGTCACTTGTGGACGACAGGGTGAAGAGTGCTTTGGCTGAAATGCTGACGCGTCACGAACGCACTGCATGCCCAGAGAATATAAAATCGGAAAAGGACAACAGACCATCCGATCAAAAAAAGAGTGGATCTGCAGAAGTTAACACACAAAGTCAGCATCAGTTTGCGAGTTTTTGATGGCTGCCCGTGGCTCCGCACTTAAAAACACATCAAAATGCTTGACTCGTGTGGACTTCAGTGTGCACTTCATTTATTATGCACTTAGCCGAATACTGATGACGCGCAGTAGATCGTAAGCAGACTTGTCTTAGTCATTTGACATGGAGGTAAACAGGCGCCCCTGAAATCGACCAGTCTTGTCGGAAACACTAATTAGAGAAAGATCATTGATGGCAGTGGGAGGGGACATCAAAATCGGTAGTAGCCGCCGTGGGTGTTCAGAACCACGGACAGCGCCCATAACGCCCACCGAGGAGAACAATGAAGGGCGCTGTCCGAGATGCTGACACAACTAAATCGAAGTATCTAAATGTTTCAGCTGGCAGAGGCACCCAAGAATTTCCATTTGAAATATTAATACCTGTGTACATTAAGAGGTCAAGTCAGGTTTGTACTTAAGAGGCTGTAACACTTTGGTACACGTCCAACCCTGCAAGAGTAAAGTGCTGCCCTTATTCACAACAGTTTCTGCTAAAAGTATCAAGGAAAGCCTTGATGCACTTCTCATTATTCTAATAGAAATATTCCTTAGAAATATTTGGCAACCAAATGACAAATATCTTAAAAGCAGCCAGTACTGTGGTGGCAGATATCAAATTTCCTCTCAATGATTTATCAATACAGTAACTTACATGATGAGTAGGTTGTGGGTGGTAATGGAGGAAAGTGCTCTCTAATAGTATTACTGCTTTGCTCCTCTGTTGAAAATTGCCAATGTTATGTTGGTTGAATCTTCACTGTTGATAATACAAGGGTGCATTGTGTGTTGTTTGTGCTGAAACACAAAAAACACACAACATCCTATTGTCATCTACTTCAACTGGTGGAGCCTAATGACTTTGAGTGCTTACAAATCGAGGCTAATTAAATTGTCTGCTGAGGAGGTATCAGGTTCTTGGCTATGAACTGCTTGATGCTGAATTTTGTTAAGACAAGGTATCAAATAGCTAAAGTCATTGTAATGCTCGCGCTTTTGGAAAGATGTTAAATAAATCCAAGATGAAATATTTATCAAGTGAAAAGTGTTGTTTATGCAGTAAAAAAGAAAAATGGTAGCAGAGTGAGTAGACATCTTTGTATAAGGCTGAGAGAATAGTTCACAGAAAACAAACAAAAAACTCTTTTTATTGCAAAGCAATATTTTAAATGACAAATGAACCTCTGCATTTGCACAGATTATCATTTTAGTACAAAAACATAACTTTAAAAGTTTTCTGAATGTAGCAGGAATGAAACCTTTTAGTCCATCAGCCTCTCGGACTATCAGGAGTCCTCAGTATTCCTGTTCTGCTGTCAAAGTGAGGCTTTGGAGTCTGTTGGCTCTGGGTCAGTTTTGCTGGTTTGCAATACAATAATTGGTCCCATCTGGACAGTTTGCTCTGTAAAACACACACATGGTTCTCACTCAGGGTTGGCAATAGCGCTGTATCAAAGCAATGGATTATTTACCACATAAATAGATAGTTGTGTATTATTTGTGGCCTCATTTGATTTTAAATTATCTGCCTGGTGACCATGACGGAAAATGGGTCTCAAAAACTTGTAGATGTTTGTTTAATCCTTTGTAAATAAACAAGCCTGCTCGCAATGAAAATATGTGCTATAAAACTGCAGATCAGCTGGATCTTACCATTCAGTGGGATATGATCTAGATTTGATGGCATTTAAACTTGCTGAAATTCCATTGAAATGGTACAAAAATAGGAGAACACTGCAAAACTTCTAAATTAGGGAAGAAAGTGATTCGTCTTGTTCCTTTCACAATTTAAGGCAACTTTTTATGTCAAGAAACTTGTGTAATTGGAAGATTTTCTTCTCATTAAAAGCAATGCATGTCTTCTTTCCACTTGTTCTCCCCTGAGATGAGATATTTTCTGTCAGATGACAGTGGCTTGTGTTTTACCTCTCACTGACAGCTAAACAGCCTCTTATTTCACAAGTAGTTGGACAAAATTTCTTAGCTTTGAGGTTTTATATTGTATGAATCAATCAAATGTAATTACTGCACTTACCTGCTTTGACCTCTGTTCCTCGCTTTTTTAATCCAGCAGGGGACTGCTGAAGTCTGTTATATTGGCTCTGGTGCATGCCAGGATGAACGCGGTAATACGTGGCAGGGAGATGTTCATGTTTCTTCTGGACTAAACTTGCTTGTGGAGTCCAGGATTTAGTGCTGGTGGTAGTGGTAGTGGTGGTGGTGGTGGTTGTAGGAGGCTCTGTGGGCGGAGGTTCCTCAGCTCGGTGAGAGATATCACAGCTTCTACAGGCCTGGTCATTCCCATCTACAGATCTCCAACTGGATAAGCAGGAAAATCTCAAATCAATGTAAATCACTTGAGTGAAACAGGTAAGATAATCACAGCAGGGGGAACTGATGAAGAAGATAAAATTGCTGGATTACCTGTTGTCTATCAAAGAGCAGGCCCTGTTTCGAGAGCTGACAGCTGATCCGACTGGTACAGCTTTCAAATAGCAGGTAATGTAGACCTGTGGGAGACAGGTTTTCATGTACAATAACCAGAATAATGTAACAAGTAAAATCAAAAAAAGTCATATAGGCAAACCTGATTGACGTGATCCGAGTTGAACCTGAAGGCATCAAGCTGAAACCTCAGCTTGTGCTCCTCAACTCTTGGTAGAAAATGGGATCTGGAGTTTGTCAGGTAGGCATCAGCGAGACATCTGTGACATTAGTTTGGAAGAAAGTTACTTAACATTTGAAAAGATCGAGAAAGACACAAAGTTTAACAACTAATCTATATTTGATGGTACAAGATGGTGAGTTTTTAAAAAACCTTGAGCTTACCCGTGATGCTCAATAAAGTCATATCTTAATGTGGCCTCTGCGTCAGGAGTTGCAGTGGCAACACAGTGGTCAACATAGACTCGCAAGGGAACGTGGTTACGGATACTAGCAGACACCTGGAAATTAATAGGGTCACCTAGGAAGTAAGAGTTAGATCCTCTTTCATACTGCCAATCATCTGCAACAGTGAGAGAGAAAAAAAAGATGAAAACAAACTTGGTAGGGAGGATGAAAATATCATGGCTTAGATGCTTTATCACAGCTGTCCTCTTATTACCAGTCATGAGAAGCAGGTTGAAGTCAATCTGATTCTCTGCCAAGGCCTTGGAGACAAATGGGACCCAAGTGGGTTGCAGTGAAACACCTCCCACTGCATACTTCCTAAAAACAGAAAACATACATTCAAATTTCATTCAAGGATTGTTAAAAAGTAGAGGGTTGTCAAATTCAAGATACAAAACTGGATCCAAAAGTCTAGGCATAAATATACTGCCTATAAATGTTCTGCACTTACTTCTCATAGTGACATTCCACTGGAATACTTGCTCCATCCAGTCTGAGCAAACCATGCAATGAAGGTTCAGGTGAGTAGACCAAAACATTAGAGTATATAATCCTCTCTTTTGTTGACTGGAAAAACAAACAGTATTTATCTTTCAGGATGTTTAATTCTGGATAAAACATAAAAGTACATCAATATAATCCTGATCCAAGACACCGAGCACTACAAACAGGGTGAAGTTGTCAAAACTAGCTGCAAAACAACAAGGTAAACACATTATAATCGCAGTAAATAAAGGTAGTCCTTACTGAGAGTGAAGTCCCACAATCCAGTAGTTTAGTCCTGATGGTGAATTCGGCCTCTCCTGATGGCTCTGCTCCACATGCACCCCCTTCAGCCACCGTGTCTGAGCCCAGGTGGAGGTGTCTGCCCTCCACCTGAAGGCCCATATTGAACATATCCGCCTGCACCACGACCTCCATGTAGTCCGGGTAACAGTGGACCACCACAGACCGGGGTCGCAGTTTGACGCCATTTTGTTGAGTCTGAAAGTTTCCATGAGGCCTGCTCTGGACCTGGGAGCTGGTTGTGCTAAACCCCGCTTGGTTGTTTATTGACCGGGTTTCTGTAAGTGTGTAAACTGAGATAAGGAAGGTAATCCACCAAAGACGGTTTCTGTTGAGGATTCGATCCATTTTTTTTGGCCGATGACTGGTTTGGAAAGAAGGCCGTTGTCCACACCCCCATGGAGATATCTCTGCAGCTGTAAGTAATCTCCGTTGATTTGAATTCATGAAACACACCTGGAGACGGAAAAGGGGTGATATAAACATACGGAATCATACAAAATCAGACAATTGTGGTGTAAAATGTAGCCTGTTTCTTAAACGCTGTTCACCAGCGTCCTAAAGTTATCAAAAAACTGAAGAAACTTAATCTGGTGGTTTGTTTTTGTTATGGCGCGCTTTCACTGGCTATAAACTTAATCTTCCACTAGATGGCGATATATTTGCAAAGATTACAGTGAGATCGTTCATCTACACTGTTCAGTATTTAAAAAATTCCTACTCTTTAAGTACTAAATTTAAGCCTTTTTGTCCTCGTTTTAGCGTCAACGTAAAAAAAAAAAGATTGCATCCTCTAAATAAGTGATGGTATATTTTCAATGATAAAGTTTAAAATAGAATGAACATATAGGCCCACGGGTCTATATGCCTTTTTAAATTTATTTTTTACAGTTACACACCCCGAAAACAGGAAAAACGCAACAATACATGAGATGATTAATGGCTGAATCAACCATTGTGCCCCGAGTTTTGTCTTTCAGGCCTCATGCAAATTGTCTTTGTTGAAGTGGGAAGTTTTGAGACAATAATTTTGAAAGAAAATCGTTTTGGGGAACTTTCCGGTTAAGAAGTCTGAAATTTTTTTTAAAAAACAACGAATTTCTTAGAAAAATCCTTAAAAGATTTGAAAACTGGCTGCACAACGGGAATATGCAAATAAATTATAAACCCCTTCAATTGAATGACACATTCTGGTCTCAGTTGATATTATAACACAAGTGTTGGGCCACAACTATTTACATATTATTCGACTGTTTTCATTTGTCTCTTTAATATTATTTTAGGTTACTTACATATATATTTTAATCAAAATAATCAAGTCTTTGGTTATCTAAAAAAGTATAGGGCTTTAATAATGTAAATTATTTATGTAAACTTGTTCTAGATGTGACATTTGTAAATCTGCCATATCTCTACAACCTTCATGTTGCTGGGAAGCCCACATCCTCAATACCCTATTTTAATATTACTGTTATCAGACTTAACGAGACACTGCATATCTTTACATCACTTTCAGATCCTTCAGAAAATCAGAGGACTCTTTACAGACTTTGTACTGATTCATACAGTCATTACAGGACTTCCCACTTGAAGTCTGGACAAGCACTTGTTGCAAAACATTAAGAGTAAATCACACCACACTGAAGCTAACACAGTCACATGCTGACAAAGCTGGGCAAATACAGTAGAGTCTACTGGTAAAATGCCTTTGTGACAGGAAACATCGTTTTCAGGATTTCAGGACCATGATAAATGAGCCATTTCATAAGACCAACTGAATTAAAACAACCATAAACCGCATACATTTCTTGATTACTCCAATGTGGCTGTCAAACGCTCACTTGTAAAACAGAAGGTCCAATAAGTAGATATGATTTTTCAAGGAGTATGCCATTTAATGAAGAAGATTTGGACTAAATTCAACTACAATGTAATATGAAATTAAAGCGCATCATGGTAAATAAATAATAGATGAAACAGCAGGATTTATGCAGGATAAACATTTATTTGATGATTGTTTGAAACAAGTGAATAATAAATAGTTTAAAATAAATAGTCCAAAATAAAAAAAGTTAATACATAAAAAAGTCTGTGAATAGACTCAGTTTTAAATGTACTTCAACACATCAACTTGATATTAAATAGTAGCTCATATAATGACTACATAACAAACCTTAAAGGTTGAATAAGTATTCTCTGCCACAGCTGCATTATCTCAATAAACATGAGAAATTACTGCAGTTTACTGTAGTTTGTCTTACATTAGCTGGGGGTTTCATTTGGCATGTTCGCTAGAGTTGATATACGAAATAACTCTGTTGATGGTGATGGTGCGGACATGGAAACCCTTCAACACCTTGCAGAGGCTTAGTCTGTCATCGAAGGTGCTCTGACGGTCTGGAGCCTATAAGGCACAAAGAAAGGATCATGATTCCTCCAATTGGACTGTTCTGCCAATAATTATTATATTTAGCTTTTCTGTTTGATCATCTATTCATTGGCCACAAAAATATTTCTATAATTTAAATTTACATTCTATAGAGGTTTAGATAGGTTTCTACAAGTTTGAGTTAAATATATCAGCTTTTTAAAATTTCATTATTTAACCTTTAGAATATGACATTCATTAAGAGATCTCTTACCTGTGAGATCAAGTCTCTCGGCAGAGGTGATGTGAAGCAGTTCTGTGCAGAAAAAATAAAATATATTTAATTCTTGTTTTTAATATTTACTTCTTCCTAAAATCCATGTTCATCCCCTCACGACTGGTGATCTATGCATCACTGCTGGCAGCAACAGCATAGATTCAGCCAATTTACATATTAAGTTACCTCCATGAGCTCTCTGAGGCTGGACAGAACAGACTGGCTCAGTACACCGTTAGGATCCGGCTGAGCAGAGAGAAATTGGTAGTAATGACGCAGATCCGCTGTGATGTTTGTCAGGCACACCTCCTTGATGGAAAACAAATAAAGACAATTGAAAAAAACGCATACTTTCTACACCAAGTGCTCTTTTATAAGGCATGCCTGTAAATCTCGTGCAGTCTAATACAACAGGTCAGTCTTAACATTAATACAACCTGTAACATTTTAATCAAATTGGAAGTTTGATATGTGATTCAATATTTCAGCCTTATAGAAATAGCAAAATATAGAAGCATCTCTTGAGGTTGCAGTTCTATAACTTAGCATGGTAACAATTCATATTATAGCGGTTTAAGGACAACAAAAAATGAACATTATAAGTAACTTTGTGGCTGACTGGTTGTGTTTGATGTAGGCATTAGCTGTCTAATAAAAAAAGCTGGTAAAGATGTATCTGTAAAGTTATAGTTTACTTATTAGTAGTTTAATCTGTACATGTTTAAAGCCTGATTTAAATATTCTCACTTTATGTATTTCTACTTTTATTAAGAAGAAATATAAAACAATAAAAGAGCATTTGTTTGGTATCGTACTTTACAGATTCAAAAACACAACATACCTCATTAAATTCTGGATTATTATTTCCTGAGCATTTTGATTCCTGAGGTGCGCAGACAGATCCAGTGTTTGTCTTTGTGTTCATCTCCACACTCTGCTTTGAGCAATCGATTCCTTTGAACAGATCGGTCTAGACACATAAAGAAAACTTTTTAGACTTTAAGTAGAGGCAGATTTAAGATGAAATGGAAGAATTTAAGTCTGTTTCGTACCTGTGTGAGAGTTGTAGCGATATCCTGTAGAAGAGTCTGTGCGTATGACACACAGGAGTCTGTCATTTGTCCTTTACTCATCACAGGAACAGACTGGCTGAGCTGCCACAGGGGACAGGTGAGCAGCAGGAGCATAAGGGCAGCAGAAAAGTCTGAAAAGAGCGGAGAGAAACAGTACTTTAGTTTTAAACATTTACGGTAAAGAAAACAGAGTTCAGTCAGAGTGTGTAATACTCACAGTGCTTGTTGAGGGCCATCTTGAATATGAGACTGTAGACTCTTTGGTGTAACTGATTGAACTCAGACATCCCTGAGTATTTTATACCCACTGACTGACACAGGGGTTTCCCCTCTGTGAAGTCATATGTTGACATTCAAACTGCAAATTGAAAGTGCAGAGTCAGGGTTGTGAAGTTTTCCCACCATAACATTCACTGCTTATGGTGAAACTGGAATTAACACACGCTGTGTTAATTGTGTGTTCTCACTGGTTTCTTTTAATTGTTTACATTCCTAAGAAAAATAGAGGGAAATCATGATGCAAATTCTGCAACTAGCTAATACATTCTGGTTCCTGTCACATACCCTGTGTACCTATTAAGCAAATATATAAAAACAGCACAACACAATACAAGAATTTCATTGATCCCCAATGGGAAATTTGATATTTAAATATAAAAAGTATTTAAATGTCAAAAAATAATCTGTTAAATAGTTCTTGTAAAGTAAGTCATTCCCCACCACGGCTCTTTTAAAAGTTTTTAATGATCTTTTGTCAAACCTTGATTCTGGTAACTGTGCCTTTTTAATCCTCCTTGACTTGACAGCGGCGTTTGACACAGTGGATCACTCAATCCTCCTATCACCCCTTGAACGCTGTGTAGGCATCAAAGGCACTGCTTTAAGCTGGTTCAGATCATACCTCTCTGAGAGATCTTTCTCTGTGCACATGGGCCAGTTTTCTTCCACAGTTACCCCTGTGACGTGTGGGATCCCCCAAGGGTCAGTTCTGGGTCCCCTACTATTCTCCCTCTGTATGCTACCCTTGGGGTCAATTTTTAGAAAGCATGGTGTTTCTTTTCACTGTTTTGCTGATGATGTGCAGGTGTATTTGCCTGTTAAGGTCCCGACCAAAAATTCTCTGCAGGTCATGCTTAATTGCATGAATGATGTGAAGACATGGATGGATCTTAATTTTTTTAAATTAAATGAAAACAAAACAGAGGTCATCCTGTTCGGTCGCCCTGACCTGGTTCAGGTCCTTGCCAGCTCCCTTGGCTCACTGGCACCTTACATAGGGTCCCCTGCCCAGAATCTTGGTTTTATTATCGATGACAGGTCAGCGCAGTGGTCAAATCTAGCTGTTATCAGCTAAGGCTTCTCGCCAAAGTAAAATCCTATTTTAACCAGAAGGACCTTGAAAAAGTTATCCATGCTTTTATCACATCTTGTTTAGATTACTGTAATTCCCTGTATGTTGGTATTGGCAAGTCAGAGGTCAACCGCTTGCAGCTCATTCAGAATACTGCAGCTCATCTCCAAGAAACAGGAGCACATAACCCCGGTGCTTTCCTCTCTTCACTGGCTCCCTGTTAGGTACAGGATGGATTTTAAGATTCTTTCATTTGTTTTTAAGTCTCTGAATGGGCTGGCCCCGGAATATCTGTCTGACCTTGTTAAACTGCGCCAGCCCTCCAGAGCCCTCATGTCAGCTAATCAGGTGGTTTTAGACGTTCCTCGATCCTTTTTAAAATCTAGAGGTGATAGAGCATTTTCTGTCATGGCTCCCTCTTTGTGGAACGCTTTACCCCTGACAGTGCGCACTGCTTACACCCTTTCCACTTTTAAAACACTTCTGAAGACGCACCTGTTCACTTTAGCTTTTGAGGAAGTATAGCTACTTTTATTGGGTATTTTATTTATTTGCTATGTTTAACTATTGTTGTTTTATGTTTTTATATGTTTATGCTTTTATTGTTTTTATGCTTTTATTGTTTTTACTGTCTCTGGCTATTTTACTGTAAACCACTTTGGTATGCCACTGGCTGTTTTTAAATGTGCTATATAAATAAAGCTGACATTAAAATTGACATTGACCAAATTCTTTAATTACCTGAGCATCCCTTTTAGATACATCTTCTAGTTAGAATTATGAATTTTTTTGGACAAATTAAAAAAAATTCTGAGCAGATGCCAAGGGTCTGTTTTTTTTTTTCAAACTTTGCCCAGTTGTTTGTTTGTAAGCCCAATAATGAATGTACCTTTAAAGTTCTGTTTATTTTCACCACTCAGAGTTATTCCCCTTCTGCTTGCGTTGAACCTCCACAAAACTCAGTTATATACGTGTTAACTAAAGTGTGAATGAAAAGGGAAACCCAACCTTTTCCTTTTCTACAACTCTAAGTCTAATTCTGTGAATGAGAACAAGCTAACCTTTCCACTCTGAAACTTTTCATGTATGATTCAGTAAATATTTTCCATTGCAGTCATCATCACAGCAGGAATTTGAAATGCTAATTAATTCTTAAGAAACAAGCCAGATGAAAAGTTGATTCAGACACGTAAAACATTTATTACCGGAATTTTTCTTTCTTTCTTTTTTTTTACAATCATCTTACAGTACATTTATCATGAAGCGTACAATATAAAAAGAAAGTTAAACTTTGTGTTAAGTGACATTCTTAAAAAGGTGCAAGTGAAAACATTTAAATACAGCCAACAAGGCATGTTTTTCATCCTTTAATAAAGTATCTTTTGACATTTAAATACAGTACGTCCATAAAGCTCCACTCTCTGAACAGATAAAATAGATATATGTGTATGCTGTAATTCATTTATATATTTATTATGTTTAGCTGTAGTAAATTTAGCGTAACAAAAGAAGTTGAATGCTTTTTTTAGGGGCTGTTGGTGTCAACATGTCTCCACTTCTGCTTCTTCTAGCCCAATAATGTAACTATATGATATTTAATTTGATTTGCTGTCATTTGTCCATATAGCACTTTTATTAATTCTCTTAAACTTTTAATCAATTCCTCTAAATGCATCTGCAAGCAGCAATTCATGTATATCTAATATTTTGTCCAAATGATCCTTATAGTTTCTCAGCCTCTTAAAAACACCTTGAAGCTTGGCTGTGACTCAGCTCAGGGTGTTTATCGTTTTCTTTTTTTTTTATTGCAACAGCTCAGACAGACGATAAATGTCTTACAGTGAACCCCAGTACTAAACAGTGATGGTGCAGTGCTCTCTGTGACAGAAATGATAAAAAAAAACGTGAACAGAGCGAGTCTACAGATGAACAGGTCAATCCTCTCGAGACAAATTAAAGACAGTAGTGGCCTCTAGAAGTCACTGTGCAAAATCATAGAGAGGAGGAAAGAAGAGGATTCTCCTAATGCTATGAAATAATGCGCGATTAAATCGTGCTGAGTGGGAAGTGAAAAAATCTACACAAACCATACAGAGTGAAGCTAACTCTTCTGCTTTCATCCTGTGGTGAAATACATTACGTGTGTGTTTGTGTGTTAATATTATAATGACATGTAGATTCATCTCTCCACAAAAAGTCAGCACAGATGGAGTTTATTAGTAACACTGCAGACAGTCCGTAGAGCAGGAGGTAAGATGGCGTGCAGATGAACACACACATGAAGTCAGGGTGTTTATTTAGACAAAGCTTTCTCTGACTGGTGTCGCTGATGGCTGTGAGCGTGCCTGTTTCAATAAAAGACAAGAACTCTGTTAACATTTGCACTGAATAGAAACTACATTAAAAATCTATTTGATATAAAGTGAGAGGAAGGAGGTTAACCTGGTGAGGTCCTCTATGTCCACCAGCATGGCATCCTGCTCCACGTGTAGCTCATCCCTCATCAGCAGCAGCTGCACCAGCTCCTCATTTAGATCTTGGTTGGATTCAGAGAGAGAAGTTAATGAAGTAGATAGTTTTTAATGAATAATATCATTAGATATTTTTTTTATATTTAATTCCTTGCTAATCTTGTTTTTTATTTATTTATTCATTTGTGGGTATATCTGTGTTTGCTCACTCACTCTGAATCTGAGAGTGCAAGTCGTTTGTGATGACTTGCAGCTGTCCTAGACTCATGTCCCTCATGTCCCCTCGCCTCAGATTCCTCTTCATTAAGCCTTCACTGATGTGAGGCAGGTGAGGGAGCTGCACACAGAAACACATAGAAGAAATCACCGCAATTGTCTCAAAATGTTGTAAATCTATTTGTTGAACATAGATCAAAGTCAGCTGAGTATCTGGGTTTGCAAAGGTCGAGTATCAAGCATCAGTGGGACACATTTGTTGCCCTTTTGTTTTACTCAGAATTAATGGGTTTTCACCTATTGTGTGTGACACAAGCACAAACAAATAGTTGAGGCTGTGTAAGTCCCTTGTGCTTATTTTTATTGTACTTTGCTGTAACACAGACTTACAGTTAGTGATTCTACTTTCACTTTTCTCCTTAGGTGATTTTACCTGGAATCACCTTTTCTAATGGGAGTGGGAATTTCAGGAATCCTAACACACACACACACACACACGCGCACACAGTTTCCTGACCCGAGTTTCTCTTTTTCACAGACTAACCAAATCAGCCACAGGTGAACGTCTGTGCAGTTGGATTTGCCGCTCCACCTCCACCTGCATGCGAGCCATGGGTCGAGCCAGTGCCAACGCCACCCGAGCCTCCTCCTGCAACCTCCGCTGCACCCGCCAGAACCCGCTGCAGTCATCCAGCGGGTCCGAGTCTTCCTCTGCGGTGTCTCGGTCTGATAAGGATGAGCTCTGCTTGCTCTACAGAGGAAGTAATTTGATGACATAACAGCCATTGTGGTCTTGCACGTGGTGGTTTTAAAAGTTAACGAGAGAAGCGGAGTAAAACAGAAACAAAGTGGTTAAAAAGACACTACACTGTTCACGTACCATGGGGGAAAGTGGGGTGTCCAGGCTGGTCTCTGTCCTGCTGTCTTCAGCATCGCTGTCTTTGTCACTGCTGCTGTCATTCACAAAACACACCTGGAGGTTCACTCCACTCTGGAGCCTGAGAGGAGAAACACAAACAGTGAATAACATGAGAAATGAAGTGTTGATCATTAGTTGGAGATAAAACACAGAACCCTGATTGGATTTTGTTTATACACCGAAAAACAATTACAACTTTAAAAGAATAAACCCCAAAATGTGCGAGCTGGAGAGTTCCTATTATTCACAAAAATATGAAATTATAAGACATCAAAAAAAAAGACAGAGAATAGAGATTGTCATACTAACATTGTCATTTCATTTCACTTGGACCCTTTTATTCAAATTCAGGGAAATTTGAATGTAAGTATTTTCCACTGCTGCACCTGCAAAGGGCCTAACCTTTAACAACATAGCGTATAGAAGTGGAAATATACAGTACAGTATCTAGTGGTGGGATTCTTGATTCAAACACTACTTTGCTCATCCCTCCTGTAGGTGAAGCAACAGCGGCCTTCATGGACAACAAGCTCCTTTGATGCTGGATAAGTATGACCCTCTATTTGTCCAATTTTTATGGTAAAAAAAAAATGTCTTTGAGCAAATTGCTCTGTGCACAACAATCACTCCCTTCTTATTCCACCCAGTCGGTACATAAGAAACCATAGGCTATACAGTTTGTCCATTCTGTGCTACAGTAGATGCATAGAGGTGCAGATGGCTACAGAAAGAAGCCTGCTCCTTTTGCAGACATGAACAGCTTATTCTTAGTGAACAAGAGCAAATTATTTTTGATATTTAGGTGATTATACACGAAAGTGAATCTTGACGGCATCCCTGCAATAGTATGACAATTTGGAGGTTAATCAGGTACTTTTTTGGTGTCAACACAGGAAGTGTACAGGTTACTTCATCATGAATAGAAGCCAGTGAAAACTTAAGTGAAACAATTTAAGCCACAGAAATAACGTGTCCTTTCACACCTGTCAACCTCAAACCTCAGCTTTTCCAAGAACTCAAAGCTCCATTCTTTTAATCACAGACTATGACAGTGACTGAGAGAGTCAAACAATAAAGAGTAACCTCCCATTACGCTAAGGTGAGAGCAGTAATGTGTAGCAGGACCTCATAGGCCTAACAGGGAAGTGTTGGGAGTTTCCACATAACCTCATCCCAGTGGCTGCACCTGTACCTCCACTGGAGGTCACATGGTTTTAATCGTAGCCCCAGACTAGTAATAGACACTTCTTCTTTCAAGAGCACATGTAGTAACTGCACTTCCACAAACAGAGGCCAGACGCGTGTTTGAACTTAACACCCACTCCATTAAAAAAAGTGACAGAAAGTGACCGGGGGTCAAAACTCATGAAGAAAAGAAGCCAAATTATGTTGAAGCTGTGAGTTTGCATGTGTTTGTTGGTACTCAAAACCAAATAACCAACATGAAATATCAAAGTTTGTGCAATAACTTTTCCCTTTACTTTGAATTTGAGTTTTTTTTTTTTCATTGTCAAAGTGTGTTTCATTTGACATTATCATAGAATCATCTAAAAATGTTTACACATCATGAATATAAATATCCCTTTGTATGGGCCACACTGCTCTGATGTGACTGACAGACTAGTGGAGAAACTACAATTAAAAAAGTGAAATGATAGATTTAAATGTGAGACAAAAAATAAAGACAAAATGAGATACAGGTGTGAATAATGAAAAAAAAAAAGCCTATTTACATGTCATACTCATATCTGAAGTTACACACACAGAAATAGGAAATGCCTTATTTTCATGCAATGCCCAAACTCTATCCTGTGGTGATTATTTCCACATCTTTCTGACTCATAAAGATGGGAATTGCTGAGTTTCTGTTTGAACAACACATTACGCAAAAAAGGTTAACCACTGTGCCACCTCCTCTGCAGCCAGTCTTTCTATACCTCAGTGTCTATGTTCTGCTTGTGAGGACACTTCAGTAAACATTTGGTTTAATGTCACTTCCCCAGGGCTGACTGTAGTGTGGCTTTCCGTGAAACCTTTCATTGTTTCAGATACTCTTTCTCTTTCTCTTTGTGTTTTCTTTATTTATTATTCTTAATTAACAGATAAACTGAGCTGTACTGAACAGCTCCCTCACCTGGCCTGGATTTTTTGTTAAGCTCAGTCTTACAGAAGCTAAAAAACTGAGAATATAACACCCCTGCGCTGGGATCGTATCGTCAACTTAACAAAAGCTTTGAAAACCAACTCAGGTTTTCAAAGGAGCAAACAATTAAGACCCATACAAGGAAGATTGGACAGACTAGTATTGATAGTCTGGTTTGTCAGTATGACCGACACGGTTAACCAGCCAGTATAGGGAGGGTCTTTATTCAAGCAAGGCATTACATCTGCAGAAACCAATTGCACATTTAAAACCCTGAGATTAAAATAGATGAATGTTTGCAGTGAATCAATAATTCATTTTATCTAGGGCGTATCTCATTGTTTCCCTGCCAACCAGCTAAGAATACATTTTGCGTCAACATCTTAAGATCTGAAGTGTCGGCTGTCAGAGGTTGAGACACAAATATCGGTGCCAGGCTTCAAAAGGCTAAACTGATCAAACGGTAACACAGTTAAAACACTTGATCAAAAAACCCACCGGGAGGACGGGCCGTTTTTGCTGCAGCTGGTATAGATGACTGGCTCGTCGTCATAGAAACTGCCAAGGGCAAGTTTCTGCCTGATGGACTCTCTGTCATTCCTCTGGGCCTGCCAGAAAAAAAGAGAAAACACATGAATATAAAGAATGTCAATAAAATACTATTTCTATTGCTGGGAGTCCACCTCTTATTTGACCGAGCAATAATTATTCAAAATTAAACTGGGAGAGTAGTTTGGTATTGCATTAAAATTATGAGTACATGTATCGCCCCCAAAATTATGCACAGTCTGGCTAAGAGGAGGGGATGAGGAAGGAAAAGAAGGAGGGGGAAAATGAGGAGGAGGAGGAACATATTGTGCTCATTAAAGAAATAGCTTAACAAAGTCACACAATCCAGCTTGATACATTCACACAAAAGGATAATCCAGCAGTGTCCTCACAAATGATTCAGTCAACACAACTGTAGAAACATATTAACAAAATATAAACTCTTTTCAAGAATAATATCTTTTCTCCCACTATAAAATTAGCTCTAAAAACAGCCATAGACACCGATCCATATGTAACATCATTCCTCTCTTGTTCCCACTCTCAACATCAGATAACCTTGAAATTATGAATCTAAATGTGCAAATAGTTTTTAGGCTGACACGCAGAAAACGGAACAATTGTTAAATTTGAAAAGCAGACATGGGACAATAGACTTCATATGAAGTCTCATTCAGATACACATCAAGACATGTTTGTCTATTTTTAGGTCTGACAACCTGTTCAGAATCTACATACAATATATCATAAGATATATTGTACGTAGACTGGTATTGAAAATGGACAAATGAATGAATTAGACAGATTATATGGTCATTAACAGAGTCAAGGCAATCAAAACACCCACATTCAAGATGGGTTCAAGTTTTTGTACGTGAGATCCAAGTCAAACTACCAGATCTAAATATGAAAAATTCTCTTTGTGCTCTTTTTTTGTCAAAACAGTTGCCAATATCTGCTGTAAAATTGACTATAAAAGTCCTGATGGTCCACAATGCCAAGTCATTCTGCCATCTTTTTAACAGACTCACAAACGAGCCAATCTTTCCCTTAAAAGGATTTTCTCCTCTCCTTCCATTTGTTTCTGTGAGAACAGAAGCGTTGATTTGCTTTTGTTACAGCGTCTAGCGTTTTCACTGTCCTACTTTTATTTGCTCCTTTTTTTTCCTCATCCTCTACTGTGTCTTCTTCCAGCTCATTAGCTTTTGTGCTATGCTGAATCATTTTCTCTCAGTCTCAGCTTTTTCTGTCCTTTTTCTCAACCACAAACACTTTTTCGATCATTTCTGTTGTGCAAATCTAAACTCTTGCAGTCTCACAGTTTAGTTGTCATGAGCTGATGTGGAGGATTATGAAACAGCTTGTCATGATTTCTCAGTCTTGCACCATGCTGACAGTATTTTCATCGTACGTTGTTCACCGTACCCACGTATCCCAAGGCCCCCCCGTGTGTGTGCGCGTGAGTCTGTGACGCACACAGTTCATTCAGACGCTTTTGTATAACACCTCCAAATTTTGGGATGTGTCTCCCACATGTCAGCCTCAAAACCAGACCAGGCTGAACACCCCTGTCTCGTCTTTTTTGCCATGCAATATTAGATTGTTGTGAGGCTGTGATGTAAATGCATCAATCACTGTTGATCCCCTTCGTTCACATAACCAGTGCTTATCCACTTCAGACAGCCGCGTGACCCCCTTACTAGCAGGCTGTGTTCCATCATGAATTCACATATACACACCTATCAAAAACTATAAATGAAAGTACAAGGTGTATCCAAAGCACCTTATGATCTCTTTCTTTGATGTAAAATTTAATTACAAAAAAAACCCCCACAAAGCATACCATATGATTGTATCAATGAAAGGGATAAAACCATTCAGATGTAAAAATCACAGGTAAACAGGCATGGATGGTAGACGAACACACCCACATCCCCTTACAATCACACATCCACCCGTCCATCATGGCTGCTTCATCCACAGCTGCTCATCAAGGATGGATCCCAATCACAGATACCTGTAAATCATCAGCTGCATGTACAATGGCTTAAGAATCATGAACACATAGAGACACAAATCTACGCACCTGGTAAACACGTTTCTCCTGGTGCACCATCCTTCAGCGCATCGTATTCAAACAGCCGCCCTGCCCTTCTCTACACTGCAGTGAAGCTAGACCCAGGAGACCCTCTCATATACTGCAGCTCAGAGCAGGAGAGCGAGCGGAGGAGGAGGGAGCAGAAAGCAGTGAGGGGAGGGGGGGAGAGGCAGCAGAAAGAGAGAGAGAAAAGAGAGGAGAGAAATGGAGGGGAGGGTATGTGGGAGCAGGAGAGGAAAGAGTGGGAAGAGACGGAAGCAGAGGAGAGAGAGAGAGAGAGAGATGGATGAGGTAGGGGAGGGACAGAGCTCTTCAGTGCTGCCACTGCTCTCCTGATGTGCTATCTTTTCCTCCATCTTCCTTATTTGCTTGCTATCCTTCAGCTTCTCTTCTTTATCCTTTACAATCTTTTTTATCTAAAGAAATAAGCAAGATAAAGCTGCTGGGAATATTAACGCAGACCTTATCCATTAACAGGAATAAGGGTATATGATTGGATGCATGACAAGGTAAGTAGTAAGGTGCACCAAAAGGCCATACTGAGCACGGTCTGATAAATGAGACTGCAACGCTGGAAAACAAATCCATTAAAGAGGCCACGGCTCAATCAATATCAGCCCCTCTGGAAAATGTCAGCAGTTTTGTGCAGCACTGGCATGGCGTCTGCATCTGCTTGTTGTTCCAAAGCAGAGGAGAGAATTTTTAATTGCACATTGTTTTGTTTGTTTTGTCTCCTAAAGGAACCTCCTCCAGCCCCTGTTCCACTTCACAGATTCAAGTCTGATGAGCCGGAAGAAAAACTAGGAAGCTCAGGGTGAATGTGCTTGCACGTGCGAGTGATAACACAGATACACACAGACCACTAACACACACACACTCAGTTCCCACAGTGCTGTGTCACAGTGCAGCAGGGAGCTGATTAAACAACAAAACATTTTTGTGTCATCCCTCGTCCAACATCAGCATCAGATGCCAAATATCCTCAACATTTTTGCTCTTGTATGCCTCTAGTTGATTATATTCAAGATTAATAAGTGAGATACATGCATTCATTCACATTATCGGCCCATTTGAGACTGTTTTGTTTTCGGACTTATTGGTGGAACATGTTCTCACTTCCTGTCTTGTCTAGTCTCACTGTGTTCCCAAACATGCAAAGGACTTTGTCAGAACAAATGGACTCAGAGGAAGTGACTCAGTGGTTGCGTGGTCTAAATAAAGAGAAAGAAAGGCAGTCACTCACAGAAATGCTGGACACTCTGCTTCGCCCTCCACTGTAACAGTCCTCTGCCTGTGGTACAAAGATATCCTGGAGCTCCTCAGCCCAACTCCGGCTGTTTACCATACAGCCTCTCCCTTCTTCGTGGTTCTGTGTGCCATCATCTTCACAGTCCTCCCACCAATGTCCGGCTGTGGCCTTTCTCATGAATACATCTTCCTCCTCTTCCTCACCCATGTCCACATCATAGTCGTCCATGATGATAGGCTGTATGGAGTTGGTTGAGCTGATATCAGGGTTAGAGGAGGGACTCAGTGCGCTGGTTCTAAATATGACCACAGATGGGCTGGAGATATTCAGAAGGTCGGATTCCCACTTTGTCAGTTTCACTATTTAATCCTCATCATAACCTGTAATCATACACGTAAAAGAAATATTAATGCATCTGAAGCATTTGCTTCAACATCAATAGATGCCTACTAATAATACTTCCCATGTACATTCGAACCTTTTCATCATACCATTTCCATGCCATTTGCACACAGGTCACATGATCAAACATAAAATTCCAGTAACCTGACAAAACCACTAATGTATGCTCAAACTTTCTTAAATTCAAATTAGTGGTAAGAAAAAAAAAAAAAAAAAGCACATACCATAAACTGGACTTACCTTCACTGTGGGTGCAAACTCTCTTAGACACTTCTATAAATAAAACAGACTAGTTCATTAAAAGAACACTTCCCCATTCAGGACTGAGGTGATTTGACCTCTGAAGAGAATTATTCTGGTTTTCTTGGTCCTCTGCAGAGTAGTTCTTTCCGCCAACCTCAGTGGTCCACAGTTATATCCAGCTAACATTGAAGAACTGTAGCAAATGAAATGGAATAACTACAGGCATGCATCCTTGCTTACACGTCTTTGTGTCGTCACGTGTAGCGCAGTTTCAGTGATGTGTGTAGATTTGTGTGTGTGTGTGTCCATCGTCACTGGGTGCCCAGAGGAAAGAGCACCATGTGGAAATATATAGGAACGGACAGAATGGGGATGTGTGTGCACTGTGTAAGTGTATATGGGAGAGATGGTTGGTTTATAGATAAGTAGAGCCGTTTAGTTTTGGTTTATGGGGGGGGGGGGGGGGGGGGGGGGGGGGCAAAAATAAAAATGGTGGAATTTGTAGAAGATGACATTTTAGCACTGAGGATTGACATTAAGATATGCTCCCGGGTTTTGGGGGGCAAGCAAATTCTCTGCACCATCACTGGAGCAGTAAGAGATGGCTCTGGATACCCGACATTACTTTCGGGAGATGATTTCCCCTTTTAGTTTAAAATGTAGGAAATCACAGATGACTGAGCCAGCAGTAATAGCATGTTAGGTTATTCATTTTACAACTCAATCCAATCCACCGATCACAATTGTACTTCACTTAAGTGGTTTTAAGTCTTATTGTGAAATCCTCAGTTGTATACAAATAGCAATGAGAAGTAGTTTAGCACCAAGAATTACATTTGCAAGACAAACAACAAGAGTCCGAGTACAAGTTAAAAATTTATTGAATGCTTATCATGGGAGACCAGACCCTGAAAGAGAGAAAGTCATGGCTTAGAAATCAAATGCAAACATAGTGAAATGTCAATCAAGAAAAGTGAGCCTTACCTTTAATTTTCTTAAGGCTGAAAATTTTTCCAATCAAATGGAGGGTTGTCTTGGTCTGCTGACTGTGGAAACCAGGGTCCAGGTTGCCAGTAGTTAAAGCCTGGATGCAACTGTGACCGAGGCTGGGGTCCAGATTTAAAAGCAGCTTGCATGAACTTTGGGTCAAATGGGATTTTACCAGCCTTGTTCGACTTATATTGAACATATGGGATGAAGGCACCCTGGTGGTAAGGCACAAACGGACTCATTGGACCTGGATAGTTGGAGCTGGGTTTTGTAGTCTGGCGTGTTGGCTTGGTTTCAACGGTTGTTGGCTTGGTTTCAACGGTTGTAGGCTTGGTTTCAACGGTTGTTGGCTTGGTTGTGGGTGCCGAGTAGCTAGGTTTGGTGGTAGAAGCTGTGTCACTGGGTTTGGAGGTAGGAGCTGTGGTGGTGGTTGGCTTAGAAGAAACTGGGTTGTTAGGCTTCGGAGTACTTTGCATGGCTGGAGGCTTTCCGTAGTAATGCTGGATGACAGGGTAGTAGTAGATTTCTGAATTTGCAGGGATTTGTGGCAGTGGTTTTCCAGGTGGTGGGTGATAGGGATAATAGGGTAAATATGGTGGGGGTAAATATGGTGGAGGATAGAGTGGTGGTTGTTTTGGAGGGGTCTTAGTGGTGGATGTGGTCGTAGCCGATGTTCTAGTTGTCATCTCAGATGTGGTCGTCATTCTAGTCGTGGTAGATGCAGTTGTAGGTTGGGCAGTGGTGGTGGCTGGTGTAGCAGGAGTCACTGGGGGTTGTTGAAAGGGGTAGTAGGGGTAGTAAGGGTAATAAGGATAATAGTATGGGTAGTAAGGATTTACAGGAGGCTTCACTGAAGGTTTCACTGTGGTTGGCTTGGTGGCAGCAGTCGTGGTGTCAGGCTCCTTTGTAGTTGTAGTGGTGGTTTCAGGCTTCGTGGTGGTTGTCGGAGCAGCAGTAGTTGGTGCCGTCATCATATTCATGTAATAGTTATACCAAGAATAGTATGGACTTCTTGGGTCACTGATGGGTAAGGGCTGGTTTGCTTGGCGCTTACGACGATTTAGGCTCCAGGACCCAAGAGGAAAAGGAAGTTTCTCAGGCTCTGGAGGAGACTTGGGAGTGATGGAAGGGGGTGATGTTGCAGAACTTGTGGACGCACGGCAAGTGAATTTAATGGGAGTCTCTTGCAAAGTCATTGACAGGGTATAACTTTCCTCCTAAGGAGAAAAAAAAAAAAAAAAAAAAAAAAAAAGGGAGGCATTCAACTTGAAAATACAGCCTTAAATTAATTTGACAAATTTAGCTTTATACAATTTGTAGAGCTCAAATTGAACTTAAAACAATCACCAAATAGTTCCAACTAAAAGTTGTTTGAATGAAAGACTTAAAAATCATATTTAGAGTCAAAGCATACCTCTTGAATCACATAGCAGCCATCATAAGGTACCACCAAAACAAGTCCCTGTGCATTCTGCTTCACTGAGTAGCCACAGGTTTCAGGTACCTGGGTTAAAGGCAGAGGACCTGCATTGCCTAAGGAGGATAGCAAGCCCATTAGTACATGAAACTAGTAGCCACTCAAACATAAACTGATATTACACAAGCTTGGTTTGTTACTCATGTCTAGCTGCAAATCAACAGCTCCAGATCCCATGGCTCTGATCTTCATCGTCTTTTGACCACAGTCCAGGGTAGGATACGAACGCTGCCATGCTGCTTCAGCGTCCATGTCCTCGGGGAGTGATGTCTGCTCAAACATTTCTTTGAGGGTTGAGCAGTCCAAAAACAAAGTTAGTACAGGTTTTATCATGAAGATATGTTATATCATTGTATTAATATTCAAGAGATAAAAAAAAAAAAATCTTACCTTGACCATCTAACTGATCTAAGTCAGCAAGCAGTAGTCTATCGGCAGCAGCAGACTCAGACTCAAGCATTTTCTCATTGAAGCGAATGCCCCCTGTCTTTTCTTCCAACACTGTGGCCTCACCGACTGCCTCATCCTGCTTTGGTATTTCACTCAGCCCGTGCAAGCTAAAACAAACTGAAGCCCGTACCAGAGAGCACAAGACCAATATGACTGCCACAGTTTGACGTGATCTGCATCCCCTTCCATCTTCACCTGCCATAATGCAGAGGTACACTCTGAGCGAATGGAGAATACTTCACTGTGCAGCAGAAACCAAATGAAAGCTTTAAATACACGGCCAAGATTGGCACCAGGTAATCAACCAGTCAATTGTTTCCACCTGTGTTCACTTCACAGCAACAGGTGTGCTTGTTAGGAGCCTTTGATGTGTAATCAAACAGGTCTTCAACTTGGTGCCATTTTTGATTTCTTTTCTTTTCTAAGGTTTTGGGGATCTTTACATTTGCTCAGGGAGTTTAGATCCAAGGTGTGAAATTTGAAGTAAAATATCTCTGAGTTTGTTTTGTTCAGAAAAAAGGAGGATTTAAAAAAACTTTTTTGCTTCAATTGCTTCAATTTAAGGTATAGTTTCATACAAACAGGGATTTATTGTGTATGCTTGCTGTTGCTGCTCTGTGGCCTCTTAGCGATCTTGAGAAGCAAATGTGCAGACACATGAATCACATGAACCTAACGTGTGTGCATAATAGAGTACTGTAAAGACAAATCTGACATTGGTACATGCTAAGGAAATAATTACATTGTATAGAAATGTGCAAGTAATTATGAAATATTACAGTCCCTTTCAGATTGGTCTGGTTTTCTCTCTGCTTTTTTCAATGAAAAGTGAAAAGTAAGAGTTTTCTAAATTTAAAGACACATAGCTTGTGAGTTAGGTGTTTGATGTATTTATTACAGTGCTGACAAGAGAAAATATGGGATATTAGGTAACAAGGGCATAAATAATGACTCACAAGCTCCTGTCTGTCTCAGACTGATGACATTGCAGTTCATGATCATTGCTGTTAATCCAGTGGATTGGGTTTCTGGGATTGGTCAAACTCAAAGGAAAGACCAATATACAGGTGTTTAAAGATAGTGTGGTGTGTACAGCCCTGAAGCAAATAGACTGAAGTCTCAAAAGTTACTTTAACATTTGGATCTTCATTATTGAATTCGGAATCAATAAAGTTCTTCCAATCATATCTAATTTACTTCTGTAAACAGCTAATATTCTTGTTCATATCATTCATGAAAAGCCCCAAAGTGTAAAAAAGAAGTCCTTTTGGAAGAGTTCAGTCACACAACAAGCACAAGACTTTAAATATGGCTTTTTTTCCCATTTCAGACTTGCAGAGAAATGGTTGAGCCATGGTGCCACCATGTGGACACTCATTGCCACTGACAGAGGCTGAATGAGTTTTTTGCAATTAAAAAGGTCAAACAATACCATCCTTATTTCAAGTCAGAATAAATCTGTTAGGTTTATCAAGCCAAGAGTAATTCAGTCATCTTCGTACACCATAAGGTACATAGTTTTGAACCTTACAACCCAAGGCCTTTCAGAAGCAAATTTAAAAGTGATGTTTGCAAAGATGACACTGAATCTCAGACAAAGCATGCACTGAATTTTTTGCCCTCTGGGATTAAATACAGGCAAGACACTGAACTTTTGCATTAACTGATCACCTCACACATCCAAAGACACTTGTTGAAAGCCAAGCTTGGTAAAACATCACTGAAATTTTCAGGATAGCCAAAGACCAGACAAACATTAGTTTTTCCTCCAAAACCTTTATTTAGAACATTCAGCATGTTAAACTGGAGGGCGAGGGTAGAATAGAGGGAAGTTGGGTGGGAAGGGTAGGAATGAATAGGGAGGTCCAGGGACAGGAGGATAGAAATTTGGTGGCAGGCCTGCAGGTGATGGAGTTGTAGGGGCTTTGGTGGTGGTGGTGGGTGCTGTCGTAGTAGTTTTAGGAGTTGGATACTGGGGATAGGGAGGGACAAAAGGAGGGTAGAAAGGAGGATAGAAAGGAAAAAATGGTGGAAACTGTGGTGGCGGTTTGGCAGCTTCTTTGGTTGTTGTTGACTGAGTGGTTGCAGCTTGGGTAGTTGTAGATTGAGTTGTTGTGAGTGTGGGTTTTGCTGGAGTGGTTGTGGTGGTAACCCCCTTTGAAGGGTCTGGAACCTGAGGGTGCTGAGGATTCTGTGGAACCTGAGGGTGCTGTGGAACCTGAGGGTGCTGTGGAACCTGGGGATGCTGTGGAACCTGGGGATACTGTGGAACCTGGGGATACTGTGGAACCTGGGGATACTGTGGAACCTGGGGATACTGTGGAACCTGGGGATACTGTGGAACCTGAGGGTGCTGGGGATGCTGAGGAACCTGAGGATTCTGTGGAACCTGAGGGTGCTGAGGATACTGTGGAACCTGAGGATACTGTGGATAGTAATAGGATGGAAGAGCTTTGGGATATGAGGAATATGGATGCATGCCATATTGTGGAAAGACAGGCATCTGGGGCATTTGCTGATATGAAGGATGAAGAGGTGTCTGAGGTGCAGGAGCTGCCGATTTGGGACACCAGAGAGAAACAGGAATTCCCTGCCAACGCATTGGGAGCACATAATTCCCACCCTTTGAAGCAAAGAGAAAGCAAATTAGAAACCAATTTTCAATTGTTGACCAATGGGTTATAGCATAACAAAACCAAGCAATACACTATCAGTTTAAAAACCATGAGCTGGCGACAATGGCAGTGACAAATACATACGCCCTCTGTCTTAAACACTTAGTATTAATCTGCCAAGCCAAGCCCAAACATTTAACTTTGCCAGCTTTTTAGGTTACCACCTCTCTTCACTCCAGTATGACTAGAGCAAGATTATATTACATTTCAGGAAACATTACCTCTTGAACCATGTTGCAGCCATCATAGGGGACAGACATATCTAGTGCAAAAGGGTTCCTCTGCATGTTGTAGCCACAGGTGGACGGGACCTGCGACAAAGGCATTGGTGGTGCATTCCCTGGGTGGAGAAATTCTCAGTGAGTGCCAACATTGAACAGGTGATATTAGGAAGCGATTAGAAAAAAAAAAAAAAAAAAAGTATTAGGTTCATTACCGCGTTCGACTGTAAATTGTGAGACACCTGGTCCCACAGCTCTGAACTTCAGCTGGTCCCCACCACACTGCAGGGACGGCGCCATGCGCTTCCATAATGCTTCTTTGCTGCCAGTATCTTGCATGTATCCCTTTGACCACCCTAAGAAGAAGCAATGAGCACGTTAAGATAATATGCAATTTAAACCAAACAAACACTTAGATGAATTTGTAGGGAGAACTCAAGACTTTACCTGCAAAGTCAGCTTGATAGGCAGCATCATCCTCTGTGGAGGAGTTTGACGAAGATTTCTTGGTCCCTTGGATCACCTGTGGGTCAAGGCCGGATGCTTCCTCAAAACTTCTCCCGAAAACGATTCTCCCTCCTTGAAAGGCAGTTTCTTTGGTTGCATCAGCTTCTTTTCGTCCTTCTCTTCTCTCGGTTTTCCTCAATCGGTAACAATCTATCGTTTGCACCAAACAACACGTGAGAATCACTGCGGCAGCCAAGCACACGGAGGCACTCGTCTCTTTTCCTTTGCGTATCATTTTCTTGAGACTCCTGTAAATGTCGGAGCTACCGACCTCTGCTCTGCCGTGGCTTTTTGATTTGCTTGTGGATGTGTCAGCGCATTTAACAGGAGCCGTGACAGCCAATCAGAGAGCGGCGCGAGCGGATCCAATTGTTCTCTAATCAGGTGGCATCATTTCCACCTGGGCAGTGTCGTAGGTACCACGAGGTCAACATAGCGCGCCGTGCGGGGGGAGACTCTATGCCAGGTCGGGAACAATTGTATCTCCATGGTAACTGACAACACCGTCAAACGTGGGACATGGAGGTGAGTGCATTACCTGGTATTTACTTCTTTTGGGTGAAAGTAGGCAGAACATGTGTTCACATTATCTTCGCTTCTTATTCAACGCTGCCTCGGCGAATAGGTCTGGCATAGACAAACACTTTCATGACTGCAAAACGTGTTTTTGGAGAAAGCGAAAACTTGACAGTCTAGCCGAAAATCTAACAAGAACCTATCACCCTTTCCCTTTTATAATTCACAAGATCAACAATCATCTACAACTACTAACCTATCATTTGTTTAAATGTAGGCCTACAAAAATAGGTACATTTGAACTCATTTAACTTTGGGTAAATCCTAACAGGAGGTTTTTTTTTTTTACGATTAAAAAACATAAGAAAAAACATGTAGGCTAATATTCGATTCAACATTTTTGGAAATATATGGCTTGAATTTCTACTTGTTAATGTGTGAGCATAGAAAGTCCAAGACCTTATGTATTTATGTATGTATGTATGTATGTATGTATGTATGTATGTATGTATGTATGTATGTATGTATGCATGTATGTGTTTTGATCCATCTGTAGACTAATTTCTTTCATTAGGGCCTTCTTAAAGCAGTGCATGCCTGAAATTACCCTAAAGTCCCCTAAGGTGAGAGGGACAAACAAAAAGGTTTTGAATTTTCCTGCAAGTCTACTCCAAACATTGTTGAAGTGATTTTCTTTTCTTTTTTTTTTCTTTTTCAAAAGTACAAGGAAAGTAAAGGCAAATCTTTACTGTTTATTTTCTTTACTTTCAGTTTCCTTTTGAGAAGGTCGACATTACTAGAGCATGATTTCAGGTGCTATTATTCGTCCTAGATGATAATGTAAGGCAGATCCGGTCCCATCCATTGCCCTCCCCTGTTCTTTATAAATCAGTTTGTATCATATACAATCTTCCAGAGGTACTAGAATCACATTCCCCCTGCTGTTGAAAAATGCCACCTGCAGCAACATGGCTTTATGTTTCTAAAGAATACAGTTTGATCTTTTGTTTTTCAGTCTCAGCCTCTGACATACCCATTGAAGTGTGAGTACTGTGGAGAAAAACCCAAGCCTTCATTGATTCTAATAGGGATATTAGAATCAATGAACTGACCAAGCCTCTGGGCAGACTCAATGTCCATATTTGTTCCATCCAAGCCCAAATCTTTAGAAAGCATTTGTCACACCTTTTTCTCTGATTCACTGCAACTCTCTCCTTTCTAATCAGCAATGCCATTGGTTAAAATGTTTGTTCTCCTGCTCTGGTTCCTCCTGCTCTGCTCCATGCTCTCTGTGCATAATAGAGGAGTGTAAAGACAAATCTGACATTGGTACATGCTAAGGAAATAAATACATTGTATAGAAATGTGCAAGTAATTATGAAATATTACAGTCCCTTTCAGGTTGGTCTGGTTTTCTCTCTGCTTTTTTCAATGAAAAGTGAAAAGTAAGAGTTTTCTAAATTTAAAGACACATAGCTTGTGAGTTAGGTGTTTGATGTATTTATAACAGTGCTGATAAGAGAAAATATGGGATATTTGGTAACAGGGGCATAAATAATGACTCACAAGCTCCTGTCTGTCTGAGACTGATGACATTGCAGTTCATGGTCATTGCTGTTAATCCAGTGGATTGGGTTTCTGGGATTGGTAAACTCAAAGGGAAGACCAATATGCAGGTGTTTAAAGACAGTGTGGTGTGTACAGCCCTGAGGCAAATGGACTGAAGTCAAAAAAGTTACTTCAACATTTGGATCTTCATTATTGAATTCGGGATCAATAAAGTTCTTCCAATCATATCTAATTTACTTCTGTAAACTGCTAATATTCTTGTTCATATCATTCATGAAAAGCCCCAAAGTGTAAAAAAGAAGTCCTTTTGGCAGAGTTCAGTCACACAAGCACAAGACTTTAAATATGGCTTTTTCCTATTTCAGACTTGCAGAGAAATGGTTGAGCCATGGTGCCACCATGTGGACACTCATTGCCACTGACAGAGGCTGAATTAGTTTTTTATTTTATTAAAAAGGTCAAACAATACCATCCTTATTTCAAGTCAGAATAAATCTGTTAGGTTTATCAAGCTGAGAGTAATTCATTCATCTTCGTACACCATAAGTTACATAGTTTTGAACCTTACAACCCAAGGCCTTTCAGAAGCAAATTTAAAAGTGATGTTTGCAAAGATGACACGGAATCTCAGACAAACATGCACTGAATTTTTTGCCCTCTGGGATTAAATACAGGCAAGACACTGAACTTTTGCATCAACTGATCACCTCACACATCCAAAGACACTTGTTGAAAGCCAAGCTTGGTAAAACATCACTGAAATTTTCAGGATAGCCAAAAGACCAGACAAACATTAGTTTTTCCTCCAAAACCTTTATTTAGAACATTCAGCATGATTAAACTGGAGGGCGAGGGTAAAATAGAGGGAAGTTGGGTGGGAAGGGTAGGAATGGAAAGGGAGGTCCAGGGACAGGAGGATAGAAATTTGGTGGCAGGCCTGCAGGTGATGGAGTTTTCGGGGCATCTGTGGTAGGAGCTTTGGTGGTGGTGGTTGTAGTAGTGGTAGGTGTTGTCGTAGTAGTTTTAGGAGTTGGATACTGGGGATAGGGAGGGACAAAAGGAGGGTAGAAAGGAGGATAGATAGGAAAAAATGGTGGAAACTGTGGTGGCTGTTTGGCAGCTTCTTTGGTTGTAGTTGACTGAGTGGTTGCAGCTTGGGTAGTTGTAGATTGAGTCGTTGTGGGTGTGGTGGAGGATTGAGTTTTGGGTGCGGCGGTTGTTGTAGGCAACTGGAAGGGAGGGTAGTACATCGGGTAGAAAGGATAAGGATACATTGGGGGCTGATGTGGTTTTGCTGGAGTGGTTGTGGTGGTGGTGGTGGTGACCCCCTTTGAAGGGTGCTGAGGAACCTGAGGGTGCTGAGGAACCTGAGGATTCTGAGGAACCTGAGGATTCTGAGGAACCTGAGGATTCTGAGGAACCTGAGGAACCTGAGGATTCTGAGGAACCTGAGGAACCTGAGGAACCTGAGGAACCTGAGGGTGCTGAGGATTCTGAGGGTGCTGAGGATTCTGAGGAACCTGAGGGTGCTGAGGATTCTGTGGAACCTGTGGAACCTGGGGATGCTGTGGAACCTGAGGGTGCTGAGGATACTGTGGAACCTGAGGATACTGTGGATAGTAATAGGATGGAAGAGCTTTGGGATGTGAGGAATATGGATGCATGCCATATTGTGGAAAGACAGGCATCTGGGGCATTTGCTGATATGAAGGATGAAGAGGTGTCTGAGGTGCAGGAGCTGCAGATTTGGGACACCAGAGAGAAACAGGAATTCCCTGCCAACGCATTGGGAGCACATAATTCCCACCCTTTGAAGCAAAGAGAAAGCAAATTAGAAACCAATTTTCAATTGTTGACCAATGTGTTATAGCATGACAAAACCAAGCAATACACTATCAGTTTAAAAACAATGAGCTGGCGACAATGGCAATGACAAATGCATACGCTCTCTCGTGTCTTAAACACTTAGTTTTATATCCAAGCCCAAACATTTAACTTTGCCAGATTTTTAAGTTACCACCTCTCTTCACTCCAGTATGACTAGAGCAAGATTATATTACATTTCAGGAAACATTACCTCTTGAACCATGTTGCAGCCATCATAGGGGACAGACATATCTAGTGCAAAAGGGTTCCTCTGCATGTTGTAGCCACAGGTGGACGGGACCTGCGACAAAGGCATTGGTGGTGCATTCCCTGGGTGGAGAAATTCTCAGTGAGTGCCAACATTGAACAGGTGATACTAGGAAGTGATTAGAAAATTAAAAAAAAACAAATAATTTATTAGGCTCATTACCGCGTTCCACTGTAAATTGTGAGACACCTGGTCCCACAGCTCTGAACTTCAACTGGTCCCCACCACACTGCAGGGACGGCGCCATGCGCTTCCATAATGCTTCTTTGCTGCCAGTATCTTGCATGTATCCCTTTGACCACCCTAAGAAGAAGCAATGCGCACATTAATATAATATGCAATTTAAACCAAACAAACACTTAGATGAATTTATAGGGAGAACTCAAGACTTTACCTGCAAAGTCAGCTTGATAGGCAGCATCATCCTCTGTGGAGGAGTTTGACGAAGATTTCTTGGTCCCTTGGATCACCTGTGGGTCAAGGCCGGATGCTTCCTCAAAACTTCTCCCGAAAACGATTCTCCCCCCTTGAAAGGCAGTTTCTTTGGTTGCATCAGCTTCTTTTCGTCCTTCTCTTCTCTCGGTTTTCCTCAATCGGTAACAATCTATCGTTTGCACCAAACAACACGTAAGAATCACTGCGGCAGCCAAGCACACGGAGGCACTCGTCTCTTTTCCTTTGCGTATCATTTTTTTTTGAGACTCCTGTGAATGTAAGAGCTACCAGCCTCTGCACTGCCGCGGCTTTTTGACTTGCTTCTGGAAATGTCAGCGCGTTTAACAGGAGCCGTGACAGCCAATCAGAGAGCGACGCGAGCGGATCCAATTGTTCTCTAATCAGGTGGCATCATTTCCACCTGGGCAGTGTCGTAGGTACCACGAGGTCAACATAGCGCGCCGTGCAGGGGGGAGACTCTATGCCAGGTTGGGAACAATTGTATCTCCATGGTAACTGACAACACCGTCAAACGTGGGACATGGAGGTGAGTGCATTACCTGGTGTTTACTTCTTTTGGGTGAAAGTAGGCAGAACATGTGTTCACATTATCTTCGCTTCTTATTCAACGCTGCCTCGGCGAATAGGTCTGGCATAGATAAACACTTTAATGACTGCAAAACGTGTTTTTGGAGAAAGCGAAAACTTAACAGTCTAGCCGAAAATCTAACAAGAGCCTATCACCCTTTCCCTTTTATAATTCATAAGATCAACAATCATCTACAACTACTAACCTATCATTTGTTTAAATGTTGGCCTACAAAAATAGGTACATTTGAACTCAGTTGCTATCAGTTAACTTTGGGTAAATCCTAACAGGAGGTATTTTTTTAACGATTAAAAAACATAAGAAAAAACATGTAGGCTAATATTCGATTCAACATTTTTGGAAATATATGGCTTGAACTTGTACTTGTTAATGTGTGAGCATAGAAAGTCCAAGACCTTCTGTCTGTCTGTCTGTCTGTCTGTATGTATGTATGTATGTATGTATGTATGTGTGTATGTATGTATGTATGTATGTATGTATGTATGTATGTATGTATGTATGCATGTATGCATGTATGTGTTTTGATCCATCTGTTGACTAAATTCTTTCATTTGGGCCTTCTAAAAGCAGCGCATGCCTGAAATTACCCTAAAGTCCCCTAAAGTGAGAGGGACAAACAAAAAGGTTTTGAATTTTCCTGCAAGTCTACTCCAAACATTGTTGAAGTGATTTTCTTTTCTTTTTTTTCTTTTTCAAAAGTACAAGGAAAGTAAAGGCAAATCTTTACTGTTTATTTTCTTTACTTTCCGTTCCCTTTTGAGAAGGTTGACATCACTAGAGCATGATTTCAGGTGCTATTATTCGTCCTAGATGATAATGTAAGGCAGATCCAGTCCCATCCATTGCCCTCCCTTGTTCTTTATAAATCAGTTTGTATCAGATATTTCAAACTCTGTATGTATCTCAGAGGAAACCAGATATGTGGCCCCAGTCTGTCAATGATCTGCCCACCTTTGGTATCAGAGCAGCGGGAGTTCTGAAGTACAAGAGGGAGTCTGATGAGCGCAACATAAACTTCACGAATCTTCTAGAGGTACTGAGATCACATTCCCCCTGCTACTGAAAAATGCCACCTGCAGCAACATGGCTTTATATTTCTGAAGAATACAGTTTGATCTTTTGTTTTTCAGTCTCAGCCTCTGACATACCCACTGAAGTGTGAGTACTGTGGAGAAAAACCCAAGCCTTCATTGATTCTAATAGGGATACAGGGGCTTGAGGTGAGGGAGACATGAATAAATACACAAAAACAAAAAAATATTGATGCCTCATGTACAACTAACCTCTTTCATTCGCTCTTGTGTGGCTGTCACAGACAGTCCCACCTTGCTGTGAACGCTGGCAGCAGCTGTGGGAGACATTGAACAGACTGAGACATTTGGCTGAGGGAAGAAGTGACCTGAGAGCTGGTGGTTCATCATTGGAAGACAACAAGCTTTCAGAAGAGGGGGATGAGCTTTACCTCAAAGGCAGAGAGAAAGGCAAATTCAAATTCAACTTTATTTTTATGGCACTTTTTGTACATGCTTGCATTTCAAAGAAAGAACTACTGTTCCTTTGGGAAACAATGGAGCTCAAAATAATTACAGAAAGAAAAAAACCTGATGGACTAAGGCAGGAAGAGATCATATAAAATGAACAAATAAGTATGAGCTCTTTAGCATGTAGATGGGGTAAAAGAAGTAAAAACCTCACTGGAGGGCACTTTGGAGTGAATTTACATCATAAAAATGCTCTCATGTTTTATTCTCAAAGATAGTAAGATATAATAAACTAAAATAAAAGAAAACTTTGAATGCTTTATTAGATAACAACCAGGATTGGAGAAACGGAGAGTATACAATCTACACACCTGGGCCCAAACCCTGTGAGTGTTCAGAATGTTTGTCAAACATAATCTGCTTGTAATTCAAATCATTGAAACAACTAAAATGTTTTCTCAGTTTTGTAAAACTGATATTTTCCTTTGTGTGTTTGATAAGTACCTCAGTCATCAAGGGTTCTCAGGTTTCAGTACTCCTCTGAAGGGAACTGGACTGTGCCTTCCGGTGCCCTGACTGTGAAACACCTGGTAGTGAAAGAGAAAGAGGAGCAGGTGCTGCCTCCAGTCTGCAACCACAAGACAGATCAGTTTGGCATGTGTCACCATCAGGTAACCTCATGACGTTTCCTTTCATGATTATTCACTGTGAGTCAGCCGATGAAACCATACTGAACTCCAGCATTTACATGTCTTTGCATAAAAAACAGATATGCTGCTCATATCTGGTTGCAGAATATCTGATCAACGCATGAGAACATTCAACAGCCATTTAAACCAATGGTTTGTTTTAGCATTTTTTTGAGCTCTATTCCATCACTTTGTTTCTTACCAGAACTGGAAAACTTTATTCAGAGTGTTTGGTAACTAACTGATTGGGACTTCTGGTGATGATGAAGGAAATTTTTCTCGAGTACAGTTTGGAGTCACTCTCTGTAAAAATGCCAGCACAGAACATAAATCTTTTATGACTTAGTTTAATCCTCTTTGTTCCCAGGACAAGTCGGGAATAATACAGAAGTACTATGGCAACGGGCTGAAATTTCTCACGGTGTTCCCTGATGGTTCTGCTCAGGTTTTGTATCCACAACTGATTGAAAATAGATTCTCATGTTCAGCTTTAGTACACGACAAGATCGATAAATGAAAGTCGTCACAGAGATTGTTAGATATGAAATTATACTTCATAGCGGCTGTTATCATCCTTATCACCATGGCAACAGTTATCCCTCAGGCCTCTTGGCTCTAATTGTTGTGGTCACCAAACAAAATGGAAGGGTCTGCATTGTGTATGATGACAGCGCTGCCCCACATCAACCAATCAGAGCCGTGTTCCAGTCTGATGGGAGGGCCACATGTTATCACAGTAACGGAAACACATGGTACTGAGCAAAGTCTTTACACTGTTTTGACATCAGATATTGTGTGGTAATTTTTCTGAGTAATTTGGTATAAGATGATGGAGATGTGTGTCTCTGCCACAGGCTGACTTTACACAGAAAAGGCGGTCAATGTTTGGATGAGGACGGGGCCAGGGTTTGTCGCTGGAGCTGGGCCAGTCCTTTGAAGCCTATCTTCCTGTCCTTTAACAAAGCAATAGGGGTTCGAGTCCTAGGACAAGAGCGAGTCTTTGTTTCTTTCCTGGTGGGAGGTCAACAGGCGAAGTTCAGCGTGGGTTCATGCTGTGCTCAGGTGAAACACAACTTTGTCAAAAAACTATCAGTGTTTGAATCACTGATAGGGGTAAATAACCTCTGACAATGTGTCGTCCCCAGGCTCAATGTGAAACTAACATGGCTTCTTCAGGACCATCAGTATTGAAGGAGGAGCTGTTTGTGTTGGCTGCAAGAATCAGGATGCAACTGCCCATTCTGCATCTACATCGGGACCTGACCACACCCTCCGAACCCCTGCTGAAGAAGACCTCCCAAGCCTCTCTCCACCATGCTGTCGCCCAAAAGCTTCTGGAAGTCAGTGCTACTGTGATGATGAGTGAGAGCGAAAGAGACTTCATCCACAGTTGCCTAGAGGGATATGTGTGATATAGTACACTGACACAATGTAAGCACGCCCAATCATGCTCTTCAGAGCAGGGGTTACTAAACATTAAACCTTTTTCATTTAGTTTGGACATGTTTTTAAATTCAGTATTTTCTAATTAAATTTAGATTTATAAAAGCAGTTCTCTGGTGCAGGTATTCTGCTTAAAACGAAGAGAGAAATAAGCCTCAAATAGAATCTTTTACACACAGATTGATACAGCAAAATGGAACTGCATCAAATATTAGTCACGTTTCGCATCTAATTTAATTTCCTTTTGTAATTCAACAATTGTTTTACACCTCACCACTCTGGCTTTACTTCTTCTTGTCAGATGTTGTAGTTCTCAATAACACACTTTGTTTTGTTTTTTTAATCAGATCAGTGCAGACCCTCCTAAAGACATTACAGTGCAGCAGATGGTTTAAAGGTAGACTTGTGACCTGGCTTGAATCCTACTTCGTGTCTCGGGTTTCTCTTACCTAAACTGACCCACACCTTGGCGTCACTCATCTAAGTCCCTTATTCAGGCGTCTTGTTTTACACTTCTGTTGATGTAGACTTTGGGTTTACCGCTCATGCAGTGCAAAAATCAGGAAATCATTAAAAACACACTACAGCTCCATGGTTAAATAGTTACATGTTTTATTAATCCTCTTTGCTTCCTCCGAGTTATGTAAAATATAAAAATTATTCAAAAATCATACCAAGACATAATTTCCAAATGTTATTGTCACAACAGTGATGATACATTTTAGGTGTTGCAGTTTCTACATGTCTAAACTACAATTAGAACAATTAACTTAAATCCTACATATGGCTCAGTTATAAATGACACCGTTTTGTTTTAGATTCACGTGTTCAATTAAATGCAACAAGTTAGAGTATAATATTTAATGTTAAATCTCTCCACATGGGACCACTTATGTCACCCGAGTGATTTTTGCAGTAGTATGAAGAGTAAAAGAAAATGACAGCATGACCGGCACTGTTGCCATGGATCCCACTCTGGCGTCAGGGGCGGGTTGTCTCCAAGGGGCATGGTGAAGAGTGATGGAAGCATCTAGTCTGTGCTAGCAGTCCTCCTGCCTTCAGCGCAGACCTTCATAAACATCACTTCACAGCCCACAGAGAAATCCACCTCAAACCTGGACATGAAGAGGGACAGAGAGATCACTTCAACAAACCCGGTCATCCTTTAAGCGGTGCTCTGACTGCTTAGTGTACTCACATGGAGGGGCTTTAAGCTCCAGCCAGGATGTGAAGAGTAGGGTTAGGAGTGGTGTGGTCTTGTGTTCATGTGAACGTTCATCTTCATTTCGTTGTCCAGGATTTGCACAAGCTGCTGCATGGAGGGCAAGTGGCCGGATTCTAGCTTTGACCACACTGGTACATCTGTGAAGAGATAACACACAAGTACTCTATTTTGTCCCATCACCACAACATCTCATGTTATTAAGATCTCTTGTTACGGGCAATATTTGCAGACATCGGAGTCATTACAGTTGTCAAATGACATCAGTTACAGTTACAGCCAGCAGTTCATATCGTATTTGTGACATAGCAGTCAGCTGGTTAAGTCTAAAGCCGACAACACTTGGCTCAGTCAGGACATAACACGCTGGAAAAAATGCAGACTTACCATTTAACGTGATTTCAAACGCCCCTGTCGACATTAACTGATTTTCAAGCATATTGCTGAGAAAGAACACCATCATGCAAGCGTAAATCTGAAAGAAAGACAAGAGAAACTTGGGTTTAAGTATTAACAATATCGTCTTTAACTGGTAGTTATTCTTTGCTGTTTTCTCTTCCTGCTATTGGCCTTGCTTCACTGTTAGCCGTGCCAGTAACGGTAGAATAAACAACAGTACACATTCGGGATCGAGCTACTTCTCTTACTGAGGCAGCTGTATGTCTCCAGATGAGACCGGACCGTAAATGAGTAACGTGAGTTAAGACGCAGAGGCACTGATCGGCGGGCTGGGGGGGTAGTTGAAAACGCTTTTAAGGTCCAAGTTTGATCAGTCGGTCTTCCTGTCGGCATGAAGCAGTAGCCTACAGTATGTACTGTAGAGATCTACAGTATATATGTATTTTTTGTAACTTCATAAAAATTTTTAAAAATTGGCCGATTAATCGGTAATCGGATATTCCCCCCCCCCAATAATCGGTGTCAGCCCCAAAAAATCCATATCGGTCGGGCCCTCTAATACAGTAAGAGTGGTTTGTTGAGATATATATTTCATTTATCATATTTGTCTTCCTTAGAGTTAGAGTCGAGAACATCTCACTATAGCTTCCTCTATTGATATCAGCCTTATTTTAAAAAAAGTAAATATGCTGAAAAATAAAACATTTAACCTACTTTTCTAGCTTTCTGTCTTGTAGTCAGGAACAGACTGAGTTGTGCATCTAAGACCTATTCTTGACAAACCCTCTCAAAAACAGCTTTACTGATTGGCTGATGGGATTAAGGCGAAGTCAGATTACACCACTGGGAATTACAAAGACTGGCTCCAGTCAATGAGACACAGTTCTTTTTTAAGTCATCTGATTAAAGAAACTGTTACAGTAGCAGCTCTTAATGCACCGCAAAGCAATGTGATACTAATACATTTATTTTTATAGCACTTTTTCAACAAAGATTTACAAAGAGCTTCAAACAGAGCATAAAGACAGAACCTCAATGCAAAAAAAAGAGGCCCATGAAAAATTCACAGAAACAACAGAAGAACACATGAGCCAAGAGCATCATACAAAGCTGAGAAACACTTCATGAAAACTCAGAGTAATCTACATGAACCCCAAACAAACCCAGGAGCCCAAACACAGAAATATGATCTTCAGATTCTATGGCAAAACTTGCACTTGGGGAATAACAGATCCAACCAAAACAATACTTAGCAACACAAGCTGAACACCATCAATTAACAGCTAATGATATCCCATGGGTTCAAATTGTGCTTGGCAGTGAGAAACAGCCACACTAAAGTCTGTCTTTCTTCATTTTCATGTCCAGAGCGTGTTGATGACGCTGTGATGGCAACTTCATAAATACTCCGGGCTCAAGTCTCCAGTCTCATCAGCTTTAATGAATCTTACAGTGACGGTGAAACTCACCTTGTTTCCCTGACCCCACTCCCAGATGCCTGGGGCTTGCATGCCGAAGAGAGCAAAGGGATCTCTGCCTACAATGATCAGCCCAATCACCAGCAGCTTGAACATAGACAGGAAGGAAGCGATGTGGCTGCAACACGAAGAAAGAAATTACAACAACTTGTAGACCTGACATCATAAAATATCAGTAACCTCTGTTTAAAAATAAGGCAGAGGATAGCTAAGATTCAGCAGAAACCATGCACACAATTTTATATACTTAATGATAAACAAATAATGTCACCTTGATAAAATCATAACAATATTGAACATAATGTAGGGATAGGAATCGCGAATCGGTTCTTGTTGAGAACCGGTTCCAACTGGTTCAATCCATCGACATCATTTACATTTTATCTTAACGATTCCCTTAACGATTCCTTTCTGTGGGGTGCCTTGAAAAACTCTCGCGAGTGCCAGTCTATGCGAACGGGAACAGAGACAGAGACTCAATAAAATTTAGAGTTAACCGGTGAAAACCCATAGTCTTTTTTTTTTTTGTAATCGAAGAAGGGCATTGATAACAGAATCGTTAAAGAATCGATAAGCGGAATCGATAATGGCATCGATATCGATAAAATCTTATCAATTCCCATCCCTAACATAATGTAGTAAATGATTTTATGATGATTTTAATTGATCTAAACGACGCTTCGTTGTATATAATGAACATGAGGCCAGAATCGACTATTTAACTGTTTTCCACTCATTTCAAATGAGGAGTCAACAATTTTTACAATGTCTCTGATTCTGAGAGACTTAATCTAGACCATGTTTGCCTGTATGTCACACTCACCAGCATCTAACACTGAGCTTGTATACAGTTTTTGTGTCCTTACAATCGTTTATCTTAACTATGTGTAACTGGTTGAACCAGAATCCCGTCAACGGCCAAAGGTTTATTCTTACTGCGTGTCCAACCAGAGAGACACACAATCACTGGCTACAGAATAAGATATACGTAATATAAACTGTCCATTATATACTATCACTTTCCTCATGCAAAGTTAATCTCTGGTGTGTTTAGGAAGAGATCAACAGAGGCTCTCAGTGACCCACACCTTTAATCATGAGATCTTGGACATCTATCAAATGATTTCTTGCGCAACTAGAGAAACGCCATTCCGTTCAACGGTCTACATGGAATCCAGAGGAATGACGATAAAGCTGAGTTAAATTAATATGAGGATGTACTCGTTGAAAAAGACAAAGCTAAAACTAGAGCAAAATAAAAATGACTGATGAGGACGTTTTGAGAACTGAAATCATTTAATGCTTTTTCTAAGTTTGATCAAACTGTGTCCTGAAAAAAGTTATAAAAGCTTATTTAGGTACTGGTTTAGCTCAGATAATCACATGCACCATGTATAGAGGGTACAGTCCATAAAGCGGATGGCCTGTATTCAAATCCAACCCACGGCCCTTTGCCACGTTCTCTCTTTCAAGCTTCCTACTCATATATATACATTTTAATGTAGCAATTATTTTTAGAAGCACATTAACTATTTTGTCGATGATATGATATTTATATAATATGAAGTGATATAAATCTATCAAACAAGCCCCACTAAATCCAAACCAGATGACTAACTGCATTTGAATTCCAGTTGAACAAAAGCTTATCCCTGGCAGCTTTTGACCGCTTTAGCAGTGGAAATTACACTAAACAACGCTGTGTTTCTTACCGATAGAGGGGTATAGGAAGATAGTTCTCCCCTTCAATGCGGATGTCTGGGTACCGCTGGTACAAGGCCTGCGTGTACTCCTCAAACACCCGCTTGTACCCTCAGGAAATGCTGTGAGGAAACAAACACACAGTTTTAGGAATAAATACAGAGAGCAGTTGAAAGAACGAACAAAATCAGAAGACAGACAAAACAAAATAACAGTTGAAACTGCAGATTGTGAATGTACCCTTGAGATACGGCACATGTGGCACACATGTAAACTAAACCCCATGCTGCTGCTCAGTGGAGTTTCTCAAGGTAGAGTGGTGTTGGTGCTGTCTACATGTTCCCCAGCTTTGAAATCTATACTCAATTCTCCGGTATTTACAAAACAGTCTTACAGAAGATCAGCAATTTACATTGCAAATGTTTACCTTGTGGGCTTATTTACTAAAAAGTCCCTGTAAGGAAGTTTTAGTTCGTGTTGATGATGGGCTCATTTGCTTTTGGCCATAAAGAGGTGACAGTATTCAATTCACAACCGGCTAAAAACTCCTCTGATGAGCTGGTAGTCGATCATCCTCATGCAATTAAGTGTTGATACTGTACAACATTGACAGATCAACACTATAACACCACAAATCCTTCAGTCACAAAGCTTAAAAGGGATATTCCGGCGTAAAATTAATTTAGGGTCAAACACACCGTAACACTGAGTTAGACCTGAGTTAAATTTGCCTTTTCTTTGAGGTGATAGAAATCAGCCTACATTATGTTACATTTGTCTTTTCAGCGCACATTAGAGAAATCAGAAATACTTTCAAAAGGGGGAGCCTTTTAACGGGATTAGGAATAATCCCTAAATCGGTACTAGTACAGGGATGGAGTTAATCTCACTTGAAGACACGAGGAAAGACTGGTTTGCAAAATATATTTACTGTTTACCCTTCTAGAAAACCAAAGCGCTCAGCATAAGACAACAATTTAATAAGGAAAATGTGTAAAACTGCACAGATTGAAAACTATCAGTAGTTTTTGCATGAAGTGGCATTTTTTTACAGCGGAAGTGGAGCCATGTTTGCAAAAGAGACCATCAAAATCGTCAAAACTCAGTCATTTCTCAGAATTTATCCTACCGAAACGTTCGGATTTGAGTTGTGTAACTCCGGTAATGACTAACCATTCCTATTATAAATTAACACATGAAACTACCATCGAGACCCGTCGGTTTTCGGCCTGCGGTGTTGATAGCCGGTGAGTTGAAGCTAGCTCCCAATGACGCGCCACATTTTTGCTCATTTACTCACCAGATCTGAAATTTAAGCAGAGGTCCCGTTGCGAACTGCATCTTCATCTTTTTCACGCCACTGCTATCGCCAGACGTGGCGTAACACAAAGAAAAAAGCCCCAAGATGAGGAGCGAATACCGTGACCACTTCATCTCTGTCCGTTCCGGGGTTTGTTTCCTCACTCGCCCAGACGGAAAGGTTAATCTGGTTGGTTCTTCCCTTTTTTTTTCTCTTGGCGTGTAAAAACAGTTGTCGTTCACCTGCAGCGCCACCCACTGGTGTGGCTGTTCAACGGTTAGTGCTACTTTGCATTCAATTTTCTCGTCTTCCTGTTTTCAATTCCATAGCATTATATTGCATAGTGTTTTTTGATTGTTTATATGTCTGTGTTGTTTGATCTATTTATGTACAGCATTTTGCTCAGCTGTGGTTGTTTTGAAGTGCTTTACAAATAAAGTTGAGTAGTCTATTTTTGTTAGTCTATTGTTGCCACATTTGATCATTTTAAAGAATAAAATTGATGAAAAAAATAAAACCTTTTTAGAAAACCCTGTCAAACTTTTGCTGTGCTGTGTGGCTTCTCATTTGACTGACTGTATCTGTACAGTGTGGGGAGCTGTAAAGAAAAAAAAAACATAGTTAAAGTGCATAAAAGGATTTATTACATCAAAGTTTTTTAAAATCAGACAAACATCTCAGTGAACTTTTAACAACTGCAATAATCAATACATTTTTCCCTTTTGTCCTTGGTTTCTCCAAAAAACAAGCATGGCTATAGTTTGGGTGAACTAATAGTTAAATTGATGATAATCAATGACTTTGTCCTGCTGGATTTAAGTCAGGGTGATACTAATTTTCAATAATCTTCATTAAAAACTGTTGACGATGTTTTTAAGTGCCTGTAAATATCCAAATACAACAACAGCAGTGTTTCATACAGGACTGAGTTGTATAGACATATGCCGTGAGCAGGCATCTGATATCTGCTTCACAACTACATGTTAAATTTAGAAAAGCCACTCTCCTCTACTGGAAGGTATCAATTAAGTTTGTTAAATCGAACAAAACAATATCTGCTCATAACAATAATCATAATCCTTGGCAAATTCTTCAAAGACTATTAAAAATGATATGAGTTAGTGTCCAAATACATTTTATTAATTAGAATACCAAAAGTACAATAAAACCACAGGGAACTGCTCTGGAATGAACAAAGCGCTCAACAAACAAAAGTGTTTATCTGGGGTTTGTCTGCTGGATTTGTCTCAGTGATTCATCCTCGCCATTCTCTCTTTCGCCACAGAGGATTGTAGAGCCAGCACCAAGTCTGTGTGGAGGACAAGATGGAGAATATGAGAGAAAGCACCAAAATTCAGCAAACTTTGATTATTTATTGAACCCATCTTGTTCTGGGGACTCCAACACCAACTTCAATTAGCCTGATAACAAGGTTGCTGCAAACAAATCTTTGCATTTATACTTTTGCTTTTTAAGGCAAACAGTGACAATAGTAACAGCCAAACTGCACTCTGTGAAATGAAGCTGTTATTTTTACAAACCTAAAAACTTCTGGGAATGATCCACCAGGTCATGAACCCCTGCCTCACTGTTGTACGAAGTGTCCTCCATTGCCTTGACCAGTTCGTTTAACGTCTGAGAAACAGAAGTGATCGACATGTGACGACTTAAGAGCCTCAAAAATACGTCTTAATTTTCAATAAGTGCACTCTTAAGAAAACTACCTGCAGCTCCACGTAAACCTTCTCCTCCAGCTCCGCCACCTGAGATATGGCATCATACACACTGGTATCCACAGCAGATTCCTGCAAGAGACAAAAGTGTTTAACTAAGCATGGATAGAAAATAACAAATGCAAGTCATGTAATAGTGTTTGTCTTGTTCAGTCTGACCTCCTCTTCGGAGCTGTTCATCAGCTCTTGAGCTTTGGTTGCTCCACTGGTTTTAGACATTCCATTAAGTTCCTTGACTCTGCACACAAAGTCAAACATTATCCTCCTACAATGACATTCTTTCAACCGTATGGATTCAATATTTCCATCACAAAAAAAATGATTTAAAAAGCCTCAACTTCTCATGCTTCATTTGTACCTGTCAGCATATCGCAGTGTGTTCATCGTGTATTCACAAGAAGCCATGCCAGGGGACACCATGGCAATCTGTGGAACAAGACACGGAGAAACATGCAAATATATTTGAATTACCTGCAGAATGAAAATACTTTCGACTCCAGACAGTTTTAAGATTAATTGTGGAGCCTTTTGCCAGATTAAGTACATTATAAACTGTAAACGACGCAGCTCTGTAATCCATCCAACCATCCTTAAAAATCATCAACACTAGAGTTTTAGAGTGTGTAGATTCACGAAATGTCATCAAACAGTGAAAAACTGAGACTGCACATACCATGCAGGTTCTTGACTTTTCTCCGATGAAGGAATCCCTGAGGACCTTGGTCAGAGTGCTCATCCGAAAAGGAATGTGATCGCTGTTCATTCCCAGAGAGCGAATACACTCCTGCAAGACACAAGAGCAGACGTACAAATGTCTTACAGGGGATTTAACATCCTCTGAGGTACCATGCAAGCTTATTAAGAATGCAGATGGGGGTTGAGAATTTGGAGCACATTATTCCCCTTAAATATAAATTTTGGACAGTGTTAGTTGCTGTCTTTGCTCTCTTGTAGAGGTGGAAGGAAGAAAACAGGCTTTTCATTTGTCCACAATCGCCACAGTTTTACCTTCAGAGCCAGCAGGCTGCGGTTAATCTCCGCAGTCTCAACCAGAGTGCTTCGATCGTTGCTGCTGACGTCTGTTCCACGCTCGTTGCCGGCCAAGTCCACCAATGAGAACTTGCCGTGGAGTGTAGTCGCACGGTCATTGCGTCGCAGGACAATCTGGAGGATGGCATGAGAGCGGGAGGAGTTGGCATTGGCTGAAGTCTGGCCTGATGTTCTACAGAGGAGAGAAAGGAAAAGACAGCATGTTAAGTTTATTCTGGTTAAGAGGCTGTAATGAACCATTAGACGACTAAAAAACTTCTTTATGTACCTGCATGCGCTGCCAATTTGTATCTTCTTGATCACATCCTCTGCAGAGGACACATAAACCTCTTCCAGGCCGACCACCTGAACCTGCTGTCTATCGTCCTCTAGGACCCGGAGCTTTGACTTTTTGTTCAGCAGGTCATACACCTACGTCAAACAGCATATTTCAGGGTAACTTATTTAAGCTGAGATTCAATGAAATGTTGCGAACGTGCTCACAAAAGGTGACGCTATTCTTACTTTTCCGTTGTAGATCTCAAAAAAGCTGACATAGGCAGAGAGATCCAGGTTGGCATACTTGTGGTGATTGAGATTAGCAAAAACATCCTGGGCTGGAGGAACAAAAAGTAAAGACTAAGAAATCTCATTTGGCAATTCAGTAAATCCTGATTGATTGTGGAAATGACAGAAAGTCTCGACAGTGACCATGCTCAAAATACCCCCCTCCCCAAAAACTAAAAATCAGGAAATGCTGTTTATTGATACAAGAAAATGATCTCATGCTGAAAAACCCAAAAAACTCAAGATACTTTGGGTCCTACCTGCCAAAGCGTAGATCCCTTTGGCGCTGTTCTGTTGCCTCCCCGAGAAATCCCCTCCCATTGTCTAGGAGAAAACAAGACATAGCGACTAATTTTACAAAGAGGTAAAATGGTTTCTTGGTTCTACAAATGGAAATGCTTCGTCGAGAGGTTTCATCGTGAGACAGCGAGCAGGGACTTACATGAGTTTTCCCGCTTCCTGTCTGGCCATAGGCGAAACATGTTGCCATGCCACCTTCAAAAATAGACTGCACCAAAGGTTTGGCAGTGAACCTACAGAAGAAAAAAAATGGTATCTATCAAGAATTTTGTTCATCTAAACAATGATGACTGTTGCAGTTTTCAGGCAAAACACTGATGGTGAAGAAGAACCAACCCCCCCAAAAAACTCAAAACCAAACGTATGCCATTACTTGTAGACCAGGTCGTTGGTGACAGTTTCATCGAAGGAGTAATCAAAGTGAAAGATCTGGTTGTCCAAGTACTTGGTGAGGTCCACCTTCTGTTTTGGCTCATGAACGAGCAGAGCACCTCTCCCGGGCACAGACACCACGTCTATCTCTTTCTTGTTGATCTCTGGAAAGCACACAAGGAAGTCAGCATACAGGATCAATACTTGAATGATGCTGAATGCAGGACGTCACACATCACTCCCACATTACCTTGCTTATTAAGGGGCCGCTTGCGAACACACACACAGATCTTTTGAGGCACAATCTATGGAATCACAAATTCTGATGTAAGTTTGAGCAGTGATGACGCATGGAAGCTTGTAGCATGCACAGGGCGTCTTAAGTCTAAACTTACATGGTCGGTCAGTGATAGAGGGTTTATTTCCAAAGTCTCTCTGAAGTCTTGGATCATCTCGTAAAACTTCTGGTTTGGTCGAGAATGATCTCCGAACTAAAACATACACATAAAATTAGAGAGATCCCTTGTCTTTTCCTTTCGTTCTAACCTGTTAATACTTTCACAACAACATAAAAAACAAACACAAATTTTAAGAATCTCACCTTTCCCTTCTTGGTATGGATCTCAGGGGGTTTATTGACACAAGACAGCCTTTTGTTGCCCTTGTTTATCTCTGGAGGAGCCACAGATTTTCTTCCACCCACAGTACCTAGAAATAAAAAGGTTTTTTGGTTAATAGTAAGAACCAAACGACTACTCATCTCATGGTCGTGATCATGGTCTCTCAACAAGATGACACAAACTTCAAAAAACAGTTTATAGCAGAGGGGATGAGGGACCGTGAGCTGTAGGTACTGAGATTTCTATTAATCTGGTACATCTATAGATCTTATTGATGGAGAATTACATGTAAAACAAACACCTGTATGAATATGTTACTGACCTCTAACTGCAGGCGGAGGAGGAGGCATCCTCTCAGGCTCATCATTTTCCTTTACAGACTCACGGGCCTGTTGAACCTCAAATCTTTTACGCTGCCAACTGGGATTAGCTGCAGAAGAAAGAAGGACATGCTTTCAACAACAGATACACTAAAAGATCTAGTCTTCTCTAGCAAGGGTAGGACTACTCTAAATGCTTACAACAGCCTCTCCATACACTGTCCTTCATCTTGTGAAACTACCAGTGATTTCATTATACCAATGAATTCTTGGCCTTCCAGTGTTAAAGTCAAATATTTGATTTATGGGCAGGACACACACTGGTTAATTCTTGTTATTGCAGCCCTAACCCTTGTAGTTTCCCCCCCCACTGATAATTGAAGTCATTACGCACCAGAGTGTGTGACAACTGATGAGTGAGGGACATCAGGGTGGATCATCTCCGGGTTTTGAGCAGTCTCAATAGTTGCAGCTGATGCTCGAACAGGGGCATAGGCCTGGAACATACACGTCTGCCTGACCTGAGACCGACTTGCAACTTGAAAAAGAAAAAAAAAAAAAAAAAAAAAGGATATAATCATTGATTGTCTGGATTTTGATCTTATCCAAACTCTGGTATAATGTAAAGAGAAGCTTAAGTGTGCAAAATCAAGTGTGATCACAAATACAACTTAGGCTAATTAGATGATACAAGTTCCTTCAGAAAGACAGAAAAAAGGAGCCAGCAGAGATTAACACAGGTAAAGAGGTAAGAACGGCAGGTGATTAAAAGCTGTAATAACTATTTTGATTGTGTTTATTTCTTTTTTATTTAAAAAAGACTGTGGGTTAAGTGTAATTCACACCAGGAACCCACAACCCAACAGTGATTAAGCTTCAGAAAAAGGAACATGCACGCCTTGCCAACCTGACTCTTCAGCCTTGGGGACTGCTGGAGCAGAGGCTTTTGGAGGGAAATAAGCTATTAGGAGATGCACTCTATGTGGAAATAATAATCTAAAATAATATAATAATCTAAAATAAATAAATAAATACTTTGACGTACAGGAGGAAGGAGCAGGAATCCTGGATGAGCGCAGACGACCCTCATACTTCAGGGGGGAGGACAAACAGAAAGAAAAAGTTATTTACATTATTATTATTATTTACATTATTATGTAAATTATTTATTATATTATTTATTTGCCTCACAGACAGACTGTTTGAAATAACTCTGAGGTTTAATGTTCAAAACTGTGAATATTCGACTCCAGCTACGAGCCTGGTGTGTTTATGACACTTAAGATTAAATGGAGTCCATTATTTGATCAGGTACTAACCCATAAATAACTTGATCTATATTATTAATTTGTGGAATTTGTCCCCATACTTTTATCACCTCTAGCTTGCTTTTCTCATGTGTGAGGATAAAGTCCTAATATCTGTGTCTTTTCTTTTCCTGTTTTGTTGCATCAGAATAACTCATAGTGAGGTTTTGCAGTGGGATGAGACCTACCTTGTCAGGAGTGGGGGTGGGTGGGTCAGCAGGTTTGTTGATGACAGCGTTTACAAGGTCCAAAAGCTCAGGATTAAGAGTGCATAACTCACTTATGTCGACCTAAATCACAAAGTTAAAAGGTAAATACACAGAAATTGTTACAATTATATTGTGAAAATCTTGGCAATGTGACACAACCAAATACCTAAAGGGATATTCCGGCATAAAATTAAGCCAACAAGACCTCAGGCCAGTCCATTACGGACAGCTGCGGGGTGACACAGCTCAAGGAAGAACATTTATGAACATTTCTTTATCATTTCCTTGAAGTAATAATCATCACATTAAATCATTTTGCTCTGCAGACGCGGAAGTTCTTCTGTCTTAGCGTCTCTGTCTGATTGCATTTCCATGAAGAAATTATCATAAGTGTTCTTCCTTGAGCTGCGTCACCCCGCAGCAGTCCACATTGGACTGGCATGAGGTCTCACTACAAACAAGTAGCTGCTGGAAGAGAGTAGGTGAGTTGTGTTTAGTCTCTTTGCTGAAGAAATTAGGCAAAGTTACAAATATGTTTGGTGGCTAGTGCTGTGGCTGAGACCCTACATGTACTTTTGATGAAGTTAGGTGCTGTTCTGAGCATTATTTGTGGGTATAGAGTGGCGTTTTGGTTGAGGATTGTTTATGGCTCCTCAAACCTCTGTGTATTGCTATCATGCGGTTGTGACTAAAGTTAGTATAACTAGAGAAGCAAACAGTCGGCAACATTCATCTCTTGAGGGGGTGTCTAACTCGGTGTCTGGCGGATGATAACTGCTCCTAAAACTCATAGCAGAATATGTTTGGGGTGCTGGTGGTCCACTGGAGTACATCATTTCAAATATGTTTATTTATATGTTTATAAATATTCAAGTACATCATTGGACTTGGTTGCATTACAGTACCCATTTGTTCAAATGACACATTGAAAAAAGAAGAGGGTTGAACTTGAGTTCGTTTATTATCAATATGACTTGTGTATTTTCTCCGCCTGTGTCTTTTCTCACCTCCTTCCCTCTGCAGATCTTCCTCTCTTGCCACTCCACCATCACCACGGACTTGACGGAGTCCACGGTCTTGACTGTAGCGGAGTGAACCCGACCTTTACACGGACACACAAGCAGCAAGTCAGAGTCAAACACGGCGGTATTATTATTGTTACTGTGTAGAGAGAGGAAGTAGAAATAGTCAACGAGCTCACCGTCACTTCGGCTGATCTGGACTGAGAGTCCAACGAGGGCTCTGGACAGATTATTCTCCATTTCTGCTCGTTTCTCTAATTCACAGCAACCGAGATTCAAACGACAAATAAACAAAACAAGAAACACAAAACTGAACTCGAAATTAACTGTTATTACTGTGTATATTTGATTATAACCTCTGTAACGACAAAACCTCACTTACCAAGCGACTTCCAAAACTAAACGCCGCCCAATATTTAAACTGGTATTATTTCCGGTTAGTAAAGAGTCTGATTGGTCCACCTTTCTTCTTCTACGGTATTTCAAAAAGGAGGATCCGGATTTGTCTTACACCGCCATCACCTGGTCATATGATGAACTCTTTATATTTCGTGAGAATCATCAGACCCAAAGTGTAGAGCAGGGGTGGGGAACCATGTGCCACGGAGAGCCGAGAGGCTGCAGGTTTTCTTTCCACCCCAAAACTCCACCAGGTGATTTCACTGATTACCTTACCTCCAAGCAGAGAGCAGGGACTAATCAGTGAAATCACCTGGTGGAGTTTTGGGTTGGAAAGAAAACCTGCAGCCTCTCGGCTCTCCATGGCACATGGTTCCCCACCCCTGGTGTAGAGTGATCTAGTTTCCATCGAGGTTGACATACTGTCTGGAATCGAAATGTTCATGTGTGAATAATTTTTATATCAAATTTGTCTTGAACTGTTTTCTATAGATTATAAATGTTATAGTTAGAATTCAGTTTCTATCCTGGTTATACATACACCAAAAGAGCCACAATACACAATTCTTAATGCCTTTGTTACTGTGGTTATCTTAAATTGTAGCTTAGCTGTATGAAATTTGTGTTAAATAACAATTTCATATCTAAACTATTGAGGCTAAACTAAAATTACAAGTATTTAGAAATCAAGCCAACCTGAAAATAGTCAAATTAATAAATATGAAGACAGTATAAAATGTTTGTAGACCTGTAGTTTTAACAACAGAGATCCAACCAATAGCTAAATTACCAAATAAGTGTTTCTTCCAAATACACAGAAAAAAAAGCACTTTCTTCATCCACACACCTGGAGGTTACAGAGTTTATAGTTCAGAGACAAAGCTCTTTCACTGTATTAGGTATTAAGATTTATTCATGTGGCAAAAGCCATAGTCCATCAGAGTTCAGACTGCTTTACCTCATTACTGCATTAAACTCTTGTTGGTCTTAGGCTACTTACTTACTGATGATAATTAAACAAAATGATAAATACTTTATACAGCCTGAGGAACTTAACTGAAGCTAAAAAAAAGGTATTTTTTATGACTTTGCACCTTTTCGACTTGGCTGGTATTCACTGTGAGACAATCATTTATCAACTCTGAGATCTCACACAGTGTCCAACCTTCATCTATTAGACCTGGCTTTAGGTCCCTGAAGGCCATAAAAGTAAGTGAGCAGAATAAGTTTGATGCGCTGCTTTAATATTTGATTACATAGTGAACAATCATGTTTCTATCATCCTATCATATATCATGGCATACATCAGCACAATGCATTTAGATAGATAATGCAGTAAGAGAGGATTCATTCACATCATATACACACAAATGTGACATGATTACAGATATAGTTCTTGTTACATCCTCAGTTACTTCAATCAGCAGTTGTGGTAATCAATTGTCATTCGACTCTTCATCATATGACCACAGAATTCTAGTGTTTGTCCTCGCGCTCCATCTTTCCCCTCACCCACTGCAACCCAGGCACAACAGCTCGGTCCCCCTTGACATCAACAACCAGGGACAGCTGGAAAATGACCCATAATGCAGTTCAGCCCTGCCTTCAGCGTGGGAGGCTTCCCATTTTTCCTCTTTTCTTATTGCGCCCCCGGCCTCCCCTCTCCTCTCCCCTGTGCCCACACCCTCAAGCCTCCAAACCTCCTAACTATATACAAGCTGGACTTGTGTATACACATTCCTCACAAGCGAACGCTGACACATGACAAATCAAAGGTCTAATAAACAGCTTATGCTGAACAATTTCCCTCCCACCACCAAAGGATGAAAAATAAACAAATCCCTGTCGGCTTGGCCCAGCCGGGCCATTTGGTGGGTCTGTCTGTCGGTGACTGGGTGGCCCAGAGCTGCTCAGTGTGAGGCCTGGGATGGAGCCACAACTGTTTCCTGTGAGCAGCCCAACCCCCAGAACTTCTCCACAACTGGCTTAGTGGGTGGTATTCCCCTCCTCCTTCTCTTCCTCACATCCCCACAAAACTCCTCCACCCTCCTCTCCCCTTCAGCACTCACTACACTCAACGCTCCTCCCCCTTTTTTCCTCCCCTCAAGTCAGTCAGTCAATCCATTCTCACCATTCGCTTCAGCTTTGGCAGCCTTTAGTGGCTGAACGCATTAAGAGAATCCTGTTTGCTACATTTGATCACATATACTTCTTGCGTTTACTCGATCCTGTCAGCTACGTGTCGAAATAGTTTGTCATTTAAAATGACCCTAAGTAGGTGCTTAAACTCCATAAACTTAAATAAAATACTCCAGCGATCAAATACTGGGCATATCAGTAATTTTGACCAGACATTACCTAGGTGACTTAAATCTTTACACATTTCTTTTCCTTTTTTCCATCTCTCATTTAAATTATTTCCAAAAAGATTGAATACAAGCAGTAAAACCAAACTTACTGTTTTATATTATAGACTGCAAAGTGATATTAAGTCAGCTGGGGTGTTTGACCACTCTTGAAAGTTACCACAAGTAAATGAAGATATATGATATTTAAATTCAGAAAAAGACTAAGATTTCTACTTGTTAGTTATGTCTGCATCAATCTTTTTTAAGGAAGCTGTTAGTATTCAAAGAAGGTTTTAAAAACTTCCATTATATAAAAAAAATGTCACCAACATCCCACTGTAGAGTTTGGGTTTATGGAAAAGCAGCACAACAGTCTTCAGGTTCTTCTCTCCCAGTCTTCAGTCTTGCTAGCGGTTGATTTGAAGAATTGAGAGGTCTTGTATCTGTTGGCCCTGAGTCTGTTTAACTGTTCGCCTTTTTCCATCTGTACAACAGCATATTTTCTCAGTGTAAAGAAAATTGGCAGAGGCCATGGCTCTGTTCCCCTATACAGACTAAATAAACACACATGCATATAGTACATGAGCTTAGCACATTTACAAACCACCCATGAAGGCTGACAGGTCTGGTGAGGAGCATGAGAGAAACAATGAAGACCAGGAGATCCTGGTGAAGAGAATTTGACTTGTTTTTCAACTCCCTGAATGGCCTATTGACATAATTTTTCAGCATATGAAGCTTTTAAGATTTCTTTTATATTTGGGTTTCATGACGGGACAGTTTGGGATCAGCTGAAGATATTTCAACTCACCAGGTAACACTTAAATGATTTGAAAAGTTTTTAGAAAGGTGCTGGTTTGATTTGCTTCTCAATACTATGAAAACAATTCCCTGTCCTTTTTTTAACATTACATTTTTACAAAGTTCATTCTTAACTGACAGCTTCTAGAGATAAAGAAGTATCTCAGTAAAGTTGGGACGTCTTTGTTGCATTATTCAGCATGACCAGCAGAGAGCAGTGTAGCAACAAACTAAAATGGAGCCTCACAGCAGACTGGCAGGGAATTCAGAGCAGGATTCATGTGTGCCAGAATGAAAATATCTCTTTCCTTAATGCATTTCTGTCAATTAATTGATTATTTGGTGTGATTTTTCTGTTTGCTAACAAAACACAGTGTGTCCAGCTCAGCTACAACACAAGGATGTCAACCTTCTCCAGCCACACAGCCAAACTGAGCAATACTGAGTGAATCTGGACTATTCACTCATTAACCCATATTAGTATTCTTGGCATATGGGGATCCACTGAAACCTGCCAGTGACCCATCTGGGTTACTGACCCGTCTGTTCAGAAAAAAAGCTGTGGACTAAGCTTACTCTTCAAGGATGATTCCAAGCAGGGAAACAGTTTAGCAAGCAGTTTATTCACCCCTGAGCTCTGCCGCACAAAACCAACACCCTCTTTAGTTTGCCCAGCTGGCAAAATTTATTTTTTTCTTCAACTTTAATTTGCTTATTTATTTGGTCTCAGTAAAGAGTGGTCAGGGTGGTACACACAGCTGCAGGAGCACTACAGGAATGGCTATGTGCGAGGGCTGATCGCTTGTACACTGCAACATATAACAAACCTGATGATATTAATCTGTTTAAAGTGACTCATATTAATATTTACTGGTTAAAGAGAGTTTCCACAGAAAGCAAATCATGCCATATGCAAGCATGGGTGTTCAGGATAGTGGCCTGCAGGATTGCATGGGCTATGACATCATGTATAAATATGTATCATAAATGGTAGATGACTTGAGACATGACACATGAGACTACAGACATTTTCCCTTTGGAGATAAATAGTTTTTCTTCTTCTTCTTCTTCTTCTTCTTCTTCTTCTTCTTCTTCTTCTTCTTCTTCTTCTTCTTCTTCTTCTTCTTCTTCTTCTTCTTCTTCTTAATATTGAGATCTCTCTGTCACCTCCACCTCAGTCTAAGCCTTAAATAAATCAAAGGTAAGGGTTGTTCAAAGTCTCAGCCAGCACTGATCACAATAAAAACGTATAATTCGCCCCCTAAAGTCTGCTCTTCTGATCTCGACTGGTATATGATTTCAAAGGAGAAGGGCTAAATCCCTGCCTCCCATACCACTTTTACACACTTTGCTTGTATGAAAGCCTGAACCATGTTCATGAGGACTAATAGGACTGAGATACGATGATGCCAGATCATTAAAAGCTTTGTGGGTGAGAAAAAGGATTTTGGACCAGTTCAGGTTTGTTGTGATTCTACAACCTGTTGAATCCAGGCCGCAAAATCTACAGTGGCCCTAAGATGCGAAACACAACGGCAAATCAGAAAACACAACACAAGAAGAGAAAACACAACGGCAAATAAGAAAATACAACGAAAAAAAAAAAGAAAACACAGAAAGAGGAAACACAATGGCAAATCAGTAAACAACGAAAAAAGAGAAAACGCAAAAAGAGAAAACATAACGCAAAAA